AATTTTTAATTTGGGTTTTTTTTTTTTTTTTTTTTTTTTTTTTTTTTTTTTTTTTTTTTTTTTTTTTTTTTTTTTTTTTTTTTTTTTTTTTTTTTTTATGGTTTTTTTTGTTTTTTTTTTTTTTTTTTTTTTTTTTTTTTTTTTTTTTTTTTTTGGTAAAATTGCTTGTACGAATTTATGTTTGTGTGTGTATGGATGCTGTGGCAAATTGATTTAGTTACCCTTACGGTATGTTTACATTATTTAACGATTGTTTTTTCCTAAGTTGTGAAGAGTAGGATGAACACAAAACGAGCATTTTATTTATTTATTTTTTTTCTTGCAATAACACCATGCAGGGTTGAAGGGAAAGATATCATATAAATTCAGGAGAAATTATAATTAAAGGATAATTATTTTGTTCTGTTTACTTAATATATCTCTTGTACGTGTGGGGGAAAAAAAAAAAGAAAAAGAAAACGCTTTTCAAAAAAATTAAAATAACTACCACTACGCCATTGACATAGGTGTTTATACAAATATTGGCAAAATAGTTACTTTTCATAGGTTCCTTTTTGTAAAAATATTTTTACATATGCACACGCGTGCTATTAATTTAGTATCACATTATATTCGAACTTTTTGACACCTTTTCGTTACCACATAGAAAGCACATTTACCCGAATTATTGCCTTTATGCCATTTTCCTTTTAATCGAAAGTATATATAAAAAAAAAAAAATAAAATAATCCTTATTCCCGAATATATAAGCCATGTTTCACGCAATGTGTTAGTACAGGCAAGTAAACATAACTCTTCTTTTGGAGATGTAATATTTTAAAGGGTGTATGCCAGTTTTGGCTAATTTTGTCAATTTTGTCAATTTTGCCAATTTTGCCAATTTTGTCAATTTTGTCAATTTTGTCAATTTTGCCAATTTTGTCAATTTTGTCAATTTTGTCAATTTTGTCAATTTTGTCAATTTTGCCAATTTTGTCAATTTTGCAAGTTCCGCTATTTTGTAAATTTTGCTATTTTGTAAATTTTGCTAATTTTGCAAGTTTTGTAAGTTCTACTAATTTTGTAAATTTTGCTAATTTTGCTAACCTACGTTTTGACAATTTTGAGAAAATCGCTTTGAACACATCTCTACATAGATTGCTTTGTTTGAAATCTTTTTTTTACACATCCTTATAAAGAGTTTTTCATTATTTCCATTGAACACAATTTTGTAAAAAGGAAACAGTAGCTCCATAAATGCATTTTAGGATCCATCAAATAATGCAACACATTTTTTAATATTTCATAAAGTAATGTATGAATTATTTTGCAAACATGAAAGCTGTTTTACGAGAATCTGTTTTAACCTTTAATTGTTACCATGCCATACTATAATACAATATGGAATAAATTTTTTTTTTTTTTTTTGCAACACTAAATTATGTATTTGTCATTTCATTACTTGTAATAAATTTATTTACAGGACGGGAAATAGGAACAAGTAAATTGTAGACGTTTATACAAGAGAGTGAATACCTGTCTATAGGGAATTATCCAAAAAGAATAATATAATAAAGATGGATAAGGTTAAATAACAAATAAATCCGTATAATAAATTTTGGAAAAAAAAGAAATTAACATGAATACAGTTTTGATTGACTACGCTAAAAAGATTGAAAAAAAAAAAAATAAAATAAGGATTTCAAGAAGCCAAATTGCTACTATAAGAATTATATTCCCTGTTTTGAATTTATGGACAAATTATCTTGGACACCGAAACTGTAGTTGTTTTTTTTCTTTCACAATTTGTTAACTTTTTTGCTTTGTGTGATTATGCGTCTTTTTCTTAAATCTTACTTTAATTTTTTTTTCGTACATAATTGCAAAGTTACACTTTATGAATTTTTATTAAAATCCAAAAAAAAAAAAAGGAAACAATTGTAATGTACAGAATTGAACGAAATAAAGAAACTGCTATAAGAACAAATTTCACAAAATGGATGAAAATTAGGCTTTTGCTTGAGTATTGTTAACGTATATTTGCATGCCTGAATCTGTTTTTATTAATTAGAAAAATTTTAAAGTATCTGTTCCTTTTTTTTTTTTTTTTTTTTTTTTTTTTTTGAAGTAACCTCCTTTTCAACTTTTACCAATACTTAATAAAAAAGCATTTACATATGCATGCAGACATTAAAAAAGATAATGAAAGGCAAGCGCAAAAAATGAAAAAATGGCATTCATTTATTTCTGAATGAAAACTCCTTCGCTTGAAAAAAAAAAAAAAAGAAGAAAAAATTAAAGGGTGAACAAATTTGTGCGCATGACATGAGCATCTGCCAAACTGCTTGCGTATGTTAGCTATCTGTAAGCACGTAAATGTATGAGTATATACTTATATAAATTTGTATATATATATACAACTGTAGCATTCTGATTTATTAAATTCACAAATAATTCTTGTAAACAACACCAATTAAAATTAAGTTGAAACGACAGAAATTAATTCACAATAGCTCAATTTTACTCAAAATTGTTCATGTAAAAACATCTGGAATCAGGATTGCTGCAACAACATAAGCGTACATATGTATATGTGCATATGCATGATCATACACACACGCACACATACGTGTACATATGGACGTGTATACTTGTGTACCATTTTTCCATGATATTAATTTTGTTAAGCTGTCTGATCTTTGTTTAAATTCGCAGTTTTTATTTTGAAAAATCTACCATAACTTTTACACAAAACGCAAGATTTTTATTTCATTCTGATCTTTCAATTTTTTTATGCATGTTAACTATATATTGTTGTAATTTTTACTTAACTTCTATGAAACATATATTTTTTAAAAAAAAATTGACACTTCATCAAACAACGAAGACATTTATTCAAAATAGGTACCAATCATATACGTTCAAAATATGCATGTATATATATATTTTTTTTTTCCAAATTATAACAAGTCCTCATAAACATAGACCTTTTTTTTCCTTTTTTTTTTTTAAGTGAAGATTTCATCGTTCTATCGAGCAAATAGTAAAAGTAAAAATATCCATTTATATAATTAGCAGATATATCCATTAATGAATCAGCAGATATATCCATTAATGAATCAGCAGATATATCCATTAATGAATCAGCAGATATATCCATTAATGAATCAGCAGATATATCCATTAATGAATCAACAGATATATCCATTAGTGAACTAATTGCTCCTTGTGAGATATGTTTTCATGTATTAATGCTATACACACATGTACGCAAACGTTAATATGCACATATGTGTTAATATATATTTTTTCTCTTTCTTTTAGAAAATGATCACAACAGTAATATCCCCAACAGTTACGGTGCAACCCGCACCAGTTGTTTACACAACCACCTACAGTGTCGTGCCACAAACAGTTGTGTATACATTTCCACAAACTATACCCGCTGTTAAAAATATTCAAGTAATTCCTTCCCAGCAAGTCTGTCTTAGCTATACCTATGGAACACCCATAACTACATTTATCCTTTAAATTTTGATATACGTGTGATATCCAGTGAGAAGAATGAATAGAAACGTGACAAAAAAATAAAATATGGGTATTGTGTTCCTGTCGATGAGTTCTTGCTATTAGGAGAAATGCATAAAAATGTATATATACAAAGATATAAACATTTCGTTATTACGAAATAGGGATATTAATCAAATGAAGATAGCACCAAATTAAAGGGGTAAAAAAAAAAAAAAAAAATGATATTAAGAAAATAATGTTATCGAATGTCCATAAAATTAGTTTTAGGATGTCTACTATTATTTAAAGGAGAAAACCATTAAAGATATGAATACAAAAAATGTACGTGTTTTTTTGTTTACTAATATATTTACATATATAAAAAAAAAAATTAACAAGTTATTCATGTGTTGTATTTTTTCGATATGAATTTTACTTCTATGACATTTTTTTCAAGGCTGCCGCATACACATATCTCATTAGTTTGCATGCCTTTCACCTTTTTCCTTTTTGTGCATTTTTTTTACGTATAAAAATGTTTACATTTACAAAGAATTTTTACTAACTTTTTTTATTATTCTCTACATTTTAAGAGTCAACTAATGTGTTAAATTATAAAAAATTAAATTCAGAATAGCACATGTGCTCAGCTATTTTCCATCCATATGTCTTAAACAGAATGCTAGCGTTCAATTTTTAAGTTCAGCTTGTTATACACTTATCAATTTTTGCTAAAATATCTAATGTGAGCTATATCACAGATGGTGATTAAATATTTATTTCCAAATTTTTTAGCAGTGATTTTTCTAGTTTCAGTCATTTGAGTTAGTATGTATAAAGAGGATAAAATAAAAAAAAAAATGCACAAAATTACTTTGTTGTTAACACAATGCCTTTTTTTTTGGCTATGAAGAACAAGCCAATTTTTGCTAGTTTCTAAAAAAAAAAAAAATTTGTTTAGCTAGTTATATAAAGAAAGGAATAGAAAAACAAAAATACATTAAAAAGTCAGGTTTTTGCATGTGTTTATTTGTCTAATTTCCTATAAAAATCACCTTCACGAATTAAGGTAAAAATTGCGCCGTTGCTGAAAGGCTGTTATTAGAACAAACAAAAAAAAAAAGATAGTTTTTTGTATACGAAAAAAATTATAAAGCTATGTTTTTTTTTTTTTTTTTGTCTAGCTATTTTTTTAAATTAGATAGGAAAAAATAAGAATAAAATTCCTGAAAAAATGTTAAACATTCTTACGTTTTAATTTTGTTACACATTTGTGTCTTTTAGACTTTCTTTTATATTTACTTTTTCTTTTAAATTATTTATATTATATTTTTATGTACTTTTTTTCTCTTTTTTATCATTATTCTACTCATTAAAATTTTTTCCTCAAATCAATACAACACCAAACGAGTTAAACAATTTTTGAGAATACTAAAAATTTCCCTACTTTTTTACCATATATTTTTCCCATATACAAGCACTTTTTTTGTGGAATATATATTTGTACAATATCACTGAATTTGACAATTTTTTTTTTGATTTTTAACATACCCTATTTATTAAGATGTCTATCGTTTATGTTCCCAATTCTACAACAGTTTACAGGACATGTGTGTCCGCTGTACCTGTAGTTGCAGCCCCCAGGGTTTACACAATTCAGACATCCCCCCCTACAGCAACAGTTGTGTCTACACGAGCAGTACAGATTTATCCCTCAACGGTAGTTTTTGCTAACCCCATGGAAATTTCTACTATTATCATATAAAATTCACGGAAATGAAGAAGCATACACAAGGATAGGAACATGCATTACAATGTTATTTACAAAGAACAAAGTGTGAAACATCATCCCCAAATAATATCAGCCAAAAAGGGAAGTAGGAAATTTTAAAGAGGGTCAGAAATGTGGCTTTTAAAAAGAATATATTTACAAGGAATGCGAAATTTTATGATAAATAGAAGTTTTATTTATAAGCGCATATAAGTATATTTACATCCCAGACATGATCTATATACATATATATATATATATATATATATATATATATATATCAAGCCCTTTAAATATACCCTTTTTGTCCAATGTGAACTTGTAGAAGATGATGCATTATTGGCATTATAACGTTGTACACGCACTTGCTTAAAATAATACTTTATTTTATTACCATATTCTAATAATTCACACAAATGCTATTCCTTGCGTGTCCTTTCGTATTATGTTAATGTATGCTTGTATGAATTGTGAAATTTATTTTTTATGGTAATTTCCTCTTTTTTAACTTAATAAATACAAGAAATTTTTACTTTAGGCAAATAGTCAAAAAAAAATCAAATAAAAAAAAACAAATAAAAAAAAAAAATAAAATAAAAAGAATATGAGCTGAAGAGCAAATTAAACAGGATGAACAATAAAAGCAGTTGGGAGGATACCACATACATGTTTTTAATATACAAACGTGTATATGGAAGATATCTCCTTATAAAGGTTTTTGGAAAATTACACAAATGCCTTCTACCAAAAATAGGGTAATGTTTTGGTAGTTCACGAAAATGCTCTAAGTGAATTTCCTCAGAAATGTGTGTACACTTCTTTTTGGTGAACTTTGGTGAGCAAAAGCAAAAACATTATAATGTTTGTAATCATAGCAGGTTTTTACATCTAGCAACACATTGGCTACATAATGTGCCAAGTCGAGAGTGTGTGCTATCATGGTATTCAAAACAAAATAGTGTTTTAAATACTTTTCATACACCTCATTTTTTAATTTTTTTCTATTGATCTATATGATAATTAATTATTTTTCAAGACGAACATCGTATGTATTTTATTATCAGCCTTTTATAGTCCCTCCTGTGTTCTTTCATTTTTCAGACTCCTTACATACGTATTGTGGACAATTAATGCTTTTATATTTTTAATTCTGTTTACAACGTCATTTATTAGGTCGGTGAAAACATCAAACTGTTTTATTACAATGTTCGAGAGTACTGATTGTTTTACCGAGTCAGGCAATACTTTAACCTGAAAAGCGTAAATACAGCAATATCCATAATTACTTTCTACTTCTGCATGCACTACATCGTTAGGGGTTATAGGTCCTATACCACCATGAACCACTGATATTTTAACATTATATATTTTTTGCAGTTTTTCAAATTCATCCAAAAATATGTCAAACATTCCAACATAGTTTGTTCTTATTATGATAGGTATCACTGGGCAGTTTTTTTTTGGCAATTCCATTTGCTCCTGCGTATCTGGTGATTCGGAGCTGTTTATATGGTTTTCTTTTTCATCAAAAAGATATGCATTAATCTCTTCTTGCGTTAATTTTTCTTCCCCCAACAGGTTTCTTTTTAAAATTTCATTTTTTAGAATCATTTGTTTTTCGTAAAAAACTTGTCTCTCTTTTTCGATTTCCCTTTGCCTTGTTTTGTTTCTCCAAGTTTCCATGAGTTCGTCATTTCTTTGGAGGACCTTTTTTGCCCATGTTTCTTCGCTTTCTTCGTAGTACCATGGGGTGTTTAATTTTTTCTTTTCTTCGTGCTCTTCCCCTTGCGGGTCCTTCGATGATTTCCATTTTTGCGAGTTTTCCTCATTCGCTAACGTGTCATTCGGTGCACCGGAATCTGAAGACTGTCTAATTCTACTTCTTCTACCAATTGAATGAAGAGAAAAATTGGAGTGTGTCTTTTCTTTCTCTTTAAGCACCTTATGTTCTAATCGTTCTGCAAAATTATTTTCTGTTGCCGTACATTTTTGAACGGTGGTATAATCAGAGGTTGCATCGAATTGTGTGTGCCCAGGTTTTCTAAGAAAATTATTATCAGTTTCGCCAATGATATCATTTCGTAAGTCACATTTTCCATGTGCTAATAGAATAGGATTTAGTGAATTGCTTGAGTTGTTTAGTTCATTATTTTTTTGTGCATTACTACAATGGGATTCGTTATTATTCCCCTGGTAGATATTAGAAAATACAGAGATGTGCTCTCCCTCTTTTTGATTTTCAAAAAAAGAAAAAGTATTTTCTTCTGGTACTAAAATGCTTTCATTTGAGTTACATTGCGAAAGGATAGTTTGTATTTTTTTTTTTTTATTACTTATTATGTCTTCGTTTTTGTTTTCTTCTTCTAGTTGGATTATTATGGATTCATTTGTTTCGTCTTTCCGTCGTTGGGTGTTACTCTTATGAAATTCCTGTAGAGATACGTCTTCAAATATTTTGTCTTTTTCTACACCAAATTCTTCGATAGCTTTTCTTTTTTCAGACATAGCTAGTCTATGTTCATATATATCTTCTCCATGAAATTCATTTTTTTTCATATCATTCTCCCAGGAAACTTTAATTTCTTTACCACTAACCTGTAATGTGGATAATTTTTCTACCATAAGTCTGTACTGACATAATCTAAATGCATTATTCTGTGGTAGGGTAAAAATTAAATCATCCGTTGTAGCATTTCCATATTTTTTTATTCCACTGATTAGAACAGCCATCCCGATTGTAGCATAACTGCAGCAATCTTTGAAGTTACTATTAAATTTATACATTTTCTGAATTTTCCCATATGCTGAACCGCATATAAAATAACTTCCTTCAATGAAGAAACCATTTCGTACAATGATATGAAGTATTGTTCCCTTACTTGAATCTTTACTTACATCTACCACCATACCCATGCCAATTGGGCTCTTATCTAAAGCTAGTAGGCAATCAGATTTTCTAATATACTTTTGTAGCAAGTTCAAATCGAATTTTCTTTTTTCTTTGGTTTTGTCTACCCCATACATGCTTTGATGTCCTCCATCAAGTATATCTTCTCCTCTTTCATGATTCTCACGAAAATTGTTCCCATCTCTGAAATAATAACCACATGTGGTTTTATCATTAACTTTGTCTTCAATAAGATAGCTTACACGGCCAGTATTACGAGTGCTGCTGTCCCTTGGAGTCTCATAGCTGTTGTAAAAGCTGTTCGAATTGTGATAAGGCAAATTAATATAATGAGATATGAAAAATATTCTGTTGATTAACTTGTCCAAATTGTAACCAGTTAGTGATGATATGACTATAGAGTTATCAATTTCTCTTGAAAAATTATGGTTTAAATTTCCATCGTCAAACATTTTAGTGCACTGATTTTTTAATTCCGCTTTCACAATGGATTCATTCTCTCTGTATATATCTGCTTTGTTTAAAACAAAAATAACTGGTATGCTAAATTTGTCAGCATATTTAATTGCTTCTTCTGTTTGTATTTCTGCTCCTACTTCTAATGAAATTAATATGATTAGTACATCTGAGAGAAAAGCTGCTCTTCCTCTGAAAATCTGAAAAACTTTATGCCCAGGGGTGTCAAGAAAAGTAAACTTGAATGGCCCATGTTCGAAATGTATAGGTTTTATATTTTGTGTAATACAACCAGCTTCACGTATTGCTAAATTATTGTTTGTGATTTTGTCGAGTAATGTAGTTTTCCCATGATTTATATGTCCTATTACAGACACGACGGTATAATAATTTTTTTTTTTTTCATCATGTGAGTTGCTTTCCTCGTTTGGAGGTAATATCGGCATATCGAAATTACATTGTGTATTTTGTTTGTCTCTGAATTTATTACAACTTCTTATACTGCACGGTTCATCTGTATTCAATGTCAGACCTGATGATGTTCCCAAGGATGAATCTTGTCTCAGCTTCAAAGTATTTACATAGTACTCCTCCGCTAAATAGACCTTTCGGTATACATCCTTAAGAGTCTGAATGTTTTTTTTTTCTTCCTCACATAATAATTCCACCTGAATAAGTCTAGGCTTAAATTTAAAAATTTTACTAACATATGCAGCAGTACTATAGGGGATAATTACGTTCCTTTTGTTTACCGTTTCGAAAGTCCTATCCTCTGAGTCCTTCCATCTATATTTATTTCCACTCTTGTACACATTTGCAGCTTTGAAACAGGTCTCATAGTTTATATTCAACATCAATCGAAGCTCATGTATTGATATATACGGAGGTAACAAAATGATGGGTGATTTTTGTTTTCTCCCAGTTATTAACTTTTCTCTGAATACCCTTCTACCAACGGGGATATATTTCCCTTTATATAGCAACTTGGTGCATAATATAATCATTCTTATGCTTTTTTTTTTTTTTTTTATATCTTCCAATAGTCCATTGTGAATGTGTAGCTATTTGTCTCAGTTGTGTATTTAAGTTTTTGTGCATAGACTAAGATTCGGATGAAATGGAATGAAATAATGTGAAAAAAGCAAACTCATACAAATGTGGTTACCAAAAGGAGTAATGGTGTAAAAATGTTACAATAGAATAAAAAAAAAAAAAAAAAAGGAAATTACAGAAAAGAAGAAAAATAGAATGTGAAAAAAAAAAAAAAAAATTACATATTTCTTTTTCTTCTAGAACTCTATAATTATGCTATTCCCAGTATGGGTGCCCTAATTACTATTTTCCCAGAATACCGAAAGCCAAAGAACACATAAGTGTTAATAAGCATGTGCAAGAGATAAAAGTATTTAGCCTCATGATGGTATTGATATACTTGTGCATGTGTTCGAGGCCTTTGGGTATGAATTATTTTTAAGTAGTAAATTTTTTATACTTGCTGAATGGAATAATTGGTAAATTTTTTTTTTTTCTTTTTTTTCTGAAGGGAAAGCACATAGAAATTTTATTTTCCCCACCCCACCCCCACAATCCGAAGGTCCACTAATACTGCATATGAACAGAAAAAGAGGAAAACATAAAAATCATGTTAGTTGTGCAATTCGCACGAACAAATGTTTATAAAAGTGGGTTGGCCAAAAATTTAAAAAATAGCTAACAAATAAACAACAACAAAAAAGTAATTTAATGGGAAGTGTAATGAAAAAATGGGATATGATGAAGCCCCAAATATCCTTGGCCTTCCAATGGACTAAAAAACATTTTCACAACTTAAGCATTAGGAATGATGTAAAGTACAAAAATTTGGATACACATCAAATGTATTTCATGTTTAATCAATTAAGGGGGAAAAAAAATAGAAAAAAAAGAGAGAGGGTTAATTTAAATGATGAACAGAAAAGAACAAAATTAAAAATTCCACCTGTGAGACTAGAGGATAGAACAACAGTATGTGAACCACCAAGTGTTATTAGTAAAAATATTAAAAAAGAAATTATGAAAGTTTGTGTTGGTAAGGAAAAAACAAAAAGACATTTTAAATTTCGAAATAAATATCGAATTAGAAAATTGCTAAGTCTAACTCATGATAAGGAAAATATAAAAGATAAAAGAAAAAATCCAAGTACATTTATAACACCTTTAACTAAATTACAGCATGAATCTACACTACCTAGAACATTAAATCATGACAGATTTAGTTTTCCTCACTCTTTTCAATATTCAGTGATATGGCATGGATCCTCTACTGTAGACCAGGAGGAAGACAACATTTGTTTTTTCAGTTCATATATCAGCGACTTATCACTCACAGCACGAGAAAAAAAAAAAATTAGGGAAATTCTGGGAGAAGAAAGGGTTGATTTAAAAAATGAAATGGTTTTCCTCGAGAGCAATTTTTTCAACACTTATAATCACAATGCGGCATATTTGGGGGATGTGGTTCAATTTTTGATGAAGCGTGTTAAGAGTTTGTGAAGACAATACGTGTGTGTATGTGTGCTGAGTGAAGCAATCATAATAGAGAAACGAAAAACATGCATTCGTGTGGAAATTCTTGTGAATGCCCTTGCCTTTTTTTCTCGGCTCTTTGTCTTCCCGTTTTCCTGCCTGTGTGTAACTATTCTTGTGCCTGTGTTTTTTTTTTTTTTTTTTTTTTTTTTTTTTTTTGTATCCTTTTAGAGAAGAAGGAAAAACTAAATTCACAAATGATAGAAATACAAAACGGGTGAGAGCATTGCGTGGGATATATCTTCACACGTTAGTATAAATTTAGGATAATCTGTATTGGATGTACTTATCGAGGGTCTCGTTTGAGTAATTCAGTTGGTCCAAGCTCTGCTTTATGCTCTGCAAATGGGTAGAGAAGTATGTAAATGTAATGGAAGAGTAAAATTGTGGTAGTAAAATATGATGGAGAAAAAAAAGTATGGAAAAAAAAAATATAAAAATGATTTCCACTGATATATTCATTTAGGAGCTACTTTCATGTACAGTCTTATTCTAACCTTTAATTCTTCATCCGTAATTTTGATCGTGGGGATTTGTTTGGCTATTAGTTCGAATATTTTGCTGTGCTTTATTTTAACACTGAAGTGAGGAAGGAATAAGAAGTATGTAAATGTGCTTGTAGATATTATATATAATATGCAAAAAATGATTACGCACACGCGTAAAAAAATTTGTGGAGTGAACAAAGAGATATTCATCATTACAGTGAACACGATAATGTACATGTGTTCAACCCATTGTATTAGTATTTTTTTTTTTTCTTTCCTTTTTTTTTTTTTTTTTAACCGGGTAGTTCATTTATTGTGTACTGTACATGAGTTAGACACTCACATGATGAACTTACTTCGAATAGGATTTTACTATCTTGATAATATAATTTGGAGCTACATATATATCGGAATTAAGGGTTTCATAAATATATACAGAAGCTATTTTAAATAATTCTATATTTTTAATTCCTGCTTTGCTATATGCGCCAATTATATGTACATAAGAAATGAAATTTTGTTGCAAGCTTTTTTTACTTAGGTTATGAATATTAGTCTTTTCATTTTCATATATTTTAATTATAGAATCTGCTATTGTGTTCATAAAAAATGTATTAACTTTACTAAAATATGTAAGAGATAAGCATAAAACAGATAAATCACGTATGGAATATTTTCCAATAGTAGGGAGAATTATATCGATACAATTTTCATATATTTTATTATCATTAATTTTTATTTGTTTAAAATGATTAATAATGGATGATATTTCTTTTGGCTTTAGTTCCTTATGAAATTCATAAAACTTCTGTTCAATTAATCTCCATATACACAAATCGTATATTTGACAGTTTTTTATTTTACAACTCAATTTGTACAAGTTATTTCCAGTTTTGCAATTCTCTACAGATTTGTATAAATCGTACAAATAAAAATCCTTCGAATTACTATTCCTTCTGTTATATTCTGTGTAGCTAATTCCTTTCTTCAGGATATAAAAAAAATTTATCTTACTTGTAATGTCATATATCCTGTGTGCATGACTATGGGAATCATAAATTTTCCCTATGTGAATTAATGTCCGTGACATTGAGATGGAGACGACGTACACAAAAAAAAAAAAAAAAGAAGCTGTTATTCTACTTTCCTCATAAAAATTTGTTTCATATAGTAGATTTACTGAGTGGATGCGAATGGAGGTGGACATGTTGAGGAAATTAATAGTCATAACTCAGTTATGTACATATAGGTAATAGAACTATTAAATGTATGATGCACGGTAACTGCTTGAGTAAACTTGTAAACAGTATATAACTGAACACAATTTTGCATATGTAGTATTTCCTCTTTTTTTCTTTTTTTTTTTTCTACCTTATTCGGGTGCTACGATGGTTCCTAGTAAGGGTACCTACTCGCGTTCACAACTAAATGAACACAAATACGTATAACATTTATGCATGTTTATCCATGCTTGTTCACGCTTAATCCATACTTTTGCAGGATGGACATTTCACTTATACAAGTTAGAGCCTCGAAAAAGTTTCACACGTCCATGACCACAAGGAAATGAAGCCTTCCCTGATCAGCCATCACACGACGGGAACTGTTACATGAAAATGGTGAAGTAATAATTGAAAATGCAGCAAAAAAAAATAAAATAAAAAGTCAATGTGAATGAGAAAGAGGATTTTTAAGCTAGGAAACAACTAAATGACAAACATTCTTTTCTCCCTTTCGTGCTTCAACAAACGTTGCTTAACAGGAACATACATACAGTATGGGTAAAGCATACCCAGGCATTTTTTTTTTTTTTTTTTTTTTTTTTTTTTTAGTGAAATATTTTTTTTATTTTTTAACTAATTTTTTTTTCCCCCTCCTTTTAATTAATTACTTTATTTCAATTTATTTTTTTGTCCACTTTTAACCCGTGCGGGATGCAAAAAATGTGAAAGAAAAAGGAATGACGAAATATGTGCACATGCCATTTTTCGGATATAAATCTTATTCTATTCTGTTCACTCAAAGGAATCCACTACATTGTCTGTTTGTTAAAGTTGCAAACATACTGCCATATTTTTTTTTTTTTTTTTTTTTTTGCATAACTCTTAAACTTTTTTTAGTGCATAACAAAAATTTCCCTCCTCTTGTTTATTCCCAATTTATGTATTCCCCGTATTACGTGAAAAGGAGGGTTAATGTATGTCACACTAATTAGCACATGTCAAATATGCCCAGGGGAAAAAAATGACCAACTCGTAAAAAAGTTATATGCACATATGTATGCGTGCTGATATGCACACGTGTATGCGTGCTGATATGCATACGTGCATACTTGCTGATATACAAACATGTATACATGCTGATATACACATATGCAGACATCCGCGTAGACTCATACATGCTCACTTGCGTAAGGAAATCAAATGCATTAATTTCTGCAACTACCCATTTGCACACACAGCAATACATGACCATACACGAAGATGGACATCAATTTGTACATCCACAGTATTGAGGTGGAGCTGCTTGATAAGGAAATAAATATGATTGATAAGGAGAAGGAGGAAGAAAATGTAGTTTACTGTTTGCACATTAAAGTGGAAAATGGCTCCCGGAACGATGATTCAAATTGTGATTCAAGTAGACCCTTCAGCGATACTTGGCGTGGTTTCAAGAATGAACTCATTAGTGGCCTGTTTTATGAAACACCATGGTACATGTGCATTAAGAAGGAAAAAAGCGAAGTATGCATGATGTGTTATGAAGTCAACATTTCTCAAGCTTTTAACATGTTGGAGAATGATGTTAGTATATATATTGACACAGAAAAAAGGGGATTCAACCTGTTGGTGTAACAATAGAGGGACTACTTTTCCTCTGCCCCCCCCCTCTAACCGTCATTGTACCTGATTTTTTTTTTTTTTTTTTTTTTTTTCTACATGTACGCAGTCATCTGTATCCTATCGAAAATGCTCATAACGAGTTACACAACTACACATTCTAACATATAAGAATAAGTAATTATCCCAATTTATATATTTGTTTTATTGTTTTATTATTTTTTACATACTCAGGAGGGACTCACACTGTATGTTCTGAGAAAAGAATTGAGCAAAGACAAAGTTCAGTACCTGCACCGAAACCAACTGAACATGAAGAATAAAAGGTTATATGATAAGAACAATTGTATCGATTTTGAAACTGATAACATAAAAGGGAAAATAAAAGTGTATTTAAAAAATGGAATAGTTTATAATAATATATTAAAGGAAATAAAATCAGATAACTTTGTTAAGGATGCCCATTTTGAGAAATTAACTTCCAATGGATTTTCCACAAGGTCAAATGAAAAAATAGTGGATGATAAATTTGGAGAATGTACGAAAGAACAAAACAGATTGTTACAGGATAAATCTATAACTAACGATTTTAATGAGTTACTAAATTCGAGGAAAGTTTTGTATTGGGTATACGTAGATGATAACAATAAGGAACAAGGACCTTTTAGCAGTAACACAATTTTTACATGGATCATAAATGAATACTTTGAAGATGAAACATTAATAAGACTACATGATAAGCACAAATATTATAAATTGTATGAAGTAATTGGATACATTGAAAAAAATGTTCTACTAAATTCTTACAATGATGAATTACTATACGATCAAACTGGGGACAAAACTCAGATCATGCATCAACATAATGATAAGGAAAGTATTAAAGTTCAAAAAATAGACGAAGCGGATTCATATCCAATTGTGCAGCATATAGAGATGGACAAAATTTGGTGCCAAGGTTTAGGTAACCAAAATGGTATCAAGAATTATTTCAAAAAGGAAAATGAACAAATTTTGGACATAGGGGAGGAATACAGCGAAGAATGTAAAAAAAAAAATTCGGAAAAAATATCTTGTGCATATGAAAACAAAATGGATACAAAGGATATTACATTTGATGTAGGTACCAAAAGTGAAGAATATTCTAATGTAGTAAATGCAACAATCTGTAACAAAAAGATGAGTAACAAAAATGTGAAAAAGAAAAATCAAGTAAAAAGGCTAAAAAAAGAGATTAAAAGAATAAAAGATGAAATGGTTAAGTTGAAGGAAAATGCGTGCTCCAGTAGATATTTAGTTTTTGATGATGCCGAGATGGAACGATACCCTGGGTTACCAGACAATCCCGAGGCAACAGTAGAAGCAGTAACATCAGATGAAGAAGAAGAAGAAAAGGAAAAAAAAAAAAAGAAGAAAACCTCCAAATGTGCATCAAAGGGTACCGCGAAAAGGACCTCAGAAAGCACCGCAGAAGAAGAAAATGTGTTTATCTCCAAAAATGATTTACAACACGGAGTGAGTAATAACATAATTGGTAAGACAATACAAAATGAATCTGTTCAAGAAAATATCAAAAGACACAAATATAGTTGTGTACATAAGAAGGGGAGAAACAATTCCCATTATAATGATAAAAATATAGTAGCGAGATTTGACAAATCTTGTGGAAATTGTCCCAATACTACTTCTTCAAGTGAAACGGACATAATCGAGAAAATAATTAGTGACATAAATGAAGAATTTCGAATAAAAGAAAATTATCAAAAACAAAGGTGCATTGAAATTGCAATGAGTAGCATAAATCAAGCACAAAAATGTCTTTTGAATATAAAAAAGAAGAGAATGACTTCTTACTTGAACAGAATAATAAACTTATCAATTCATGATCAGGCTATATACATAAGCAATGATGTGTCAAAGTTGGTCAATACGGGGAAAAAGAATTTGAGGAAATACAATCCTACATATGACACGTCTACTTATTATAGATCATGTACAGAATGTCCAATATGTGATATTGGAAAAAGTGAAATTCCGAGCGAGAGTGTATTAAGAAGTGTGAACCAAATTACAAACAAGAAATCTTACCTTTCCGAGAGTAGGAAATTTGGAGAAGATGTTTTAGCAGAAATCTCGAGGAAAAAGAAAATGGATTATTCGTTAGTAATAAATAAGGGACATGTGAAAACATCTGAGAATGATAAATCAGGGAATGAAAAAAGAGACTTGGAAAGAATGATAAAGAAAGGAACTGGAATTGATAAAGGAAGAAGGATCAGTGACATGAGGAGTGAAAAGGAACAAGCAACCATTCTATGCTTTAACCTTCAGAAGAACACAGAAGTTGTGTTTAAATATTACTTGAGCTATGACAAATTTTTAAATTGTGTAATTTTTATACAGTACAATGTAAGAAAATGGCTAAGAAAGAGGAAAAAACATAGAAGAGTGGCGAATAAGAGCTATTATCATGTTTGCAATTCAGGAAAATTAACACATTTGTGTGAAATGAATGGTAGGGGCATACATAACAACAATGGAGAAATCGAAGAAGAAGAAGAAGAAACGGAAGAAGCCAGAGAAGGAAAAAAGAAAAGTAAGACGGGTAGAACGAAATACAAATCGGTCCTAGTGAATCATATATTCTCAAGAGATTCTTATTTAAACAATGAAAAGAAGGATATATCCGAATTGTATGATAATGTTTTAAAGCAACAAACAAGAAACGAAAGCAAAGGAATGAAGATACCATTTAACTGTACTACAGTACTACGAAACCTTGAAGACGGGGAAAAAGGTTTTTCCTTGCAAAATTGTAGAAATGGTGATTACATTTTTAAAAAAAATGATGGTATGAACAGATGTGAGGAAGATGGACTCATGAAGAGGTGCAAGGAGAAGGGATTATTTAAAGAATTTTCCAATTTGTTTAACAAAAAGTTTGAATATGAAAAAGATGAAAAAGGAGTCAAAAGGGAAGATATTGAAATGATAAAAGAAATGTCTAACATAAAAAGTCATGATATAAATATAAAACAAGATGATCCAAGATTAAATAAGCAAACTGTACATGAGCATTTATGTAATGTGTTAAGTAAGTATAAAAGTTTTAGTGAGGAAAACAGAACGTATGAAAATTTGAATGATTTGAAAAGGAATGACAAATTTACACTGAATTTAAACAAGTATAATAGCTTTCTCAAGTCGATAGAAAAAAAAGATATCACTAACAAAAGGGACACATTATTAAAAATAGTCAATAGCGTGAAATTTGAAAACATATTAAATGAAAAGAAAAAGAGCTACAAAACGCAAAAGGATTTTAAACATGGTTCTATTATGTCCATGTCAAATTCGTTTCTTAACCATAAACAAAATATCACCAATAATTGAATTTCTAATAATTCATTGCAGAACGGGTTACATAATAACAGCATTAACATAGTTATTAGCATAGGTAGAAATGATAATCAAATAGCACTAGTTAAACTTCTACAAAAAGGTGATTTGGGGTGTATATGTATGTTTGGGTGGGTATGGGAAGGATATATTGGTAAAAAACAAGTAAATTTAACTGATTATACAAGTATAAACAATAGTGTAAAAAATTTTTTGTTTAACAAATTTGGGAATAAAAAATTGAAAAATATTGTAACGAATAATTTTTATGAAGGGTATTATTACAATCAATTTTTAAAAAATCACAATGACATTTTTGTTACAAAAAGGTGAAAGGTTATTTCTTTTAAGTGAAGACAGAAACAATCACATTGCACTCGTGTGTGCATGTTGTTCTTTGTTTTTTTGTGAGGTAATATGATATATGTTATAATTGTGTAAACATTGAAAAGGTTTTCCATTTTTTTTTTTTTTTTTTTTTTTCGATCTGCCCATTTATTTTGTTTCATTAAATGAGAATGTTTTAGTAAATACGAAAAAGTAGAATTTGTGTTTACATCATTTATTTGAAAGTTTACAATTTTTTTTTTTTGTATCATTAATTATCTATGCCAGTATAAACGCACTCTTTTTTTTTTTTTTTTTTTTTTTTTTTTTTTTTTTTTTTTTTTTTTTTTTTTTTTTTTTTTTTTTAATTTATGAACAGTTTAGTGTAGACTTATTATCATTAAAAAATAAAATTGTTCCCTGTATTAATGGTTAATTAGGACGAAAAATTTATTGTGGGGGTTAAAAATTGTTCCATGATGGGCAAGTAATATGGGGGAAAAAAAAAAAAAAATTACACATGCACATGTACAAACAAACTGTGCAGCTTACACCGCGATGAAAACTGAACCAGATCATCAGTCACATTTCTGCTATATGTAAGGGGTTGCAGTCTTTTGTTTATTTGATACGTCTTTTAACAGGTTCGAGTTAATAGTTCCCGGTCCTAATTCGTATCCAAAATTATATCCATGTTTTAAAATATTTTCCAAACAAGTATTTATTTGAATTGGGCTAGTTAACTGCAGAAGCAGTAACTGTTTAATTATGTAGGGGTCGTCATAAGCACAACCATCAACATTTGATATAACAGGTATTTTTAATTTTTTGAATGTTATTTGCTTTAACACATTTTCTAAAACTTTTTTAGCTGGAAACATGTAAGAAGAATGAAATGGCCCGGATATTTGTAACTTCTTTGTAAAAACAGCTTTATATTTTTCTTTTGCTATTTTGTTAAGGTATTCCATACTTTCCGGTTTTCCACATAAACCGAATTTTTTAGGTGTCATATAACTAACAATAAAAATATCATCATTCATTTTTTTATTTACATCATCTATCAATTTGTGAATGTTATCTATAGTTAATCCAACAACTGCGATAGTTGTCATATCATACAATTCCGCACAATTTTGCATTGCTCTTCCCCTTTCTTTTGTTAAATATACTCCTTCTTCAAAAGGTAAAGCTTCTGAACATGTTAAAGCAGAATATTCACCTAATGAGTATCCCATACATAAATTTAATTTCATGACTATGTCTTGATTTTCTTGTTTCAATTTTTCAAACGCAGCAATGGATACAGTGTAAATTGATGGTTGCGAAATTTGAGAATCTTTTAATTTTTCTATTGGCCCATTTTTTATGACATCCATTAAATTGTAACCTAAAACTTTGCTTGCGCGATCATAAATTTCTTTAGAGTTTTTACAAGTGTTATACGTATCTAAACCCATGGATATGTACTGTTCTCCTTGTCCTGGAAAAAAAAAAGTATATTTAGAGCTGTATGTTTCTATTCTATATTTTTCAAAATCTTTTAGTTTCTTTTTTACATAATTTTCATTTTCAGATGATGTCATAATTTTCTCATTCATTTCATCGTTCTGATTTTGTTCTTTGGTTAATCTCCTTCTGTTCTTTTTATTATTTTTGTTTACACCACTATGAAACATCCCCATGATTGATCTTTCTTTTAAAATGAAGCCTTTACTTACTTCTGAACTCCATAATATGATTCTTGTTACCGTTGCAGCTATGGTTAGAAGTGTATAGGGTTTTTTCAAAAACATCTTGTTTAGTTCTTATGCCAAAGGGGAAACTATGTATAACACTATTCTTACAGTTGTTCCTGCAAATTCATATATTTCTGCCTATGTGTATCCTTATAGTTATGCACTATTTTGATGTTCAAAAAAAAAAAGAATATAAATAAATAAGCGTATTTTGTGAAATATAAAATTTTCGTATTTTTCCTAGACTGCACTTGATAGTGTGTAACGTTGATTTGTTTTGGGTGCAACTCGTTAATTTTATAAAATCTTTTTTATGTGCATACATAAATGTACGTAGGCATTTTCATGCCTTAATGAATTATTTCTTCCCTTTTTGTTAATTACATGAGTTTCTTTTCTTTTTTTTTTTTATTGTTTTACTATTATTTTCTCTCTCTCTCTCTTTTTTTTTTTTTTTTTTTTTTTTTTTTTTTTTTTTCCCTTTTTTTTTTTTTTTTTTTTTTTTTTTTTTTTTTATTTTTTTTTTTTTTATTTTTTTTTTTTTTTTTTTTTTTTTTTTTTTTTTTATTTTTTTTTTTTTTTCTTTTTTTTTATTTTTTTGTTTTTTTTTTTTTTTTTTTTTTTTTTTTTTTTTTTTTTTTTTTTTTTTTTTTTTTTTTTTTTTTTTTTTTTTTTTTTTTTGTTTTCTTCTTCCCCTTCTTTATGTTTGCACGGATGTGTACACTAATCAAAATGTACATACCAACATAACTGTCTGTACTTATGTTACATGTGCGTACAAGCATATGTTTGATCAGTTCTTCCTGTAATATTACTTTTACGTTTGTTCTTCTTGTTCATTCTGAGGAGATACCATGTAAGAAAAGTATCAAAATAAAAAAGTCTATACAGTGTAACGGTGTATCAAAATCACTAAAAAAAATAAATAAGCAAAAAAATTAAATGTAGAATTAACAAATTTATAAATTATTCTCATTCTTAGTAAACCTTTTTTTTTTTTTTTTTTTTTTTTTTGAAACCAGAAATTTTGTATGCATACATTCTTATGTAAAAAAAAAAGAAAAAAAAAAAAATAATATAATATAATTGAATATTGAAATAAAAGAATAAATTTTTCTACTCTTTGTCAGGCAAGAAAAACTATCGTTATACATTTTGTAAAAATGAAATGAGGCCACAAAAGATCCTCTTCATGTTTAATATATAATATTTTTTTTTTTTTTCACCATTTTTAGCAACTTAAAAAGTGGACGTGTTTCAATGATGTGAACGTAGAAACAAAGTGAAAAACAAATAAAATGTATTAAATGAAAAAGGAATTAGAGGAATGTTTAACTCTAATAAGTAATGAATTTGTAGTTCCATCTTTGTCTTTTACTTCGTATAAGAAAATCATATTACATTTCGATATATGTATCCTAATACTTACTTCAACTGAATGTGTCATCATGTGTGGTGATATGACACCATTTATGTGTTTTTCTTCTTTTTTCAAGCAGTATAATCTTAATTTAAACATATCTATTAAAAAAAAAAATAAAATATATAAGGTTCCTATTTTAATAAAGCTGCTAAGTGTTTTTTTTTTTTTATTTATTACCGTTACTAACAGAATAATTCTAAATAATATATGTATTTTTTTTTTTATAATTATACGAATTTACTAACAATTTATTAGGTGTTTCTTAACAGGTGTACCTCTCCTCACTCTCTCAACTTTGATTTTATTGGCATCCCTGTATATTGTCTATAATAAAGTTCTCCTAAGTATGTGTATGTGCATATAACGCTGGTTGAATGAGTTGTGTCTTATGGAGAAAAAAGAACAAATGATGTGAAGTACACAAATGGGAAATATTTTATACTTAGTAAATATTTCGCAAGTGTAATTGTTTTTATTTTTTAAAAAAAAATGTACAGAACGCAAATGTGCATATTGAAAGTATGTTCATGCCTTATATGGCCAATTTGTTTGATTCCGTATTTATGATTTTTACTTCCCCTTCCATATTTGCTTCTATAGTAGTTCACTAAGAATATCACAATAATACATTTCATATGTATCCATTGTAATGGGATAAGTACCTCCACTTTATGAATCTACCTTTTAAAAAGAATTAATTGATAATTAATTACACATGACTGAAAATGTAATTACATTACCCAAGGGGATATATGCTCATGTATTTTATGACATATCTATGCTAGTATACTGCCCCCTAATACGGAGAAGAAAACAAAAAAATTATAAAAAAAAATAAAAAAACTCAAGGAAAATTTAAAATTCGTATATGTACGTAACACGTGTACATTATACATACGAATTGGGTAATATGTTTGTGTTAAATATAAAGAAATATGCATGTTCAGTAATACTATTGCAATGAAAAAAAAAAAAGAAAAAAAAAAAAAAAAATTGAGGAAGAAAAAAAGAGGAAAAATGGAAAAAAATAAAAAATTGAAGACCTATTGTTTTAAAAAAAAAAAAATTATGGAAAATAAAATCTCACAACAATGTCGCGAATATGTTTATTAAAAAATCAGAATGTACATGTGTTGTCTGGTTGGGGATACATTTTTATATTTGTAATGCCAGAACATTGTAATAGCTGGGAAATTAATGCGCTAAAATGGAGCTCATATGCTCTTATCATTTTTCTTATTTTATTCTAACGTATTTGGAGTGGCTAAAAATGTAAACCATATATAGTGGAGAGGGTTTAAAAAGGAAAAAAGTGAAACGGGGGTTTGCTAACTGTACACTAGACAAGTTGGGAGCATATGCAACGTGCACTTAATTTATCATTTAATTCTACGTCCTTTAAGGGAAGGCCATATATATATAGACACACAAGCGCAAACACACACACGCACAAAAAAACACACGCACAAAAAAACACACGCATAAACACACATGCACGTATGAATAAACGAACCCCCTCAAATCAAACAATGGGCAACGTATTGTGTGAGTTTGAGTTGTGTGGTAACCAGGTTTTTGTGGCTTCTTAGAGATCTCACTTCTCAACCAGATTTCGAAGGCCAACCGTTATTTCTTCCTCCAAGGCCTTGAAATACTTCTTAAAATATTCATCTGAGTTTTTTGGGGATTCAAATTTCATATGTGTAATCTTATTTATGGTTGGCCTTAAGGTATTATAAATAGAGCCCCAGCCAATTTTCCTCTCTCGTGAGTCATATTCTTGTAATGTCCTCAAGCACTGAGCATAAAAATGGCATATGATTTTCATCATACCAACTGTTTTTTGTAAAGGGCACATATAGTCATAATCACTAAATGCATTTTGTTGAAGAAAATCTTCTCTTATAATTTTGGCAACTTCCATTACTACTTTTTGATCTTCTGATAGGGAATCTTTTCCAACCAGCTGAACTATGTCATTTAAATCACTTTCTTGTTGTAATATATCACTTATTTTTTGTCTCAATGATAAGAAATCTTGATCAAAATTATCAAAATATTGTTCTAATTGCCTTACATATTTAGAAAAAGAAGTTGACCAATTAACTGATGGAAAATGTTTTCTCTGGGCTAATTTTTTATCTAATCCCCAAAATGCTTGTACGATAGACATGGTTGCTGTTGTTACTGGATCAGAGAAGTCTCCTCCTGGTGGAGAAACAGCACCTACAATAGTGATAGAACCCGTACGAGATGGAGATCCAATGCATTTCACTTTACCTGCACGTTCATAAAAAGAAGCTAATCTAGCACCTAAGTAAGCAGGATATCCACTATCAGCTGGCATTTCTGCTAAACGTCCAGAAATTTCTCTTAAAGCTTCAGCCCATCTACTAGTACTATCAGCCATCATAGTAGCATTATATCCCATATCACGAAAATATTCACACAGTGTTATACCTGTATATATACTTGCTTCCCTTGCTGCAACAGGCATGTTGGATGTATTTGCCACTAGGCATGTTCTTTGCATAATACCAACATCTTCATTATCCACCTTTGTTGTTAATTCTGGAAAATCTGATAAAATTTCAGCCATTTCATTTCCTCTCTCTCCACACCCTACATAAATAATTACTTCACTATTTGAATATTTTGATAAAGCCTGAGATACACATGTTTTTCCACATCCAAATGCACCAGGAATGGCACAAGTACCTCCTAACACGGTCGGGAATAAAGAATCTAAGACTCTCTGTCCTGTTAATAACAATGTGTCACCCGTTACTTTTTCTAAAACTGGTCTTGGGTCTCTAACTGGCCACAGATGTGACAATCCATACGTATATTTCTTTCCCTGGTATTCTAATTCAAATATTTTATCCTTCAATGTGTATGATCCATCTGGTGCAATATATGTAACTCGGCCTTTTGCATTTGGCGCTGCCATAATTTTATGTTCTTTAAACAATTTATTTTCATCTACATATCCAAATATATCTCCACCTGTTATTATATCATTTATTTTCACTTTTTTATCTGCATAAAATTGCCATGTTTTATCATGATCTAGGGATGTCATATCTATTCCCTTAAAAATATAAACATCACCACATACATTTGCAATTCTTTCTAAAGGTCTTTGGATTCCATCATATATATTATCTAATATTCCTGGTCCTAATTCTACTGATAAGGCATTTCCTGTTTTTGTTACAGGGTCTCCAACTGATAGTCCAGATGTGTCTTCGTAAACTTGTATATATGCATAATTGCCCTCTAATCGTATAATTTCTCCAACCAATTTATTCCATCCGACTTTGGCTAGCTCATACATTCTCGTACCGCTCATATTTTCAGCAATAACCAGTGAACCTGCCACTTTGTATACAATCCCGGGTTCTTCATTTTCTGAGGATGGCTTCGTCATTTTGGAATAATGGATGAATGTGTTTCAGGGTAGGTATGATGCCCGAGTAAACGGGTGTTTTGGCACAGATGATATATCGTGCGTTTGGATAAATTGTATTCTATAGGTATAACAGAAGCAGCTTAAGAACAGAATGTAAAGTGAAAAACAAAAAGGACCACTTCAGGGTGTGTAAAAAAAAAAAAAAAAAAAAAAATCGTTAGCGTGGGTATATATTAAAACGAGTGAAAAAAAAAAAAAAAAATTTCTACTTATTCAAGCTTTCATACACGTTCACATTATTGTTTACATAATTTACAAATGCTACGTGTGTGAAGGAGAATAAACTGACAAAATAATAATGGCAACAAACGATTGGTAAGTCAAAGCATAACTGAATTCCCTCGAAGCGCAATGGTAAAATTGAGTAAATGTGCCCTTAATTGTGTGAATTATATTTTAATTTAACTTCATTTAATTTGCTTTATTTTACTATATTTTGCTAAGTTTTACCACATTTTGTTATGTATTACCACATTTTGCTATGTAATACCACATTTTGCTATGTATTACCTTATTTTGCTATGTATTACCGTATTTGCTATTTATTACCTTATTTGCTATGTATTACCTTATTTGCTATGTATTACTACATTTTGCTTTCATTTACTTTATTCTTTTTCGGAATTAATAATTTTGTGGTAGTCGAAAAACATATATATACCTAATGGCCTCTATTCTGATGCAGATCTGTCAATTTATGTAAATATCGTGTGTTTTTCACAAGTTCGTTAATTCGCATACCATTGCGTTGGGTCAGTAGAAATACTGGAACATTTATGTCCGCACGCGCTCATGGGATTATTTTATTTTTGTCATGATATTGTTTTATGTTTTTTTTAAAAAGATAGGACCTCATTCTTCAGGCAGAGCACTTAAAAACAGTTTTTTTTTTTTTTTTTTTTTTTTTTTTTTTTTTTTTTTTTTCCCTTAAGGTGGTGGTAATTATAAGAAGTTGAGTATACCGTGCGAAAACGTATTTTCAGTTTTATTCCATAATAATATATTAAATGTATGTTTTCGTAAAATGTTACATATGTGTGATGCCCATTTTTATTTATTTATATTTTTTTATGCAGTGTGTGTTTTTCCTTACCAGAAGAAATAGCATTTTTTTTTTTTTTTTTGGGCATCCCACACATTTGGGTAAATATATCATGTATCACCAACAATATATAAGTGTGCGTGGGATATTATTATATATGCACATGACTTAATGAATCACTACAAGCAGATATAGGGATGTACACATTCTTTACCTTAACTTATTCTACCCATATGTGAATTAAATCCATAAATAAAACGGCATAAAAATGCCTTTCAAATTTCACACCATCTTGAAGGGTGTGATATTCCTTTTCCTATGTTTCTTATTTATCAAAACATGCACTGTTATGTTATGTTCATTGAGTATGGGATAATTTTACAAGCTGGTGAAGTGTCACATATGTTAATTTGCAAAGGTATTACTAGGTAAATACAAGCTTGCATTTATTTTTCCCTTTGGCTTTTCCCTCCATAATCGTTGTGATGTGTCAACGAATAAGTATATAATTAGGTAGGATGTATCCAATAAAAGAAGAGGACTTGTTTTTGTACACACAGAAAGAAGCACACATATTTTTCGTTTTTTTAACACAAAAATGAGGGGCTTTTTCTGACGAAGGGGAATTAATTTATTCCTTCTTTTTTTTTTTTTTTTTGTATTCTATACCTGGAGCATATATGCATAAACATACGACACTCATTTGTGTTTGTATAAGCCAATGATATAGAATACAGTGAAAACTGGAAAAATATTCAAAGGAATGAAGGCCTGTTTGTGTGAATGGATTTACGTCAGTTATATAGAGGTTCACAAGGAATAATAGCAGTAATATATATAAATATATGTAAATATACTTATGCGTTTATTTACTTATTTACTCTTTTTTTTCTTTTTTTTTTTTTTTTTTTTTTTTGCAAACGTGTGTAATGGGTATGGTTACAAGAATGAACACATTTTGAAGAAATGTGCAACTTTTTTGTAAACTGATTGTTATCGTTAGTTTTTCCTTATTCATGTATGTGTACATATGAGCTTATTCACATTTTGTAGATATTCCCACACGCAAACAAACTGCAAAAGCTTCAAAAAAAAGTATAAGGGAGATATATGTCAGAGAAATTTTGTTACACAGTGCGCATTGCATGTGTATTTTTTGCAATAAATCCTAGCATTCTACTACTTTTATTTGTTTATGTTTTTTTTTCATAACACGAAAAGAGAAGAAAAAAAAAAAAAAAAAAAAAAATTACAACCCCATATCACCCCTTTTTTTTATAACGAGAATATGCTATTAACATCGCTTGGTGAATAAGTTCGCTCCTCATATTTATGTATAGAGTATTAAAAGGAATAATGGTCTTGAAAACATGTGTATTGGAAATGTATGATCGTATAAAATGTCAATGGTTTTTCTTTACTCAAATTGAAATGTATGAAAAAGATAAATGAATCTTTATGCGGGAAAAGTGCATCTGTAAGCATACATGTGTATAATTTTTTTTTAATGTTGTTCTGCGTGTGATGACAGTAGATTCCTATAAAACCCTAAATGGGATAGACCTGGAGATAGTTTGGAGCGAATCTAACTCACAATTTGTTAAGCACATTCCAAAGTTGAAATAAAAAAAACATCGCTTGAGAGTTTAAGTTTTTTTTTTTTTTTTTTTTTTCTCATCCATTCCCCATAGAATTTACCAATGTGTAATGAAATAAACGTAACAATATATGTATGAAACATTTCCCATTTCAAGATGATAATAAAGGCACGAAAGAGAGGAGAAATATATAATTCCTTTACAAAAGACTTTTATACCTCGTATAGTGATGCGGATATACTCATTATGACAACCATTATAACATCACACAGATGTTACTACCTACCACAGTTATTCGGTTGGGCACCTATGTACTGACGTGTATGCATGCTGAAAATGAGTCCCTGTAATCTCTATGCATTTAACGGTGTGTGTGTTACATTTTTTTTTTTTTTAAAAAGTAAAATTTTTTAGTTCTTAAATGTAAATAATTTCATTTCTATCACAATTGGTCTCTTATATTTACCCTCTCGGGTTATGTGTATATGGAGTTTTCATGGCGAAAAAGTAAATATGTATGCAGGTATGTGTGTATATGCAAAGTTTTGCATAACGTATGCGTTATATTTTTATAAGCGCCTTTGTTTCTTCTACAAGCAGGAAAAATGGATTTCTCCTTTTTTTTTTAAACTCTCACATTACATGAATTACACATTGTAAGTACATGTATATATGTACATACATATACGTCGAATGTGCGTGCCAGCTGGGTAAGGGGATTTATAACTTATTTGTGAGTCTTAATAAGTATTCCTTCAGATTATTGGATATGTTTTCCATGGAAAGCATCCTGTTCATTTCGTTCATCATCATGTCTTGTCGTTTTTGGTCAAGTTTATTCCATAATTTAAAGGGATCACATAACTGTGTGGCAACCATGGGATTGAATTTATCAACTTTCATAATAATATCTGCCATCATTTTGTATCCCTTTCCAGAAATGTCATTGAAATATCTTAAATTGTAAGTGAATGGAAGATAAACAGCTCTAATTTCATTGGGATTTTTACTATCCTTTAATACTTCTGTTTCTAGTTTTTTGATGATATCATATATGTCTTTTCTATCTGATCTGGATACAGTCTTCAACCATTCCTGTAGTAATAATTCATCATCTTTGGACTTATTGTAGGTATCTTTATAGAGGTCGAAATATTTATCATAATATGCTGATACAGCTAAGCTGGCTAGCCAATTGGATGGATATGGTGATTTTGAGTGTTCCAAAATGTGATCCAACATATGGGGATATTTAGCTTTGCTTAATAGGGTTAATAAGGTATTTCTTAATTTTCTTAAATTTAATTGTTCAAAATCGACATAAGATTCATCTTCAAAATGTGTCATGTCGTCAGCTTTGGCTTGGATGTTTTTAAAGATTTTGAAGTAAAGATCATTCAATTTATCACCCAACTGTTTGTATATAAAATCTTTCGTATCAGCTAATACATCTGTATCTACATTGGTAATATGATTTATGATGAATCTATCACGTGGTAGAGTTATAATATATGATTTGAAACCTGCATCTGCATGAGGATCTTCCATTAGATATCTGATGGCATTAATGAAATCTTCATTTACGGGTGTTAATGTTGGTTTCTCAACAGAATCTTGTTTATTTTCCGATTTGGCTTGTAGCAACTCTTGGTAATTTTTTAAAATTTGTTTCATGTATAGATCTACACAAACATTATATCGTACAAATGCATCTGTGTCATATTTTAGAAGTAATATTCTTTCAGTATCAGTTAAGTTATCTTTAATATAAACAGGTGCACTAAATCCTCTGAATAAAGATGGTATAGGTTTCTCATTTACATTTTTAAAAATGAACCTGTCTTTATCTTTCTTAAATTCTAGAGTAGTTTCTGGAATAACCTCTTTTCCATTGTGCGGATTAATAAAACCAACCTTGATAGGAATAAATAAAGCCTTCTTTTCTGTTTGATTTGGATCTGGATATGTAACCTGCGTTACATCAATTACGAATTCTTTTTTACTTGCATCATATGAATATTCAGCTGTCACATGAGGAGTACCACTTTGTGAGAACCATAATAAATATTGATCTAAATTTGCTGTGTTGTCACCTTTTTTTAATTTATATGCTTCATTCATAGCATCGTTAAAATCTTCACATGTTGCTGTGCTACCATCATTCTTTTTAAGGTATATGTCCATTCCTTTCTTGTAATATTCATCTCCTAATATAGTTTGATACATTCTCATTACTTCACTACCTTTATCATATACAGTCGTGGTGTAGAAATTGTCCATACTAACATATGATTCTGGTCTAATCGGGTGAGCTAAGGGAGAAGAATCTTCCAAAAATTGGACACTTCTTAATACATCAACATGATCTAAACGGAATGTAGCTGTTTTGGTTGTTTGTTCAGAAAATAAATTTTCTCTATGTACGGTCAAACCTTCCTTAAGAGTTAACTGAAACCAATCCCTTAAGGTAACTCTATTACCAGTGTAGTTATGAAAATATTCATGTCCAACAACAGTTAATATTCTTTCGAATGAGAAATCAATGGATTTTTTCTTAGATGCTAATAAAGAGTTCGCATTAAAAATATTTAATCCTTTATTTTCCATTGCACCAACGTTGAAGTCTGAAACAGCTACAAGGTTTAATCTTGACAAGTCGTATTCTAAGCCAAAATAATCTTCGTCAAATTTCATAGCTTTTTTTAAACATTCTAAAGCCCATTTTAATTTAGATACATATTTCTCTTCACTGAATACATATAATTCTACTTTCTTTTTTGAAAATTTGGTAACATAACTATCACTCAAATGTTTCAAATCTCCAGCAACCACAGCGAATAAATAACATGGTTTCAAATGCGGGTCATTAAATCGAGCTCCATGTCTTCCTCCAGGTATTTGAAATTCATTTAATTTATCACCATTGCTTAGAAGTACTGGATATTTTTCTTTATCTGCTGTAACTGTTACATCATATTTAGCCATCATATCTGGTCTATCAATAAAGAAAGTAATTCTTCGAAATCCTGTAGCTTCGCATTGGGACACTATGATATTCTTTGTTTTATACAAACCTGTTAATGCATAATTTGTTTCTGGGTGTATAATAACTTCAGAACTGAATGTGAATTTTCCCTTTGGAATGAACTTTGAATATATGGTTAAAAATTCGTTATCATATGTGTAATGTTCTCCTTCCTTTAATTTATTGTTGTCAATAGATATCTCTTTAATTTCTAAACTAACACCATCAAATATGAGATCTTCTCCATTATAATGTTCACTCAGTTTCATGTCCAAAATGGATCTTACAGATGTTTCTTTGTCGTAAATATTTATATTCAACGTCACATTATCAATGACGAATCCACTTGGTTTGTAATCTTTTCTGTAGTGTATTATGGGTTCATTTTTTCCATGGTTCTCATTATCGTCTCCTGTAACTGAACTCACTGCAGTGTTCGCTCCATCGTTAGTGGCACCTGTGACACCTGACATTTTTTCGATTTCACCCAATGCATTTTTGCTCTTATCCTGTGGGTGGGCGGAATTAACACCATTATTGTTTCCTTCTGATGAATCCCCTCCTCCTGATATGTTATTATCCTGATTTGGTATACTCATGTTGTTTGTACTGTTGTTATCACCCTTCTCACTCATTAACCTTTTTTGTATTATGTACGATGGAAATGGTGATCTCCTAATACTGTAGTTCCTAATACCTGATGATTGGTCCTTTCGAAATATATCTAGATTGACAAATTTCGATAACTGCAAATCATATATCAAGGATGATAAGGTAATCAGTGCCTTTGCCTTTGTACTTGTTTTGTTTGCATTAATTCCACTTAACGCGCGATTAACTATACCGCATGGATTTTTTCTACAGCTCTTACTAATCATGCACGTATTTTTGTAATCTATGGGTGTATGTTTTACTAAGGCTACTAAAACCGTTATAAATAAAAAATGTAGATTGAGCATTTTTTTTGTTATCATTTTGCGTAATAAGGATAAAAAAAAAAAAAAATATATATTTGTTTGTTCATATATATATCATATATATATGAAGTAAAATAAACAAAACAATTTAAACAAGTTAAATTTTTTTTTTTTTTTTTTTTTTTTTTTTAAAGTGTTTCAAATTGGCGTTCGTTACGCGGGAACTATTCACGAGCCTTGCAAGGCATATAGTTCGCGTATGCACAAAGGGAGCATGTGTTATATATGTATGTATGCATATATATTATATACATATATATAACATGCATGAATTGAGTAGGGGTAACGTAAATTCCTACATGTGACGTAGCTAAACAACCAGGTGCCCGTAGGAGGAAATATGAACTCTTACCGCTTATCTATAGCACAAGCACTATTGTATCATCGCTTTGTAACGGTGATAACGAGAAAATAAATATTCAAACATGAAAAGTGGAGGGGAGGAGAGTTAATCCAAATATATATATATCGTATATTACATTCATAAATGTATATATAATTTATTAGTAAACGTAGATGGGCAAGAAAAAATCACGCGTTCCTAACGCGTATGTTATTAGCTTAATCCTCATTCGAAGTGACGACTCTATATGTGTTGCCGTATCAACATGCATATATAGTGCGGTCGTTAACTTTGTATTTTTTTTATTGTTTTATTTTACTTTATTTATTTATTTATTTTTTTTTTTTTCATCTTTTTGCATATAGTTTTAAGCACTTTTTTGGATATATTTTTTTTTTTTTTTTTGAGTAAATTTTTCTTATAAATGAAATTATACTTCCGCTGAAAAAAGATAACCACCTTAAATATATGGGGGTGCTTAATTATTTTTTTTTTGCTTAATAAAAGATGAGTTATGTTTAATATAAAATTATATGTGCCACAGCAAATGAGGCAAAGCTCTATATATAATACCAAAAGAGTAAAATTTGAATTTGTTCTTCCAGCTTGATTTGTAGTGTAGAAGTTGGTAAAAAAGAAAAAAGGCCCATACTTGAAAGTAAAATAGAATTAGCAGTAATTTGTTTAACGCTTTTCAGAAAAAAATCATATGTTAAATAAAAAAAAAAAAAATTAAAAGGGAGTTTTTTTTTTAAAATATAATTTGAATTGGATCATATTTAATCAAATTTAATCAAATTTAATCAAATTTAATCAAATTTAATCGAATTTAATCGAATTGAATCGAATTGAATCAAATTGAATCGAATTGAATCAAATTGAATCGAATTGAATCGAATTGAACTGAATTGAATCAAACTCGATTATGTTAAATTAAAATGAATCAAATTCGATGGTGTTAAATCAGTCTGATCAATTTAAATTAAATTACGTACCAATTTATTGACCACGGGAGCACAGAAAATCTGGCATTTTACATGGATCATTGGTGTAATGACGTGGTACCATTGAAAAATTCCATTTATGGAACCACATAGAATGGTGTTTGCAAATTAACAAACGTTCGTTGTTTAGAAAAATAGAAAAGGAAAAGAAATGGCAGTGAATATGATAGAAAGTTTTTTTTTTTTAATTCAGTGTATACATGTGTGAGATCTGATATTATACGCATTTATAGATTTACGAATTTAGAAATAAAATAATATAAAGCTGCATGCTTTTTGTTTGTTTTCGTTTATTTTTACATGCTATTTGCATGCTTCTTGTAGGATTTTCTTTCTCATTTTACATATATGATGCATGCATTCCTTGGTTTTTGTATCCTTTTTGCTCCTGCTCCAAAAGAGTTCTGATTTCCATTTAATTATTTTTCTGATTATTACATTTTTATTATTTTCTTGTTTTACCATTTAACGAATTTGTAGAAAAGTTGCTGCTAAATGAAACAATAACAAATGCAGTGGATCCTTTTCTTTTATCTACATTTTTACCAATTGCACAGAAAGTTACACACCCCTATAATGTGTAAGGAAAAGATATGACGTGTTATACCTAGGTGTCAGGTATATATAAATGAAAAAAAAAATATATATTTAATAATAAAAATGCGTTCCCTTTTAAAATAGAAAAGATAAAATCTTTATAGTAAATCTCCTTCCATTTCCCACTTTTTTTTTTAAAGGGAGGGAATGTAGGGAATTATATATTTACACCCCTTTGTACGTGTTTTATAATCTTCTGCACAATGGGAACTTGTGATATCGATGCACATTAAGTAGTGTCATAGTTTGTTACATATTCAATTCAGTTAATCACAGGTTTTTATCATTAACGTAAGAATGGGGTGGGCTCATTGTTATGTTATTTTGTCTTATTTTTTTATTTTTTGATACCTTTTTTTTATTTAACTTTATTCATTAACCTGAGTCCTTCCTGAAAAATAGTTCACTTCTCATATAGAATATATATACCCATTTTAAACATGCTGCTTAAAAAGATGTGTTCGATTTTTTTTTGTTGTTTTCCCCATTCATGTCTTTTCACCATTTTTTTAAGTTTAATAATTTTGCTAATTCTTAGCTTTATAGGAAAATAAAATAAATTGGTACATACATTACTCGTTTACCATATTTTTAGGTATTATTTTTTACTTATTCATTGTTATTTGAAAAAAAAAAAAAAAAAAAAAACAATTGCATTAATTCTTTTGATATCTGCAGAAAAGAAAAAAATATAATAAAAGATACATTATGTGTTCTTAATTATGTATTCATTGTGCATAACAAGTGTTTTATCATGTTCACAATGTATTTATTACAATGCAGTAATGAAAAGAAAAGCCCTTAAAAAAAAAAAAAAAAAAAAAAAGGAAAAAAAGGGAAAAAATATGAGTTTTTTTTTTTTTTTTTTTTTTTTTTTTTTTTTTTTTTTGGAAAATAAGGGGGGGTAAATAATTAAAAAAAAAAAAAAAAAAAAAAAAAATAAAAAAAATTAATTTATTTTTTTATAATAAAAAAAAAAAAAAAATAAAAAAAAAAAAATATTTTTTTTTTTAAATTATGTTTTTATTGTGAAAAAAAAGTTTTTTAAAATTTTCAAAATTTTTTTATTAAAATCAATAAAAAAAAAAAAAAACCCTTAAAAAAAAAAAAAAAAAAAAAAAAGGAAAAAAAGGGAAAAAATATGAGTTTTTTTTTTTTTTTTTTTTTTTCACTTTTTCTGCTTATTGGGAAATATCAGGGGGTAATATAATTATTATAAAATGCAATTTATTGGCAACATTTAGAGAACGCTATATTATGTATACAATATAAATAACAAGTTCATTTTATGCATAGGAAATTTTTTCGGTATTTTGGGTGTGTAAAAAGAAGTGCTGAGGGGGGAATGACTTAATGTGTGTGTGTGTGTGTGGTACCTTGTTACAACGAACTGTGCACAAATTATTGAATTTTTAAAAAAAACACATAGAATGAATTATGGTGTATACAATTGAATATTTATCTACCCCCTATTGCATAACATAAGGAATATTTGAAAAGAATCTACAAATACCACTTTTGCTTCATTTATTAGGTAGTTCGTTTTTCTATAAATGGAAAATAAATAGGATTATTTATTTCCCTTTCATTAAAAGGTTATTGTGATATTATTTTAAAGAAGCATAACATCGGTTATATTATATTTACCACCGTAGCTGTATCTGCTAGTCATCCACTTTTTACCGCATAGCCATCAATGGTGAAATTCGTGATGTTAGGTATTAAGTAACAAATTTACTGCCTACCCACAATGAGCACTTTAATTTTACGACATATGTATTAGTGGTATATTATGTACTAAATTAGTCGATGGATCAGGAATGATAAAACTTTCAATTTTAAATTTCTTGTTCTGTTATATCAGACTTAACGAACGTAGCAAATTTTGTAAATTTGTAATTGTTTACATAGAAATGAGAAGAAGATAAATATATATATAAATAGCAGACTAATCTGTATGAATGGTTACCATTTGCAAGAAATATAGAAAGAAGCATGTAGTTTCCTCCTTTTATATTTTTTCATGTGCTTACCTCTGAATACCATTTTTTTATTTAAATCTGAGTGTGACATAGAGGAAATGTAACAATTTTCTTTTTTTTTCCTTTATCTTTTTTTATTTTTACATTCAAAATAGAAATGAATAATTTAACTTAGGTTTTATTTTTTTTTTTTTTTTTACTTTTTATTCATGTATTTTGACACAATAACAGGGTGAAGAGAAGGGCATGCTAGGTGAAAAAAAAATTGAGAAAAAAAAAAAAAAAAAAGAAGAAGAGAAAGAAATACTGACCTAAAACTTATGTCGTTAGAATAATTTTAAGGCCCACTTCATAAATAAAAGCTATCACAGAAATAAAAAAAGGAACGCTTGAACCATCTGGCGAACCACCTGACGAGCCACCTGATGAACCACCTGACGAATGACCTGACTAACAAACGAACAAAAAGGAATAAGGAGCACCTCGCATAATCCGAAAGATGTATTTAAGCAAGAACAAAAGGGATGACCTGATAGATGACGAACTGCCAAACGATTTTGTGCTACCGCAGGGAGACAAAGTAAAGGGGGAAAAGTTGTTCAAGAAACATTGTAAGCAATGTCATTCCATAGCCCCAGATAATACTCAATCCAATTCAGGATTCACGAGCTGGGGCCCGTCATTATTTAATGTATATAACAGAACAGCTGGCATGAGCAAGGGAAATTCACCATTTCAAGTTTCACCAGACATGCACAGCTCAGGAATTATATGGAATGATTTAAATTTGATGAAATATATGAAAAATCCCAAAGACTTTGTAGAAGCAAATATTGGTATGAACTTTAAAGGAATTTCCAATTTTCAAGATAGGGTTGATATTGTTCATTACTTAAAAACCTTAACATATGATGATCCCTATGGTAGGGAAATTGTGGAAAAATTTTCCAGAAAAAAAAAATAATACCTTACCCGGTGTCTTCATAAAAAAAAAAAAAAAAAAAAAAAAAAGTCTACTGCTTTTTGCGCTTTTATGAACACAGATAGGTCAACTTGTTCGAATATCTCTCCTCTCTGTACGTTTCTCATTTTCGCCATCTCAGCATCATTTAATTTTTCCTTTTTTTTTCGTGTGCAAACTTTTTTCCATTCGTTGTGTTCACATTTGAAACATCGTCACCTTTAAATATACTTTTTCTGTTATATATGACATATATGCATGAAGCTAGGTCTTCCACAATTTTTATTAAATTTATTTTAAATGAAAACACTTATTTTTGTCAAAATTTTGACCGGAGCAAGTTGCTCGAAAAATTCTGCGCTTTTTTTCGTAACAAAAAAATTGGGAACAAATAGTACGCATAGCACACACTTCTTTGCTTGTGGATGCAATTTTGTTGCTATGGGCACAATAAGTTTTTACTTTCCACTGTCCGAAAGAATTCCCTATTCGCAAAAATTTGACACATACAAAATAATAGGTATACAAGGTACGTATTTATGAAAGGACTATATAAAAGGGAAGCAATTTGTTCCATAAATATATCTCATATATTTTGAATAACTATGTGGAATAGCCACTTTCATTTTATATAAATATGAATGGGCTTGAAATTTATAAAGTTCTGGTGAGGGATAAACAGAAAAAAAATAAATAGGACAAAGTGTCCAAAACGGACATATCTAACAGATAAAAAAAAAAAAAAAAAAAAAAAAAAAATTTATTGCTATATATTTCCTTTTTAAGACAAATCAATAACAAAGAACAAAAAAAAAAAAAAAATATATATGGAGGAAATTTAAAACTGGGAATTCTAAATATTTATATGGATCATAAATTTTCTTCACATAATAACAAAGACAATATAATAGCTCCTTTTTTTTTTTTTTTTTTTTTTTTTTCTTTTAATTACAAGCAACCAGATGGTTACTGTAAACTTGGTTCACTAGTATTTGACTGTATAGATTTTCACTTCGGCTTCTTTTTATTATCAACATTTTTGTATAATAACTCGTGGCGCAAAAAAAGAAGAAATACGCATTAGCATATTTTTTTTAAAGAGCCATTTTGTATTATAATAAAAAAAAAAAAAAAAAAAAAGATTTACATTATGTTACATCGTAAACGATTAAAATCAAATTCAAGACTATTTACTTCAACTATATCATACATATTTTCTTGCCATTTTTCACAGTGAAATTGAATATATGCATCCAGATTTTGGTTATGTTCACGAGCAGTGGCAGCTGAATAATACTTATAATTTTCCTTATTTTTATGTTCGAGCGGAAAATTTAAGTCATCTTGTTTAGTGCCATTTAATTCTGTGTCATTTTTTTCCGTGTTATTGCTGTAGGAATTTATTTTCTCAGCAAATTTTTTAATTATCATAGGTGTGCGAGCATAAATTGCACACAGGTTTTTATTAATATTAAACATATAACAATTTTTTAAAGAAAAACGATTAAATAAATTTAACATATTAAATTCGTCATTTGATTTATTTTTATTTTCATCTAAGAAATTATCTATACTTGCATCATCCTTGAAAAATGAAGAATTTTCACATTCAGAAAATGTTGTTTCCCCATCATTATTTATGAACGAAATAGCATTATCAAAAATAAAAAAGTCTTCTATATCCTCATTGGCATCATAAAAACGTTCTTTCTTTTCATCATGCTCTAATTCTAATTCTTTAAGTTGTTTAACTTTTAAGGCTTGTTTGATTTTATTTATATCTTCTATGTACAGAACCAATCTTGATAACCTTTCTTTTTTTATTGCATTTATTTTATCATTATAACTGATGCAATCGACACTAATATGATTTTCAAAGTCGTTGTTACTGTATAAGTAGATAAGTGGATTGTATTTGTTCATTTGTTCCCTAAACCTTTGATTAAAGTTGTTTTTATAGTACCGATACAAAGCTATTATTGTTTCTATTTTGTTTATTCCTGTGTGGTAAAGTCTGGTTATATTAATTAATTCTTCGTTTGGAACCACAGTTTCAAATTTTTCGTTTTTCTTTTCATCTGTACATTCATTTTGAACTCCATTTTGAGACCCATTTATCGATCCATACAGAGTCCCACTTAGGGACCCATCTTCTGTTTCAACTTGCAGATAATCCTCCTCCTCTTCCATAAGCATTACATCCTCCGCTTCGATTTGAACTTCACATACTACATCACCTCCAGGATTTTTTTCACAGTTTGTTCCTATTCTTTTTTCATTCTGTTTTTCACATAATACTTCCTCTTTTACTTCTTTTCCCATTTCTACTCCTTCGGTAGCATCCTTTTTTTTTCTTTGTTCGATACTACTTATACATTTTTCAATGTGAACGATTTCTCGTACCCTTGGGCTTCCAATCGTCTCTTGGAAAATGGTATGTTCATTATATTCATTATTTTTATCCTCTTTTTGATTGTTTTTTTGAGATCCATTTTCGTCATATACCTTTTTCTTATCATCATTTTGGAGGTATTTTTTCACAACATCAGTTTTTCTTTTTTCCAATTTTTGCTTCGAACAGTTACTATGGACTTCCTTATAATGCATGTTGGAGGGATTCCCAAAGAGACTATGCTCCTCCTCTAAAAAATCTTCCCTTCGCTCCTGCAAATGTTCACAATTATTATCATCGTTGATAATTCTGGAAAAATCAAATGTTCTTTTATCACTCTTCGGCAGACATAAAATTGATTCCTTTTTTTTTGGAATGGTTAACTTTTTTTTATTTTCTTCTGAATTTTCTAGACTACATTTTTCATCATGGTTATGATGATTATCTATCATCTTAATTTATATTTTTCTTCTTTTACCACTTTTCTTTTTGTTATATTTAAAAATGATAACTGTTTAACTGTAGGTTACGTTGCTCAGTTTCATAAAAAGCTAATGTTTATGAATTCTTCAAAATAAAAATGTTTGCATATTTAGCGTAAAAAATATTTTTTTTTCATGGGATATGTATATATTTATATATAATTTGTTCTTATATATGATATTCTCATAATAACAATTGTTTCATTTTGTAAATTAATTTTTTTAATTGCCAAATTATGATAAAAAAAAAAAAAAAAAAGTAAAAAAACTCGCAGTCGATTTTACAAAAAAAATATTTAAAATACATGTAAATATTATTCCATATATATATGTATATATATGGAATAATATATATATGCAGCATATGGGCGAATTTGTATAGTGATTCAGTGGTCAATATATAAAACAAGCGCAACAAAAGATAGTTATTTATTCGTCTAAATAAGTGCCAATATTGACAAATATAAAGCTGTTTTATGCATTTCCACAAGTACGCTCATGTATTATCTATTTTTTATATACAATTGAATATACTATATATATGTATGTAAAACATGCGGGATATACATATATGCCAGAAAATTATCTACTCAGGTAAGAAGGAAATATGTGTAGAAAAAAAAGAGATAAAGAGATAAAATAAAACAAACATATAAATAAATAGGAAAAAAGGCAAAAAAAAAAAAAAAAAAAAAAAAAAAAAAAAAAAAAAAAAAAAAAAAAAAAAAAAAAATTAATAAAAATAAATAAATAAATAAATAAATAAATAAATGAACAAAGGAACAAAAAAGTAAGGTGCTATACACCCAACAATTCGCTAAAAACACAAAGTGGGGTAACAAAAATTAACCGCAGTTATAATGTATAATCTCATCACATTTTACACAAGGGAGGCAAAAACAGAAAGGGAAAATAAAAATGACAAATTTTGCAAAGAACATAAAAGGTAAAATATTTCATCAGCATAGGACATCAACATAACATAAACCTTCCTGTAGTTGCAAATAAATCTTTACTATCATATTATAATCAAAGTATTGGGGGAAAAAAAAAAAAAAAAAAAGTTAAAAATGAATCAATTCAGCAGTATACACATCAATATTTTCAATACACAACCCATTTTGTTTTTATTAAACACTGGGAGTTTTCAATTTTTTTATTTTTTCCTTATCTCCCTACTATTAAAAACTTTCAAGAGGTCATAAAAGAAAATTGGGGAAAAAAGTAAAAACACTACGATAACGATAAATAAAATGTTCACCAAATTTTTACAGTTTTTCTTGTCCCCCACCCCCACTTAAAAATTTATACAAGTTTACACATATTAAAGAGGTTTTTCTCGTGTACAAAAAATAAATTCATTTTTTTTGAGTTTATGTATGTCCCTACTGAATTAATTTACCATAATACATTCAGGAGATGAAAATGATGCAACTTTTATTCCCCAAGATATTATTGATTAATTACTAGCGAGTCATACGTAGGAGGAATATGTGTCACATTGAATACAAAATCAACAGAACAGCGAATTTATGAACTATCATACCATTTTGAACATAATTCGCTTGTAACGTGTATTTACAATATTCCCGCTAGTTCCTAAAATAGAAAAAAAATAAAAAAAAAGAAATAAAAAAAAAGAAATAAAAAAAAAGAAATAAAAAAATACATTCGAGCTATCTCACCCCTGCCGACTTCTGTAGCATACCACATCTCATATATTTCTGCCCAACTGATACAAATATTATAAAAATAAGAAATTTACGCACACTTTACATAGAATATTAAAAAATAAAATATTCAAAACATTTTCAGGCAACTGATACATTTTTTTGTAAGTGCTAGTTTTCATAATTTTGTTACTTTTTCATATGTCCTCATTGAATCGAGAATGGAGGAAGAAGTAAACACTCAGTCTAAGCCTCTAGATGATGAAGATATAAACATCTTGAAATCATATGTAAGGAAACAAAAAAAAAAAAAAAAAAAAAAAAAGTATTTTTCCCAGTTAATTTCGTTGTACATCTCCCAATGCATATATGGATTATGTACATATTAATATATATATATATATATGTGTATGCCATTTGGCCATACCCGCTTCAAGTACGTTATGGGTTCATGTTTCACGTTCAACTATAAACTAGTTCATACCATTCATGAAGGTACCACGTAAACTTCTTTGTGCATAAAATCCATTGCAGGGGTCAGGACCATACTCAAGGAGCATCAAGAAAGTTGAATCCGATATTACTGGGTTAGTAACTAGTATTAACAAACTTTGTGGAGTGAGAGAAAGTGACACAGGGTTGTGTCTACCAAATCAGTGGGATCTACAATTAGATAAACAGATGCTAAATGAAGAACAACCATTACAGGTAGCAAGATGTACAAAAATTATCAATGGAGACACAGATCAAACAAAATATATTATTAACGTTAAGCAGATAGCAAAATTTGTTGTAGGTTTAGGGGATAAAGTTGCACCAAGTGATATAGAAGAAGGAATGAGAGTTGGAGTAGATAGAACAAAATACAAAATACAGATTCTTTTACCTCCAAAAATAGATCCCTCAGTTACTATGATGACTGTTGAAGAAAAACCAGATATTACATATAACGATATTGGTGGATGTAAAGAACAATTAGAAAAGCTAAGAGAAGTTGTAGAAATGCCATTATTACAACCAGAAAGATTTGTAACATTAGGAATAGATCCACCTAAAGGGGTCCTACTTTATGGCCCTCCAGGAACAGGTAAAACCTTAACAGCAAGAGCTATTGCGAATAGAACAGATGCTTGTTTCATCTGTGTTATTGGTTCAGAACTTGTTCAGAAATATGTAGGAGAAGGTGCTAGGATGGTAAGAGAATTATTTCAAATGGCTAAATCCAAAAAAGCATGTATTTTATTTATTGATGAAGTGGATGCAATAGGAGGTTCTAGAGGAGATGAAAGTGCACATGGTGATCATGAAGTACAAAGAACCATGTTAGAAATTGTTAATCAGTTAGATGGATTTGATAACAGAGGTAATATAAAAGTACTAATGGCTACAAATAGACCTGATACGTTAGATAGTGCATTAGTTAGACCTGGAAGAATCGATAGAAAAATTGAGTTCAGTTTGCCAGATCTTGAAGGTAGAACCCATATTTTTAAGATTCACGCAAATACAATGAATATGAGTAGAGATGTTAGATTCGAACTTTTGGCTAGACTATGTCCAAATAGCACTGGGTCTGACATTAGAAGTGTTTGCACAGAGGCAGGAATGTTTGCCATAAGAGCAAGAAGAAAAACTATAACTGAAAAAGATCTTTTGCTTGCTATAAATAAAGTCATACATGGATGCAAACAATTTTCAGCTACGGGAAAATATATGGTGTATAACTAGACCCCCATAGTAGTACGATGCTCAGAATTTGGCATTTGTAGAAATTTTGTTACATCCGCTGCGTGATCATATTACCATGTAGATGTACAAGTGATGTACGAAATAGGAAGTAGGAAATATGAAGTAAGAAATAGGAAGTAAGAAATATGAAGTAAGAAATAGGAAGTAAGAAATATGAAGTAAGAAATATGAAGTAAAAATTGGGATATGTAAGCCGAAGCAAGTAAGCTGACAAATTACTTGACACTAATACAGCGGGCCTACTATATTAGGAATAATTCCCCAACTGAGGGAGATGGAATATACATTAATGTGTTTTTTTTTTTTTTTTTTTTTATTTTATTTTTTCTTCCGGACTCATTTTTACTTGTACATATTTCATGAAACTTGAATATTTTAAAAACCTTGATTTTTTATAGTGCTTAACACATTTTTAACCATTTTTGTGTTGTATGGAGGTGTGTATATATGTACGTGCCTTCTGCTAATTTTTGGAAGGAGTACAGTGTAACAAATAGTCCTTAAAGTTAAGAACGCCAGCTAGCACATTAGCTGATGGACACAGGAAATAGGAGGTAAGGGGATTTTTACAAAATGATATATTCTAAGCGTAAAATGTAGTGAAGATATCTTTTGTAATCTTCCTAGTGTTTATTCTTTGGTGGAATTCCTCAAAAGGAAGAATCCAAGGGTTATATGTAAAATACTCCCGTCAAAAATGAAAAATAAAATAATGAAATAATACTAATAAAATAGAAAAAATCCCCTTTTATCATAAATACACAATACGTTTTGTCTTTACGAATGAGGTCGTCTTAACCGTGTGAAGGAAATAAAAAAAAAAAGGGAGAGCAAAAGAAAGAGAGAGTAGAAGAGTTTCTAGGTGTTGTCACCATATGTGTATACCATAACTAGGGGAAAACATATGGGCACCGAAAACGAGTTCGAATGTGCTACAATAAACAAAACAATGTGCTAGTTTTATTTTTTTGATAAATTTAATTCTGTGTAAAGCGTAAAAAATTATAGGTATATACAACATATGCGTGAAAAAAGAAAAAAAAAAAAAAAAAACGGTTGACAAAGTCTCCCCACATCCCTACAGGGTCTGGTAAAAACATTTGCGAAGATATTTAGAATTTTGTTGTATGTATTCCCTTGATCAATCAATCAAAGATTTTATGAAATTCTAACTTGGTAGTCTCCATTTTGTGTAATGTATCTTACCCAAGGCAAAGCTTGATAACCACTTTTCTCAATAATTTTGAGGTATCTCACAGTAATCCCAGAAACAGTAAAATAAGGAATTTCAAACTTGACATTTACAGGTCTTTTGTAATATAAGTCCTTATTTTCATTAGAAACAATGGATGGCAATCCAAATTGTGCATTCATAATGTATTCTTTTTGCCCTTGAAATTGTTTTATTTTCCATATTAGCATGTCTTTGTCAGGATAATATTTTACAGTTCCTATGTATGTTTGAAAGTGTGGTGAATCTACATCTGCAGGGACAGGTAAATGAAATTCTACGTTATTTGCAATGCTTTTATTTTTAAACTGAGATTTGGCCTTTACCACATATTCAATTTTTGTTAGAGATTTTTTCGATATATTAATATCTAGCCAGAACAGAGGTTTCACATGTGTGCTTAAACGATACGTCATAAGATTGAATATACCATCTGGTGGGATAAAAGAAATCGTTCTATCATTTTCAAATTTAGATAAGCGAACACATTGATGAAATTTCATATCTTCTAATTCAACAAGTTTGGTTCTGTTTGTCGTAGTACTTACATTGGTTATATTAGAAGTGTTCGTGCCATTAGCTGTATTTAAAGTATTGTGCGAATTTGTAGCAGCAGATCCACCACCTCCTCCTCCAGTACTACTGTTATTTGAAAAATTTACATTTTTATTGAAGAGAAGTTTATCATTTAACCCAAGTTTTAATTCAGGCATGCCTGATAAATAGGATTTCATTTTCAGACATCCAAGGATTTCACTTCTCAAAACTGTGCCATTGGATGAAATTATTATATTTAAACTTTCAATGACATCTAAAAAAATTTCATTCTTTTTATATTTTATTCCCTCATTTCTCCAAGATACCGAATTTGTAATAGCTGATGGTATTTTTATATTATTAACAGTTAACTGGTGTGCTTTATTTTTTATATATTCTCTTAATATTTTTACTTCACTCAATTGAGGAAATCCATTATCAATCATTTCATCTAACAATTCGTATGTTATTACAAAATTGTCTTTTATACTTTCTTCTTCTAACACTTTAAAATAATCTTTCAGTACTTGAATTAATTTGTATAAAAATGTAATGATCAATGTTGCATTGCTATTTTTTCTGGTTACTGCTAGGATGTATATATTGTTATATGCAATCCAACAGTATGTTAATCCGTTCACATGAAATATTGGCTTTATTAAATTATCTTCCTGGTCAATTACACAATTGTAAAACACTTCCGTCAGGTTCATGTTCACTTCACCTCTATAATTCCTGTTGATGATAACTTTCCCTTTCATGTCAATGATGAAAATAGCGCTTATGCATGCCATCTCGTGATAGATGTGTGATTGTATGGTGTGGCTACTACCGATTACTGCTTCTAATTACTTCTTCCAATTACTGCTTCGAATTACTTCTGCCAATTACTGCTTCTAATTACTTCTTCCAATTACTGCTTCGAATTACTTCTGCCAATTACTGTTTCGAATTACTTCTGCCAATTACTGCTTCGAATTACTTCTGCCAATTACTGCTTCGAATTACTTCTGCCAATTACTGCTTCTAATTACTGCTGCCAATATCTGTATGTGATTTTTGTTCAGGGTTGGTGACAACGTTTGCAATGGTCTAGACAACTTGATCGATCACATCCACTTGATAAATCGCGACGTATGTATTCGCGTGTAGGATTAGTAACATGCTAACATGAACACATTTCCATAAGCATGTAATTCGGGTGCTACGGAAAAATCTTCTTTTGTTTTTTTTCCTTTTATTCTATGTCCACTTGAGCATATATATATATATATATATTCTGCTTTGACCTATAATTCTTCATTTACCTTTCATGAATATTCTCCCCTTTGTTTTTATTTTTATCCTAGATTTTCTTCTTTTTTTTTTCCTTCTGCATTTGCTCTTAACACACCACCACCTCTCGTGAGAAGTTTTGCCATATGGTATATATGAAGATCCGATAACAGAAGAAAGTGGAATGGCCTTCTAAGTTGTATTACGATTATTAAAGGTTAAAAAATAAAATAAAAAAAAGAAGAGGAGGAGGAAAGTCTTGGGTACGAAAAGATTTCACAGTGTACTGAAACGATGAACTGTTATCCTGTATGTGAAATAAAATGTATACAACGGAACAAAGGGAGGAAGTATATCACTAAATGACGAATGCACAGAATGAGGACGAATTGGAGGGTTGAACAAATAACTGTGGTGAAATAATTTGCGGAATTAGAAAACTACTGAATTTTTCTTTTTTTTCAAAGTCGTGTTTTCTATAATATGGATCAGGAAAAAAGGGATGATCAACCACAGGATTTTTTTTTTTTTTTTTCCCTTGCTTCATAGGGAAGTTGTGGATAAGTGGGAAAAACTAAAAATTGAGCATATGAAAATGTAGCAAATTTCTTAAAAAAGACTATTGGCCAAATTATTCTACCGAATAACCTTATTCATATCCAGAAGGAATTACCATAAGAAGATGTGTTCAATTATGCAGATATATTGTAAAAATTCTTTTCGTGCATGCGATTCTAATCTGTACCCATATATATATATATATATATATATATATATAATGCAAGGGATAAACTCTTAATGTGTGAATACAAGTGGAAGATGGATTAAAAAAAAAAAAGAAAAAAAAAGCAGAAATAGAAATAGAAAGAAAAAAATTCTTGTATTATTCAACTTCCACTCATTTTTGTACACAAAAATGTACAATATGTAAAATAATGATTTTCTATTTCCATTGTAACTCTTTACCTCTTAAGCGGTCGTTTATTCGGTTTATGCTTGCATATTAATAAACGAGCCGTAATAGTTCTAGGTGACACACGAGAAAGTGAGCAAAGCTTTATGCCCATAAAAGAAAAAAAAAATCATTTGCGTGTCACTTGTTTGTTTTAATTCACCCTGTTTTTATTTTTAAGTTATATTTTATTACATCCTTTTTCTCTCATTTCTTTTTTTTTTTTTTTTTTTTTTTTTTTGTGCTAAAAGAGGAACAACAATATAATAAAATGTTGAAAAAATATATGTACATATATATGTATATATATATTTGTTATTCACCAGGAATACGAGAAAAGATATTTTTTACAAGTCATGAAACCTTGTACCATTCGAATATGACAAGAAGCATTAAAATATATTACATAACACAAGGAAATTACATCCCTTGGTATAATAAGTATTTCACCTGCACACATTGTATTTTGCAAGTTTTATTCTCATGTGTACAGCTTAAAAAAAGAACTGAACAAGTTTTACTACCAGACTTAAAAGGAAAAATTTCAATAACTTCATAATCCTGTTAAAATACACTGTATGGATTTTTTCTTAATTATTTCTGTGACTTAAGCTTTTTTTTTTTTTTTTTTTTTTTTATTTCATCTTGTGTAATTTAAAATCGTTCAGTCAACTCAACGTCATAAATACGTAAAAGGGATAAAAGGAGGGAGGATGTATTCGTTTCCCTTGAAGTGAAAGCAATAAATTACGAGTGGAAATGTGTATACAGTATATGTATATATATGTAATGTAAATCCACGTGGAATTTACAAAGGACTTTAATTGACCATCGTTATTCAAAAAAAAAAAAAAAATAAAATAAATTGCAAAACTAAAGACATTTTTATATATTTCTTTTTTTTTTTTTTTTTTTTTTTTTTTTGCTATTTCCCTTCTTTTTTTTATTATATTTTGCTTATCCTTTTCTTTGTTGATGTGTCCCCATTGGGTGTATATACTTGAGCAATAGTGTAAATATACACTTTCATCACATGTTAAGATATACATACGTGGTATTAAATTCATTTAACAGTGTAGGAAGATTGTCTCACTGAGAAATGATGGAAATTTATAAGAAGGCATTCCACATAATATATTTCAGTTTTCTGTGTTAATAATCTCCTTCTCCTCTTTTTTATTTTTTTCTTTTTTACTAGAATACTATAAGGCGTTAGCACCGGATATAATTTCTATAAGTTCCAATGTAATTTTTGACTAAAAATGGAAATAGGGGTTGCATGTATGGGTGTATGTAGAAATATTTCCCATAAAATGAGCGGCGTAAAAAGATGACCAAAATGTTCGACACCAATCGTTTAATATAGGCTGGTTACGCATTGGTGTGGGGTTGTTACTTCAGCGCAATGCATTCGTTCATTAATTATACCATATTACACTATTTTGTTTATACATGGATGGATAGATGAATTAATACATTCATACACATATATATATATATATATATTTATTTATTTTTACACGGTGGTGCACACTTTTTATATTTTTTTCATTCTTTCCACTTTTACCTGTCTTGCCCTGTTATACCTCAAGGAAAGCGAATCCAGCATTTCAGTAGCACTTGAGGAGGCATTGTCCATAGCTGTCATTCTGGCCGACTGAATAAGAGGTGAAGAAGGATGTCATGGTTGTATTAATGATAAATTAAATGTGGAAATTTTGTATTGTATGTTTTTATGATTATATGAGAATAGAATATGGGCTTGGCTATATATGGAGTTATTATGAATGGCTCGTTGGTAGCGTGTCCATTTGTGGGAACATCATTTAAAAGCTGAGCCAATGAGTATCCAATTGTGTTCAGCATATTTACACTATATTTCCCCATCTGTGGCTATGTATATTTTTGTTTCTATGCGTTACCTGTTCAGCTGCTAAATTTTCTATGATACAGTTATAAATAAGGGAAGTAAAATAAAACTGGTATATGTCGTCAAAAATATGATCAAGTTCAGGTTCAAACTCGAATGTGGCGAGTTCTTTCTTGTTCATTTTTTTTAAATGTTTATGCGAAAAAACACTTAATATCTTTGTATTAAAAGATATAGCTGATTTGAAATTATTATATACAATTAACAAATTGCTGTGATTTTTTTTTAGTATGCGTTCAGCAATATAGGAACAGGTCAGGAAATTTATGGGGATTTTATTATATTCATTATAAATAACTTCAAATTTATCTCTGTGTAATCTACTTAAAGCTGATCTTATTTTTTCTCCTATTCCATACAGATATATTTTATTGGGGGAAATATTATTTACAATTTCATTATCTACCTGTTCATTTTCTAATAACTTTTTGCAAATCCTTGAAACAGATGAATTAACGCTACCACACAATCCTTTGTCTGATGATATAGCAATAATACCAAGATCTTCGTTTTTCTTATGTATTTCTTTCATGTTTAATCTGTTAAATATATCAACTAGGGGAGAGGAGAAATGCTTACAATTTTCTAGCCTCCTTTGATCCCCTTTAAATTTAGATGCAGCAACCATCTTCATGGCTTTCGTAATTTTTTGAATGGACTTAATGGATTTCATTCGAAGGGATAAAGATCTTAAGTTATCACTTGCAAAATTTCTCTTCATATTCATAATTGTCTTGAAGTTGATCAATGTGCACTGTTCAGCGCAAATTGTCAGTTTTCCACTCCAAGCCATTTTGATAATCGTTGTGTAATTGAATACGGTGTGCGGGTGGGTAAGAAGTATTTACATACATTTACACATATATATATATGTGAAAATATATGTATGTATCGAGTAATTTTCCTAGGGCAGTTAATGTCTAAGTTTCGTTACACGCCTATGATTTAACATATCCTTAGTCATTCACGTTATGTCCTTTTCTTTTTTTATGTTTTTAAACGCTAGGATCTGCGTTGTAGCTATTTCACTAAATGCATTTTTTTTTTTTTTTTTATTTCAAGTGCTTATTGGGGCTATGCAGGTGTGTGTTGTTAGAAATCATACTAGATAAAAAGTTTGTGCGAAAAAAAAAATGTGACACATGTTAAAAAAGAGTTATGCAGAGGGCGTATGATTATGCGATATTGCGTAGTTATTTCTCTTGTGTACTTGTATTGGTGTGGATGTAAAATTAACACTGTTATCTTAGCATAGATATATTTTTTTCTTCTCCTATCTTTCTTTCTTCCTTTTTTTTTTTTTTTTTTTTTTTTCATCCTCTTTTATTGAAAACTTTTTGCCTACATTTAATAGGTCTCAAAAATGGAAAAAAAAAAGGGAATCAGAAAGGAAAAAAATACTCCTACTTTTACTGAACTTATTTGCATAACAACAAAGTCAAGCTTTTAAATTTTTGTTCCTTTTACACCTTGTGCAGTAGCAATCTCAAGAAGTGCTGTTAATTGGAAAACGTTAACATAAATAAAGAATTAATACGGGGAAATGTACATGCTAAGCATATTTGCATATATGCATATATATACTTATGTATACATTCGTATGAATAATACACGTACAAAATTATTTTTTTAAGAGAAAAAAAAAAAAAAAAAAAAAAATTCAGAACGAAACATAAAATGCCTCAAAAAAGGAACTTAACAACGTACTTCGCAAAAAAGGGTGGCAAAACAGCTTCACAGAGCTTATCATGACGGAAGATGGTTAAAAAAAAAAAAAATAAAAATGAAATATGAAAAATTGCAAAATTTACAAATTCACAAATTTAGCAATTCCTAAATTAGTATATTTTGAGCGATATTCAACAGAAGGGGAAACGGAGTCTTCAAACACTCTCCTCTTACGTATGCATATCGGTATATACCGCACCATGAGTCATGGACTTAGAAGGTAGTAAAGGAATAAAATTAGAGGAAGTAAAAACTAACTAATAGAATTACAAAGAAAAAAAAAAAAAAAAAAAAAAAAAAAAGTATAACAATATTTGAGCATAGTATTGGTGTGCACCTGGGGAAACTCTTAGAAGGAGACTAAATTTGAAGAGAGCGTGTACAAGATTCATGTAATGGTAGCAAAGGATATAACCAATTTTTTACACACGTGTATATCTATTTTAAGTATACGCTTTTTTTTTTTTTTTTTTTAAGAACATTTAGTTCTGCTTAAAACATACAATATGGCAAATCATCTGAATGTGTCAGCCCCAGATGTGATACGATTGATTCTCCAATACTTAAGAGAAAATAATTTGATAAGATCCTTTTACGTATTACAAGAAGAAAGCAACATAAAGCTAAACGCAATAAGTAATGTGGATATGTTAATAAGTGACATACATAAAGGAAATTGGAAAAATGTTCTCTATAATATCACGACAATTGATCTGTGTGATGAGACATTGATAAATTTGTATGAGCAGTTAATATGTGAACTTATAGAATACAAAGAAAATGAGCTAGCTGAAAAGATAATGAATGAATGTATAATTTTTAAAAAAATGAAAAAAGTGCATGTAGAAAAATATCAAAAGTTAGAAGATCTACTAAGTATGAACAATAAACATATCAATAAAAGTGTATTATACGATGGGACAACTAAAGAGGAAAAAAGAAATAATATATGCATGATGATTAATAACGAAATAACATCATGTGCACCTTCGAGACTTTTAGCATTGCTAGGTATGGCATTAAAATGGCAAAATCATCATAATCTAATAAAAAAAAATAAAGAAAATGATAATTTTGATATTTTTAGGAATATAGAAAAAAATGAATCGAAAAGTATAGATGTATATCCAGAAAAAATTTTGAAAAGTATAAAATTTGGAAAAGAGTCTAATGTGGAATGTTGTATATGTTCATATAGTCATGATTACTTAATTACAGGATCTTCGGATGGTTTTATTGAAATATGGAGTTGGCTAACTGCACAATTAAACATCGACTTGAATTATCAAAAGGAAAATAATATTATGATGCATGATAATCCAATTGTTAGTTTATGTATAAGTAAAGATGATGAAATATTAATTAGTGGAGATTCTAAAGGGATAATTAAAATATGGAGAATCAAAACCGGTTCATGTTTAAGAACTATAAATGCACATACTAATGCAATTACATCTATTCATTTTAATAATGACCAAACACAAATATTAACATCATCATACGACATTTCTGTTAAAATATTTGGATTAAAATCATTGAAATCTTTAAAAGAATTTAGAAAGCATTCAACTGTTGTTCATACATCTTTATATTCCTTAGATAATTCTAAAGTTATATGTGGTACGGAAGAAGGAAAGATATATATATATAATCAGAAAACGTGTGAATGTATAACTTCATTTTATGTATATTATAATATAAAAGATGACATTATTTTCCCAACAATATATTCTATCACATTATTGACCAAAACATTGGATGAATATATCTTAGTTTGTTCAAAATCTCCTTATTGTTATCTCATGAATTTCAAAGGACAGATTATTAAAACGTATACGTATATAGTTGACAAGGTGGGAGAAAATCCAATTAATTTCGTCTCTGCTTGTATTTCTCCCAATTCTAAATATGTCTATTGTTTGGGCGAGAATCAACATCTTTACTGTTTTAATTATAACACTACAAAATTAGAAACACAAATAAAAGTTTTGGAGGAACAGTCCCTTGGTGTGCTTCATCACTCCAGTTATGATCTTATGGCCGCCTGGGCCCTAGACGGTACGTTGAATATAGTACAGTAATGGTTAGAAATTTGAGTGTATTGAAGCTGATAATCGAATAATCCGTGATGTGTCAAATTGTGCAAGAAGAATTCTAACCACCATTGTGGTTATGAAGTAACATGTGCTGTAAATTGTAATATAACAGAGACGCAGGAGAAAAAAAAAAAAAAAAAAAAAAAATTTTGGATCATTTTTAGGTAGCACTCATGATAACCTTGCTGGATTTAAACCAAGGAGAAGAAAAACTCCAAGATTCATTGGAAGTATCATTTCACATCTTCGCGAACACGAATTAAGTCCCTTGAAAATATAAAGAGGTAAAATAGGGATGCCGTTTGAGAAGATGTTTATTCATACTATTGTGGAGGTATAGGCTGTGATGGCCTCATTGGTGGTATAGTTCATATTCGCCTTATATTCTGTATTGTCTGTGTTGGAGAAGAGTATATCCTCTCCATTGTGATATGCCAATAAAACATTATTTTACCATGTTAATATATTCCGTCGTGTTTGTTAGTTACCTTTTTTTTTTTTTTTTTTTTAATTTTTTTATGTGACTTATGCAACACATTTGGGGATAAAATTTAATGTCTGTTTGCTAAACACGTTTTGATATTAAGTTTTTATATATACACCACATTAAAACGGAGGGACATAAATTTTTACGTGAACACACACTGAACGTGAATAAAATGTGCATTGAATGAATTCTGAGGGAGAATCGATATTATATACCCCTTTGTCCAAGGTGATTATTTTATTTTATTTTTTTTTTTTTGTTTAAAAAATGCATTCACATGTAGATATACATTGATAATGCTCTCCTTTTTTAATACATCATTTTTTATTTTGTCATTTTTAAACTAGCCATTTTTTGTCCTGCCAGTTTTAATGTATCAATTTTTTGTCCTGCCGATTTTAAAGTAGCAATTTTTTTAACGCGTCACTTTTGCAGCTTTACCATTGGGTGAAAAATCTTTCAGTTTTTTGCTTACAGGTGGAAATTTTTGGAATTGCTCACTAAGCTAAGATGCTTGGCACGGACGATTCTGCTGTGACCACTTACCTAAGTAATAAGGTTTTTCTTTTTAAGACTCTCGTATACATCTTCTGGCAGCTTTTCTACAATGTCTTTGCTGTATTTCTCTAGGAGTTTTATCTTTTCCTTATTTATCAAATCTTCGTACTGCTTCTGCTCCTCTAAAAGTTTGTTTTTTTCTTGTTCCTCTTGTAAGCGCTCGTTTTTGACAGCGTCTTTTTTTTGCTGAAAGGTTTCGTATATTTCTTTTCTATATTGTAATAATTTTTCTTTCCTTTTTTTATCTGTGTATTGATCTATTTTGTCCAATTTTTTTTTTTCTTCAAGTAGATCAATTTTTCTTTTTTCATCCTCTTCTTTTTCCTTTTGTCTTTGCTGCTCTTTAAGTTTAATGTCTATTTCAAGTTGTTTTAACATTTCATTTTTGAGCTGTAATTTTTTTTCATTTTCTTTAATTTCTTTTTGCCTTTCTTTAAAGTCATGTTCTTCTATATACACTTTGTTGAGTAGTTCATCTAAAGATTCTTTTTCTTTATTTATGAGATATTCTTTATGTGCTAATTCGTTGACAACTTTTTGTTTTTCTAGATATTTTTCTTTTTTTTTTTTTTGTAAATTTTTAATTTTTTCTTCTTTTTCCTTAATATATTCTTGATTTTTTAATTCTTCTTCTAATTCTTTTATTTTTTCGAGCTGTTTTTGTTTATTTTTCAGTTCAATTTGTTCTTGGAATTCTTTTAATAATTTTTTTTGCTTTAGCAATTCTTCTTCTTTTTTTTTCTTTTCCTCGTCATTGTAATTTTTTATTATATTTTCTATGTTATCTCGTTCTTGAGCATTTCCATAGAATTCGTTTTTTTTTTTTTTCAAATTCTCATTAATCTGTTGTTGTAATTCCATTTTGGTTTCCATAACTTTTTCATAATTTAATTTTTTTTTTTTCTCATCTTCTAATTCTTCTTTTTTAAGTATATGTTCCATTTGTTTTTCAATTCTTTTGTTATCATCTTCTATTTCTTTTGTTTTACAAAATTTCGCATCACGTATTTGATTTTCTCTTACTTTTAATGTAGCTATCTCATCTAATTTCCCCTTTAGTTTTTTATACCCTTCATCATTTTGTAATGTTTGTTGCAATGCTTTTTCTCGAAGTATTTCATGTGCTATTTCTTTTTCTCTTTTTTGTTTTTCATTTAATAGTTCACATTGTTTCATTCGGTTTTCCTTAATTTTCTCGCTGTCAAATTGTAATGATGTAAAGTATTCTTCTTCTGCTCCATTGGGATGTTTAGATGTCTTGTTCAGTTGACTCTCTTCCGTTTCACATTCTCTTTTGAGCAATTCTTCCTGCTGTTTCTTTGTTTGCGCTGCATCTGCTTTGTCTATTGATATGCCTTGAATTTTGCTGTAGGTGTCTAATTTCAAATCGCCTCGAATCCTTTCTCTTACGAATTCATTCTTTTGCTCTCTCTGGATCCTAGCGTTGATTGTTTTTTCATCGTATCGTTTCATTTAATTGTAGTGGTGAAATAAGATTGGTCCAAAGGATAGAGTTATTTTTACGTGCAAGTGCTATATACACGATTCTGTTACATGTATAGATTCTATGATTGGTAAATTGTAAAAAAAAAGCGAGTCTTATATTTTTGCGCCCTCTTATGCCAATTTCAATATTCGTGTCGATATTTGTGTGTGTATATTTATGTGTATCCTTTTTATGCTAACTTTTGGAGATTAGTGTTCAATTAGGTGCGATAGGAATATCGTGGGAAGGGGAGAGAAGAAATAAGCGAAATAGATGAAATAGACGAAATAAATGCTATTTTGGAGGGTCCTTTAATAAAATTCAGTGTCTATTCAGACAAAAGGTGAAAAGTTAAAAATTATGTACGTATCGAAAAAGGAAATTTTATTTTTAGTGACATGATCACAAGTATCTTTATAAAATAAATTGCAAAAGTGGTGATTAATATTATGCCAATACTTTATAGAATATTATGAGTGAATGATTTATATATATATATATATATATATTTTGTTCGATAAGAATAAATTGTGCCTTAAAATTTTTTTTTTTTTTTTTTTTTTCTCTCCATTTTGCCTTTTTTTTATTAATTTAATATCCCTTTTTTGTTTGTCTTTTTTTTTTTTTTTTTTTTTTTTTTTTCTCCTATCGCAACATGATCCAGTATTTTTCTCCTCCATTTCGAATGAGCATGGTTCATCTACATCATGACACAGAAGTATCGACTGGTTTCAAAATTCACCTCTTTTGAAGATCACAAAGATAAAAATAATTATGTCAGTATGTATATCGATATATGTGTGTCCCAATACAAATACATGCACACACATAGATTCCTATGGCATATCTACCTTTCGTATAATATGCAAAATTTTTATTTGATATTTTTATATATAAAAAAATGCGCATATGTGTATGTGCTCCTAAACTTCATCATTAACTTTTCTGCAGGAAGCATTGTAAAAAAGTTCAGATTTTTAACTGTACAAACATTTCATTTCTGTATATATGTTGTGGAGAAAAATAGAACCAAGGGGGAAAAAATAATGATAAATATGTAAGATTGCGCTCTGTATTCCCTTGTTTTTTCTCTCTCTCACATTGTGAATTGTTTATGCTTCACAAGTTGTGAACGCGTGGAGGGAGTAAAGTTGGTTGGAAACAAGGTACCCTTTTCTAGGTTTTTTTTGCTGTTCATTTATTTGTTATATTTTTCAATTGGTAAAGCACGTGCAACGAATTGTTGTTGAACTGTAATTAGGTACGAACTTTGTGTGATTGTGACATAAGGGTTCACTTACATATAACATTTGTCCCTGTAGCTAAATCATTTAGCCGCCTTTTATCACTTCTACAATTTACAAATATTACTCATTCATGTGTAATTTTTCCTAATCATTTTTGGTACATTATTTTTCCCCAGTAAAACTATGCAGAAAAAGGTGATTACAAATTATTCACAACTCGGTAAAACCAATAAACAATCGTACCTACACTCGGATAACAAAATGAACATTTCAAATTATGTCCATTTTAAAACCCTCATTTAAAACAAGTCTAATTTTTTTACAAATATGAGAACCCTTTATCTTATTTCCACCCTTTTAAAGTAATAAAAAAAAAAAAAAAAAAGAAAAAAAAAAATTTTTTTTTTCTGTCACTATTTAAGTAAGGTTATAATTTTTATTCGAACATATCAATGTCCTGTTTTTCAGAATTATGAGTCGGTCAGTAAATTTCCCATCACGTAAATGTGCTCATTTGTTTGGGGTGAAAAAGGCAGAGTTATTTAAATTCATGTAGCTTGGTTCATCTGAGTCGAACTAAGTGTAACAAATTTAGCAAATTTATTTTAGCTTATTTATTTTAGCTTATTTATTTTAGCTTATTTATTTATTTTTATATTTTTTTTTTCTGCCTTCATTAAGTATTCGTGCGACATAACTATTATTGGCATTGACACTCATTTATGCAAGCTTCGAAATTTTAGAAGCGAAATTTGTGATTACGTGGAAAATGAATGTGTTGCAAAGTGTTTGTTGTTGGAGAAAAAACAATAAAAAGTAAAATCAAATTAAATTACATGAAGCTATAAAATAAGTTAAAATAAATAAAGCACAGTGAAGTGTAGTAATAAAATATAATTAAATAAAAGCAAAGCACGAAACATGACCACTTTTTGTAAAGATTTTTGGGAAACCATAGAAACTATGACCAAATATTATTGAAAATTAACATGCGCATATGTTAAGCATTTGATATTTTTATTAGAACAAAACGTGATAAAGTTCAGGAAATGAAGCCCACGTAAACCTCCCCGAACGAACTTGTAGTTGAAGATAGAGATTTTTCGAATTTACTGAAGCTCCATATTTACACAGTAATTGGGTTGAAGGAGAACCACGTGTTTGTATCATAGAGAAGAACATAAAGTGATTTATATATCCACCTTATGTGATATTTTAAAAAATTAGTCACCTTCAATTTTGCAGAATACACTCATATGTGTGCACATTTTTGTACATATGTGAAGATACATTCAAGCATATAAATATAATGAAAACAAATAATATAAGAAACATGAAAATTCTGTATCGCCATATCTTAAGTGAAGCTTCTAAATTTGAAAACATAAACTACAACGTCTACTTCACAAATAAGGTTAAGCGTACATATGAAATTATATTTTCACAAAATCTACAACTAGTTATTTTTCCATCTCATACTTGTTTACATTACACGTGCATGCATAGGTCCATATTTGTATTTATATTTGTAGTTGTCTTTATGTTTGTACTTATGTTTGTCTTTATATTTGTTTTTATATTTGTATATATATTTTGTGACCTATGGGGAAATAATCCACACGTATAACGTTGAAACTGCGAATCGCTTTAATAAAGAAGCAAAGAAAAAAGAACTACCGCACTTATTTTAAGATTCCGTCGTTGTATATGTGCAAATATATATACATGTATATATGTATATGTATACACAATAAAAATAAATACACTCTGAATGTTCACTCATTTTTTTTTTTTTTCTCCCTTATTTTCAAAGGCCAAGGAAACCTTTAGGGAATTTTTCAGTAGCAACAATAATAATAGGAGTGATGAAAAATTGAAAGAATTTGAAAATAACTGTAAGGAATACCTTAACATGCTGAGAAGACAAACGATAGTTCATAACTTGTATCACGTTGACAAACCATTGGTGTCCAAATGAAGGGGAATTAGAATGTCTGAGGAGTCCATACCCAGGGGTTCTCCTTATCCCGTGATTAGTACCTCCTTTTGCTATGAATTTGTGGCAGAATTGTTGTGACCATGTTGCTACATCGGTAACCTATTTTTTCCAACTTTTTATTTTTACTTTTTCATTTTTTTTTTTGTTCAAAGAAACATTAATCCAAAATTTATGAACGATTACAAGAGAGCCTTTTATGTGCACAAAATAATTACACCTTATGTAAGTTTGTTTTTCACATATATCCATTTGCATTAACGTGGGGATGCTGGAAAAAAAAAAAAAAAAAAAAATTGTATCGTAAGTACAAACCAAATGTAGAGTAAATCAAAAAAAAAAAAAAAAAAAAAAAAAAATTGCACATAAATTTCGCGAGAACATAGAAGGTACTTTTTTTTAAAAATAAAAATTTTTACAAGCAATTCCGAGTAAAATGTTAAAAGAGTGCAAGTGGGCAGTGTCCACAGCATATTCAAATATATTTACATATATATATGCATAATCTAACATGCCCGTGTGCACAGTAGTCATACACTGCAGTAGGCCAGACTTTACACTCCCCGTTGCATCATATGCTGGGGATTTTAAAATAGCATTGGGACGGGACAATAACCCAATCCAGGGGCTGTGGGATTATGAACAGTATAGAGACCTTTCTCATAATTTTCCCTAAGACCATAAGGCCAAGAATTTGATATCTGAGGTTTATATTCTTTCGGAAGAGCATAATCAGATGGAGGTTGTTCTATCGGATGTCGTGTGTATCTAATAGTTTGTCCCTTAGAATCTTTCATAGGTCTTGGTCTGTATTTCCCTTTCCATAATTTTTGCCTTATTAAAAATTTACACCTATCACCATCAACAGCAGCAGCATTAATAGCTTTCGATCGATCTCTTGAATCTGGGATAGCAAATAATATGCATTTTATTTTTAACAAATTGCATGTATGTTTGTATAATTCGAAATCTGTTTTGTATAAGTACTTCATTAATTTTTGTCTTCTAGCTAACCATATGGACATAGTTCTTTTTTTTGGATGATCTTTGCATTTAAGTATTAAATGAGCTCTTAAATTTAAAATTTTTTCAGTTAAACATCCAATTTGAACAGGTGCACTTCCAGTATCGAATGGTCTTCTTTGTAGAAATCGTCTTATACATAACTTTTTATATTTATGTATTTGTTTGCTGCTGGCACACTTTAAATGTAACATGTTTATTATATTTTTTTTTAAATGTTTTATATCATCATATTGCCATAATCCTATGAACCCATTTGGTATTTGATTCCTTTCAGCTAAGAAATCTCTTTCAGCTTTTAAATACCACTCTGTTTTCTGAGCATGCGTTTTTACTGCTGTAATTCCTGTATATCTATGAGCCTTTACTCTTGATTCATAACGTTTTGTGCATCTGATGAAAGGTATTTTATTTGCCTTGAATGGTAATACATAAAGGTTATTTTGTTTAAATACCCTAAGTAACATTATCATTTTTTTTTTTTTTTTTTTTTTTAAATAAATTTTTGTTTGTAAAAAAAGGATTCAAAAGTAGTTAAGGAAATTGGAGAAAAGAAAGTTCTGATTACAAGTTCTCTCTATAAATTACGAATTGTATATATGTGTTGAATAGGAGTTCTAAACCAAATGGTATTTAACTAATTAAAAGAATACATTATTTACCTAATGATTCATAATGTTAACTCTTATAAGCAATGTGAGTTAGCTACAAAATGAGTCACTCAGCTGTTGATATAGATAGAGCATGTTAATAACGAACAAAAAAAAAAAAAAAAAAAGAAGTATGTCTCAATACAACATTTCCTTGTATCTCATTGATTATCCTGTTTGAAAATTTGTTATTTCCCTTCAAGGGCTATGAGCAATGGGATGTTAACTCTGTCGCAACACAATTTGAAACTTCTGACGTACACACCTGTGGGGTGTGCATGCATGCGTGTTTTTATGCATGTGTGTATATCTGCTTACATATCTGTACATATATGTGTGGATGAATTAAGTGGCATTGTTAGGAAACTCCGGGAATGTGGGCCACATTTAAGGATGAAACAACTTTTCGAACTTGTACGTGTACATGACTAACGTACAAATATGTATTGTTTTGTAACCTTGTGAAGGGACATTTCCACAGAATATATGGCATAAAAATAGAGAGAATTCTCTATTTAAGTCTTTTCTCTCTTGATCATTGCTCTACTAGAATAAAAATGTAAGTGGCTTCATAAATGTAGTTGATCCTGTCGATAAACATTTGTGTTAGTTGGAATTTTCCGAGGTGAAATATACATTTTTTTTTTTTTTTTTTTTTACCTGTTAGTTTAATTCCTGAATATGGGATATATGCAACGTGTTAAAAAAATGGTGCAAGATAAAATGGGAGTTTCAAAAAATTTTTTTTCTAAGGCATTACTCCACATTTGGCATACACGTTTTATAAATGAGCTTGTTCACTTGAAAATATATGTGCCTTGTAGGAAAATGTGATTAGCATCAAAAGTTTGGAAAACGAGGAAGAGTGTTTTTTTTTTTTTTTTTTTTTTTTTTTGTTTGTTTGTTTAAGGACAACTAAGAAAAAGAGAAGGCATTGTATGCTGAAAAAAAACTCCGACAGGTAGTATGAAATGTATTCAGAAAATATAGCGCACGTGGTGATTCTATTTTTCTTTATGGGAGAATTAACTAGAAACAATAAATTATATGCTTCGTGGTAAAAATAAGAATACTCTGCAGAAAGGGGAAAAAGTATGACAAAAAAAAAAAAAAAAAAAAAAGGAAATCACACAATATGGCACAGTTAAAAGTATGTGTGATAAGATAAAATAAAATACACAATTATATTTTTAGGAATAAACTAAGAAACAATTGTAATGAATATTTAATCAATTTTAAGAACTGACGTATGAGAAAATGTTCACCAAAAAAATAAAGTAAAAAAAAAAAAAGAAAGCAACATTAAATATTACAACGACAATAATATCCAGAAAGTTCCTAGTGGCAATAAAACCCAAATCAATACGAATGTACATATGGCAGTCAAATGAAATGAAGGAGAAAACAACCACAAACTGTACATGCTTGAGTAGCAAATAAAACAAAATAAAATAGAATAAAATAAGGTAGAATAGAATAAAAATGTTTACTCCTCGTTTCTTCTATTCGTTCAGCGTACGTTATAGCATAAAATGGATGTTTTTTTTGTAGATTAGATCCCCAAATTATAACAAAATTTACTTGATACTAATTTGTTACCCTTTGGATAATAATTTTGCATTCTTGATTGCAACGAAATATCCATATCGTTTTTTATTTTATTCTTTTCTTCGTAATTTAAGAAAAAAAAAAAAAAAAAAAAAAAAAAACACAAACACACGCACACATTGGCACCAATGGAAGATTTAAAAATAATCCTATGGTCTATTGAAGAAATAATTTACCTGAGTTCAGAAAATGAAATTCTTTATGACAAAGAGGAGAAAGAAATAACAAAAAAGCTATCAGATTTGTGTAAGAAGTATGTAGACGAAAATTCTAGAAAATCGAATGGAGAAAATTATCCAGAAGTAGAGTTAATTTCGCCTGTTAGAAGCGTGTTTCGCCTTTTAAAGTTGATAAAAGCAGGGAAACACAAGGAGTGTATTGTTGATCCATTGATCCGAGACTTATTTCAATTCATTTTAGATACTTTTAAAAAAGATTCTACGAAAAGTATTAACCTAGTAAAGAAGGAATTATTCAACTATGTTGTTTTGCACGAAAAGGTAGAAATAAAGAAAAGATGGGACAAAAATAAGAAAGAAGAAGATGAAAATCTGAACAATAAGAATTTTTTTTTTTTCACATGGTACATGTTCATTCATGAGATAAAAATTCTCCTGTGTAGCTACATATTTTTGAATGTGTTTGTGCAGCAAAATTGGACAGGCCCACCTCTAATATGTAATAACGAAAAGACGACAATGAATAATGCACAGGTATATGACAAAGATAGCTATTTTGACAAATTTTTCGAAACAATAAAAATAAAAGATGAAGATTTTTTAACTTCATGTTTGGACTTTTTATCCCTAGAAGGAGAACATATATATGAACACTGTGAATTGATGAATACTTTCTGCTTATGTATAATTTTTCTACATTTAGTAAACAACTTTAATGAAACAGATGATCCAATTATGTCTTCAAATGAGTACAAATATTTTGAGAAAAATACGTCAAATGGGATTTTTGAAATTTCGAGCGAAAACAAATCACACATGAGAAGCGAATCAGTGGTAGAAAAAAAGAATCAACATCCACCTGCTAAGTGTATCCCCAAAGACATGCATCAAAAAGATGAGAAAAAGAAAGAATATGATAAAAATAAACTTTTACATTTTGTTAAGAGCAAATATTTGTGGAAATCCAGAATTTATTTCATATGGCAAAGACTTTTTGCTTCTTCTAGTAATGATTGGTTTTATTCATTGAAAATACATATAATTGATAAACCAATTAAAATATTTAAGAATATTAAATTATTGACAAATGATTTTGAATTAATCGAACAAGATATAAATATAATTGAAGAAGTACCAGATATACTTGCTCATTTAAGTAAAAATGATGAGGAGAACCTAAAAAATTGTGATTTATTTTATGAAAATTATATGTCTAAAAAATTTCAAATTTATGTTTTATCAAATTTTTCTATTTATCTTGCATTTTACAATTACACACATGCGTATCAAAGGATACTGGATATCATTGCAGAAATGAGTCAATTTTATTACTCCTTCACAGGTAGAATGGGAATCAAAAGAAAATACCAAAAAATACCTGCTACTCTTTTAGTGCTAAAAGCGAAAAGGGGACAAGATGAAGATAACACTTCTGTAGTTTTGAAAGAAATAGAACCTCTCAGTGAGTACGACATTTTGAAGAGTGACTACAGAATTATGAACACTGAAAAAAAAGTTGAACCCATCTGTGGATTCATGAATATGGAGCTGATGGATACTCAGAATAAGACAAATGATAAGAGGCAAGACGATGCAACTGGAAGCACAGAAGAGACACTCTTATCCAATTCATCTAATCTAGTACAAATGATGAAGGTGCAGAAAAAAGGGGAAAATATTACCATTGACAAAAATAAGGTCAGTGACAAAAATAAGGTCAGTGAAAAAAATCATGTCAGTGACAAAAATCATATCAGTGACAAAAATCATATCAGTGACAAAAATCATATCAGTGACAAAAATCATATCAGTAACAATGATTTTAAAAATAAAAAAGAAGATGAAACAAACCAAGTAAAAACAAAAAACGGTGAAACAATATTAGAAAAATCAAGTGACGCAAAAATAGAAGCGAGAAATAACGAGATAATCAATGAAAAGTTTCAAACATCAACAGGTCATGATTCTAGGCGTAGCGAAGATGTATCATCGGTTAAACATGCCCCTGCGAATACTGAAAAAATGGCTAGTTGCTCAAGTGAGAGAGGGGGAAATAAAATCAATTATGACTCAGATATGTGCTTGCTAAAGAATGACGAAAAAAGAGATGCAGAAAATATCAGCAATGTAAAGAATGTGGACAATCACATTGAAATGGATAAAGCAAAAGGGAAAGTAATGTGGAAATTAAAAGATCTCGATCCAGACACAGATATACTAGAAGAACCATATTTTATGGATTCACAAAACAATTATTTTAAAATATTAACATTCGATGAGCAAATAACCTTAATTAATTTTTGCTTCTCCATGGTTAGATTCAATCCACATCATGACGAAATAAATTTTGAAAAGTTAAGTGCTGTTATAGCAAGATGTCTGAAATGTTATGATGTAAATATGGAATCATTTAAAAACGATCAAAGTCAAGCACAAAATAAGAACAATGCTTTACTTCAAATAAAATATCAAAACTGGTTATTACACTCTTGCATTATATGGTATAAATGCAAATGTGAAACGTTTCGATTGAAGACTGTAGATAGAGCTGCAGCTCAATTAAATGAATTATTAAAAGAGTCTTACGACGACGAACCACATGGAAGAGAAAGATTGAAATTTATTTTTGATATATATTATCCATCCATTTGGGAAATGAAAAAGGAAATAGGGAAAGTTTTGATTAAAACAGGTTCTGTTGTATCAGCTTTTAACATTTTTAAGGATTTAAAATTATGGGAAGAAGCTATTACCTGTTTGATTGAAGCAGATAGAAAAGAAGAAGCAAAGGAATTGCTAGACGAATTGTTGAAAAAAAAAAAAACACCATGTTTGTTATGTTTGTATGGATTAGTAGATAGAAATAATGCTCTTAACTATTACCTAGAAGCATGGAATATATCAAATTTCAAATATGGAAAGGCAGCTAGATTTATTGGAAAACATTATTACCATAATGAAATGTACACTCCTTGTTGTGAATATTTAGAAAAAGCTTTAGATATATCTCCCCTTTTACCAGACATATGGTTTATTCTAGGTTGTTCATATATGAAATTAGAAAAATTCGATGAATCTATAAAAGCTTTTACTCGTATGATTAGTATGACGAATGAAAATTCTTCCAAATCATATGGAAATTTGGCTTACCTGTATATGAAAAAAGGAACCTATAAAGCAGCAAAAATATGTATAAACCAGGCAGTAAAAGTTGATAATAATGAATGGAAGTATTGGGATACATATCTTAAATTATCTATTATGCAAAATGATGTCGATAGTTTCTGCTTGTCTTTAACCACATTATGTCAACTCAATCAAGTGAAACAAATACAACCATGGGTTTTTGAATATATCTCAGATCTTATTGTAAAAGATAAGCCGACCCTAATTCTGAATAAAAATGGATTGAGCTATTTGGACAAAGTGATTACAACTATGGATACTATATCTGTTCATATATCTGAATATGACACTTATTGGAATGCATTTTCCTTTTTTCTTTTTATAAAAGGAAGATTCGTTGATTCTTACAATGCAAAAGTGAAGGAAATTCGTTCAATAGAGGTATATTTTGGATATTTTGTTATTTTTGCGAACCATTCGAGTGTAGGAGGGGTTATATATGAGTGTTCTTCATATATATGAATATATGTATGTATTCACAAACTTTTATTTGCATCCTAAATATCCTTTTCGACATTTTTTTTTTTTTTTTCTCTCTTTTCCAAATACAGAGTATGATACAAAAATGTACCACGAAACAGATAATAAGTGAACTTATTTCGAAACAAGTAAACGCAGTCAAGTTTTTGCATCATATACTCAACGCACATTATGTAGAGGAGAGGAAAGGGTAAAAATGGCACTTATATTCTATTTGAAAATTTTAAAAACACAAATTTGTTCACCAAAATTGTGTAAAAATGTTTTCTTTTTTTTTTATCATTTTTTATTTTTATTTTATTTTTTTTTCGTTAGAACTTTTTCATACCAGTTAAAGAACATTATTGAGTCCATTTTGAAACAGTACAAGGACATGAATCAACAGGAAGTAAATGAGTTGTCACAAATTATGCAAGTTATAAAATGAAGCACTTTTAAGAAATGATAGTTTCTGCAACGTGAAGTTAACAGAACTGGTATGTAGTGTATTTTACTATATGTTAATTCTAATATAGGGTTATAAAATATGATTAGAAGTATATTATATAGGGAAGCCCAAAATAATATATTAAACCCATGTTTCATCATTTTTATTTATTTAGCATTGTTAACAAGTTTTTGAATTAAAAAGAAAAAAAAAAAACAAACAATTATTATCTCCACCCCATTTTTTTTTTAAGTATTAACCTTGTCAATATTGAATGCACTTTTGTACCATATGTTTGTACTTATGTGTAATCAAAATCCTGTCAAATTTCATATATATGATTTAGTGCATGTCGCAGTTTTACGTAATTCACACACATTGCGCCGTATTGTGGATGCATAACGAGTGGTCATTTTTTTCTATTCTTTTTTTGCAAAAGTATGGGTGGGAAAACCCACCATATGTATCCAATATTTATGTTTATACCTACTGGAATATCTGCATATACACCTGCAATCATTTACATGGGCCACCATTTAATCCTTAAATCGATATTTCCAGTAGGAAGGGAAAGACAAAAAAAGAAAAAACTATCCCTCCCCCCCCCAGACTCCCTCCAAATGGAATATATAGAGAATGTCATACGAAATAATTTGAGACTGGATGTGTACATGATTAATACACTTACTTTTAGGTCAATTTTTTTAGTGGAAAAATGTTTTTTTTTTCCAAAAATTGCGGACTCTAAGATTTTTACATAATAATGGTTGTTTTATTATTTGCTTTATATTTATTTATTTTTTTTTTTTATACACTTTTAAAATGACCCCGTTATAGACTTTTTGGATATTTATCATCCCCTATTATTTTTATTTTTCATTCTGTGTTGCTTTATGTCAATCCTGTTATGTATTGACAAGAAAAGTAATAAATTTGGTTTATTTTATCCTAAGAAGGAATATAATATTTTAAAATTATATGTAAAAAAGTGCTATAAAAGGGAAAATGTAAAATTTTACTGTCCATATATAGTTTTTTTTTTTTTTTTTCTTTTTTTTTTTTCCGTAATAGTTGGCTAGCTGTGTGTCACAAGATGTAATTTGTAAATAATTCTGTACAACCCTTTGGCTATTCTTAAGAAAATAACGCACACATTATAGGTCGCAACGAAGAGTAAATAAAACATTTTTTTTTTTTTTTCATTTTGCTTTTTTCATCATTTCAGTTCGAACATAAAGTTACCACCTTTGTCAGTTGTGTACGCTTTTAATAAGCAGAAATGTCTTTTAAGAAAGAAAAAAAAAAAAAAATGTGGAAGGATGAAGGGAGAAAAAATTAATAAGTTTCATTCAAATTTTTCCTCTTTGTGTGTGCATAGATATATATTAAAAAAAGGGTGTTTAAACAAATTTACAAATTCGCTTTATGAAGGAAATGATTTTTATTGCATGTACAGAAAATTAAAGGGAAAAAAAAAAAAAAAAAAAAAAAAAAACAGCCACAGCAGCAACGAGAATAGCCAAAGCAAACATGACAACTGTAAAACAACAATTTTCGGCTAAGCGTAGTAATTAAGGAAAAGTCAACAAATTAATTCCTTTTTATCCTGCAATTTTTTAATTTAATTTTACATAAATTGTATATGTGTGTATTTACAAAATTGCTATTTTTTGGTTTAACGCTTTTCTGTTTTTTTTTTTTTTTTTTTTTTTTTTCATTTTGTTATTTTATTTTATTATTTTTTTTTCTCTACACATTTATCATTTTTTATCTCAATTTGATTTATTTTATATAAAAATAAATTTGGCAACTTCTTAAACATTTACACACAACCGACAACACTAAATTGTCTTTTAATTTTGCAAAATATATTAAAAAATTCAAAAGTGGCTTTTATATGCTTGAAAATTAACTATTTCACTCAAATAAATTGCTTAAAGTAAAAATATTTTTATTTTCATTTGATTTATACGACATTTTGTCACAACATATAACCCCAGTCCTCGAAATTTTCATTTGAGTTCTTTTTCTTCTTTTGTATATATATTCCATTTTCTTCAGAAAAAAATGGCTCTTTCACATCTTTGCGGGGCACAGGTACCACAAGGACCCTCAACAATTAACACTTTCCTAACAAAGGCTCAACATGACATCACCTTAACAGCAGCTGGTACCAGAGTTTTTATAAAAAACATAAAAACTGGTGTTACAATGAGCCAATTTAAAAATTCCCTAAAGAAATATGGAACCTTGCAAGTTTACTTTTACGAACCTGGAACTAATGATGACGGTTGGGCATGGGTTGGATTTGAGACTGAAGAAGCTGCACAAAAAGTAGTGGAAGAATCTGAAAAAGCAAAGGAGTTGGAAGAAGCAAATAATGAAAATAATGAGAATGACGAAAATGATGAAAATGATGAAAATGACGAAAATAATGAAAAGAACCCAAAGGATGAAGAAAATGAACGAGACTCAAATAGTCAATATGCTGAAAATGATGATGAAAATCAACAGGAAGATGAAGACAGCGACGATTATTAAATTTATTTAAAATAAAATTGTTAAATTAAAGTGTAACGCATTTTAACACAAATCCTCATCTCTTATTGTGTAATTTTAAATAAAATTTAGTTTTGCAAAAATAGAAAAATATGGTTGCATGCTTTAAAAACTTTTTTTTTTTTTTTTTTCGTATTTTAATTGAAATGTGTTCAGTGCGAAGGAAATAAAGATCGATTTTATTTATTCTCCCGCGTCTTTTTATTTTCTTGTTCTTTATGTTTTTTTTTTTTTTTTTTTTTTTTTTTTTTTTCTTATCACGTCTTATTACTTCTTCTTATTTATTATTTCCCCCTTTTTTATTCTCCTTTCCTTTGTAATTCCGCTGAATATTTACATAGTAGTTTTACTTATTCCTGTTGAACTTATAAAAAAGACGCAAATATTTCGTTCTATAAGGGTTTCCCTTATTAATAAAAAATGCTGCTATAACTTTTCTGACATGCAAAAAATGTTCTCACTTAGCTTAAAATGTAAGCAGAGAGATTAGATGGGTTATGTATCATGGCTCAAAAGGGAAAAATGTCGAAATTTAATCAACATAATTGTGTTAACTAGAAGATATAAATGTCCTTTTACACAAATTATCAATATATATATATATATATATTTTAACACCCGTTTTGAATTGTCAGTGCATTGCTTGTATACATCTCTTTACATGTACGTAATACAACTCACGTAATGTGAAATGATATCAAGTCAATTTGCTGTCGTATAGTGGCTTCATTTACTATTAACAATAGGTGAAGTGCAATGAAGCTCATTCTTCTTAGAAGTTTTTACTTTGCACTTTCTCTTACTATGTTTTTAAAATAACACCATGTGTGCTTTTATATGTAGGTGATTCAAAGAGGGATGCAAAAATGTGCATAAATATATGATAACTAATTTGAAGAAGTGGTCATGTTTCTTATTTTATTCCCTTTTTTTTTTTTTTAAAATTCCTTTTTTTACCTAAATGAAACATATAACTTTTTAATAAACTAATAAAATAGTAATTAATATATTCCTTCAGTTTTTTTTTTTTTTCTCTTTTCTCTTTTCTCGCTTCCTTAAAAAGGCATTTGTGATGAAAAAAAAAGAAAAACTAGATCTGTCCAGCTGTTTTTATTAGCACTTTTATCCATATCCAATATTCATCTTCTGATATAGGGTTATATAACTATCCATCATGCGGTGCACAACTTTGTGAAGGCGATCTGACCATGGTACAAATGAGATTGAGCTCTGTGAAACATTATGCTATAGTATAAATGAAGCAATTTGTATAATTTTCTTCTAGAATAGCTTTTAAAAGAAGGCTGTTTATTCAGTTAGTTGTCATTTTATTCTCTGTGAGTTCATTTTTTATGCCTCATATCTCATCTCGACTTTCTTTTTTGCTAATTTTTTTTTTTAAATATTTTTACCATAATATACCAAATGGGCATTAGTGCTTTCTTATGAAACAGTTTGGTATACGTATAAGAAAAAATAAAACAAAAATAACAAGTATAAAATTAGTAGTTGCAAAGTTAGTACTAGAGTGTGGTAAAAGGATGAAGATCAATGATGCATTATGTGTATATAAATATATACTGAACGAATATCACATTTTTCATTCTGAGGAGTAATATCCACAGCTAAGTAAGCGGAATAAGCATATGGAATGAATGTAAGCTATTTTTATACTTGTAAATCCATAAGAACATGAATACTCATGCAATCCCATGCATATATACCAAAATATCCAATTGAATTTAAGGTTGATTTAAAATTAAAGTATGAATAGAATAAACCAGTCGTGTTAACAGAGAATATGCAGGTAGCAACCACCACACACACCCTAGGAACTTCTCAATTTAGTAATGAAAACATGCACCGTTCTAATGATACGTAAAATAAGAATAAGCTAGAGAGTACACAAAAAAAAAAAACAAAAAAAAGAAAAGAAATCTCTCCCACAAAAAAAAAAAAAAAAAAGAAAGAAAAAAAAAAAAAAAAAAAAAAAAAAAAAAAAAAAACCCCCCCCCCCCCCCCCCCCCCCAAAAAAAAAAAAGCAACCGTAAAGATTATATTCAGTGAAAGTTAACCAGAAAAGGGAGGAACATACATATATAAATAGATAGATACTTAAGTATCTCCACTTGTGCATACATGTTTACCCTGCTATATATACATGTGTAAGATCAAGCATGGGGTGTGCTTCAAGTTCACAATCAACAAGTTCAACCAGAAACCTCAATATTGTAAAATCGCCATTAGAGCAACAGAAAAAAAATGATACTAAAGTGAAAATTGTGCTATTAGGTGATAGTGGAGTCGGAAAATCAAGTATTGCACTCTACTTGTGCCATGGACGCTTTTCTGATAAGCACCAAGTGACAATAGGAGCCGCTTTTCTACATCACACAATTGAACTTAAGAATGGTAAAAAGAGATAAAAAAAAAAATTTCATTAGAAGAGGAGTTATACATGTCATATTACACCTACATTTGTATGCCGAATGGGGAATAGTATACCCTTTTTTTTTTTTTTTTTTTTTCTTTTAATGCACAGTTATTGGAATGTGTATATGAAGATGTGTATGTGATATTATACAAAACATCAAAATGGTATTTATATATATATATATATATATTTTTCCCCCTTTTTTTAGGAACAACCATGAAACTACATATTTGGGATACGGGAGGACAGGAGCGGTTTCGATCCATGGCCCCCTTGTACTATCGTGATGCGTATGGGGCAATAGTCGTGTATGACTCGAAGTAAGTTCATTTGGTTTGCATATGTGCTAGATATGTATATGTATTCATTTGTGTTTGTCGGGGGATATATATTTCTCTGTACCTTTGTTCAAATGAATGTATATAATATTCCTTCCTTTCCTCCAAATTCCTTTGATTTCGTCTGAGAATAATATTATTTCCCTTAAAAAATACACAGCAATGTTGAATCCTTTAATTCGCTCAAATACTGGATTAATGAAATAAAGTCGAATGGATCACGAAATTGCTGCATTATGGTTGTCGCAAACAAAAAGGATCTTCCGCAAAAACTGAATGCAGAGGTGATAAAAGAAAAAAAAAAAAAAAAAAAAAAGAGAAGAATAATAATAAGAAGCAAATGCATGATAAGTCCTGTAGAAACCATGTGAATTTTCACCCCGTTGATTGTTTTTCCATTGTGTTCCTTTGACACACTTTTACACGACATAACTGGTACCTTATTTTTATTTTTTCATTTGTATGTATAATTCTACACATCACCCAAATGTTTTCCCCTTCCCCTTAAGATGGTAATGAAATTCTGTGAGAAGGAAAATGTGTCCTTTATCGAATGTTCCGCGAAGGTAAAATTGAAAAAATAAGAATAGAACAGAATAGGGCAAAATAAGACAAGACTGCATGCAAATGTATATGGGTCATAATAAGTGGAATTACCTCAGATGGAAAACCGGAGAGTAAAATATTTCATATAAAAATAGTTCATTGAAAAATAGTATAATAACTGATGTCCATTTATTTTTACATTTTTTTTTTTTTTTTTTTTTTCAGACTGGAGAAAATATTAATACCCTTTTTGAAAAAATTGGTAAATATAATTTCTCATTTTCCTTAAACGAATAAACAATTTTGCGAAGTTAAATTTGGACTCATGGATTTGTTGTCTTGCTTAAGGACAAAATTGTCGTCTAGTTAAAGCACAAATTTGTCGTTCATTTTGGCCTAGACTTTTACGTTTGCTTTACCATTACACACTTTGTTCCCCCCTTCTTTACATGTAGCAAGCCGCATTTATTTGAGGTTCAAGGAAGTGTTATATTACAGCGACCCATAATAATAGCACCCAATCACAAAATATGAAAAACGAAGGATAACAAAACAAAAGCTTTTGTTTGTTTTTTTTTTTTTTTTCTTTTTTTTGTCACGAATTTTTTGTCTGTTCCAGTAACTCATTCATTCCTATACATTGTTCAAAATGCCGATGTTTTGCTTAATTGTATATTTTATTTATTTTTTTTTTTTTTGATGCTAACAAAAAAATAAAGATTCGATTGATGCGATATATACATATACATGTTTTACTTTTTGAAAAAATGATAAAAACTTATTGACCCTTTTTATAAAATATTTTAAAAAAGTGTAGAAATTCTGTTCCGTCCTTGTTGTACTTTGTTCTGTGCATAATTATGGGGGGAGAAAAATGATGAAGTGTGTGTATAAAAATAGTAAAAATTTAGAAATATATGTAAATATACCCACGGCTATGTTTCTGCCTGATCCTCTGATAAAAAGGTAACTAAACGTGTGTAAATAGTTTTGTAAAGTTTGATTAAACACAAAACAATTAGGTACTTGTTTTAGAGAGTAAAAAAAAAAAAAAAAAAAAAATCAGTCTTTTTTCACTTGTTCTATGAAACTCAGAACAATGATAAAGGATAGATATGATTTTGCCACCCACGAATTTTTATTTCTTTTTCACATTTATCCCCACAACAAAAGTATACCCCATCGACTTTTTACTTATATGTTTAATATCCTCGCAGTTTTAGTAGGCCCACTTGGAGGCATCTACATTATTGAAAATGATCGAATAAAACTTATAAAATAAAAGTAATAAATGTGCCTCATTTAAAATTTCCTAAATGGTAGAGAAAAAAAAAAAAAAAATGAAAAAAATTAGTGCAATTTTTTATAAGTCATGAGAGAAATACATTTATGTTACTCCACAAAAAAATGAATAAAAAGAAAAAACTAAAAATTGCAACAGAGTGTGAGAGAACATCACATGTGAGTAAATCAATTTGCCAGCTTTTTTTTATCGCATTTATGCAAATAAAAAAAAGAAGAAAAAAAAAAAAATTTAACATTTTTTTTTTCTCCCCCCACCAGTATGCACTATACTTTTTTGTTTTTTCCCGTATATACAATATTTTTCTGCTTTCTCCCGAATGTACAATATTTTTCTGCTTTCTCCCGAATGTACAATATTTTTCTGCTTTCTCCCGAATGTACAATATTTTTCTGGTTTTTCCAGAATGTAAAGATTTTTTTGTTTCTTCTCTTTTTTTTTTTTATATTCTCTAAAACAAGCACCTAATCCGTTTTTATTGGAGTGACATAAATTTTATTTCCAACCAAAATTAGAACAGCAAAGAAAAATGTGGATATATACATAGGGGCTATAGGTGAGAAGGTTTAAATTTTACATACATATGCAACATTAAATGCATGTAAAACAAGTGTGGCTAAGTGTGTGAATGAACACGGAAAAAGATATCGTTATTGACTTGTCATCCCCAAATGTTTATATTATTTATCGAAGAAGATGAACATACTTAGTATCATTGTTTTTATGATAGTTGGTTGTTTACACTTGATGGGATCATATGAGTGTAAGGAACACTCCATCGAATTAAAAAATAATTACATTGAAGGCACAATTAAAGGCAATCTGAACGTTTTGGCAGATTGTACAATATATTTAGATTCAGATATTTATAAGAAACCAAAGATTAATGGGCAATTTATTTTTACAAATGTGAAGGAAGGGACATACAACATGTTTGTTAATCACCCATACCTTGAATTTAACAAGTATCAAGTAAATGTGAAAAAAAGTGTGACTAAGAATAATGACAAAGTATATATCGTACAAGCATATGAACAAATATCCCCATTTGAAAAAAGCAACTTAATGGTTACGAATATAGTTTTTGAAGCGAAAAAGGTGTATGAATTTTTAGTTCCAAAAAAGAATTTTCATATATATAATTTGTTTAAGAGCCCCATTTTTTTAATTTTCTTTTTCTTCTTAATTTTACTTAGTGTCTTACCACAAATGCAGAAAATATCCGATTCTGCAAATGAGGAGACACACGGACCTGCTACCTACAAATCTAATTTTGTGGAATCTATCAAATGACGACACTCCCACGTCTCGCTACATCCTGTATCACACTGTATGATGTAATTGCTTTATCAGTTGACTATTTCGCACCCAATTTTTTTGCGAATTTTTTCTCGTATACACAGATTTCCCTTTTTTTTTTTTTTTTTTTTTTGTGTATACATGGTGTGGCCTATTTTGGTAATAGGATCATGCTACACATTTTAAACCTACATGCACAACTTATCAAATATGATGATGTCCAATTTTTCTAATCCTTTATGCTTCATTTGATTTGGAAAAATCAGTGAAAATTTGATGGTTGTCTTCCCAAGCACAAAAAAAAGGGGGTAATTAAATTAAAAGAAAATATAGAGAAAAAATGTTCAAAAGGATGATACCACTTAACCGTTATTGTAGTTTTTCTAAAATAATAATATCCCTAGTAAAAAAAAAAAAAAAAAAAAAAAAAAAGTAGAAGCATGGTACAACCAATTTGTACAATTAGGAATAATGTGTGATCGTTTAGCTTCTCCCACTGTTCGTTTATTACAAGGAAATTCTCACTTGTCAATATGAAATTATGGATATCTGCACATTTGTATAATGTTTTTCCCCTTGGAAGCACATCAAAAATGGGAAACTATTCTTTGTTCCTCAAATAATTCTTAACTAGCTAAGTACACCCTATATGCACACATTTGTGTATGTACACAGATACATTCCTATATGGATATGTTGCTGATAAAATATGACAATAAAATTCAGAAATATTTCTTCTTTTTTATATGCTGAGTATATCAAATGGAGTTATTAAAAAAAAAAAAAAAAAAAAAAAAAAAAAAAGAAAATAAAAAAAAAGTTAAAAAAAAAAAAAAAAAAAAAAAAAAAAAAAAAAAAAAAAAAAAAATTTTTTTTTTTATATGCTGAGTAAAAAAAAAGGAGTTATTAAAAAAAAAAAAAAAAAAAAAAAAAAAAAATGGAAATTAAAATAAACGTTGAAAAAAAAAGGAGTAAAAAGGAAAATAAGTTAAAAAAAAAAAAAAAGAGTCCATTCCATGTATGAATATATCCAAATAAATGTCCCCATCCAGGGGAACACATTTTTGGGCAATATATTTCTTCATCCATGGCACTAGTATGGGCATTGAAAAGAAAATGGGGCAGGAAAACCTATCATGTGACTACTTTTTCCCCACTTTGATATTGTTTCATCAGGAGTGTTCTTGATACTGTACATGGTTTATTGAGAAACCTGCACATTCACGATGTGTCCATACTTTTCACATAAAAAAATAAAATAAAAAAAAGTATAACGCCAAAGGAAAACATATGCAACATTTATTAGGTGATTTGCGCGCAGGAATAAAAGAAGCAACAAACGAAAGAACGAATGAGTGAATGACTAAATAAACAAAACAATAATGAATGCAATGATGAATGCCGTTAAGTGAACAAAACAACAGAGGGTACCTTGGGTAAAATCCGCCCATTTGCAGGTTTCACCCCCTTAACAAAAGTAAAGGCAAACATATCATCACCCTCTCACAGTTGTGATATATATATATATATATATATATATATATATATATATATATATATATATATATATACACATATATCCATCATATTTAATACATGCCCTTTCTCATCCCCCGTGTAAATATCCTATACCTTTTTTCTCTACATATATGTGCAGATTATCATTTGATCGCTGATTTATTTTTTGTAGTTTAGGCTTGTTAACTCATTATTGTGTCTCCCCCATGTTAGAGTCCTCATTTTAGAAGGGATGTTGTTATTCATGTTTCCGTATGACACTGTGTTTGGTTTAAGTTTTTTGGAACCTTTTAAATCTGTTATCACACCAGAACTTCCTTGCATAAATCCATTTTTTTTTTTTTTTTTTATTACATAGATGGACAACGTATAATTTACACCTCCAGAATTCTTAATTTGCATTTTCTAATTTTTTTTATTTTTGTGTACAAATTAAAAGATCTATATATTGTCTATTTTACCATTCTTCAATGTATTTCATTAGGTTCGATCAATTTTATCATTTCAGTGTTGATATTGTATAGTATTTTTCATTCATCCTTTTGTGAGGATATAGAGCCTTACAATTCGTTTTCCAACTAAGGGTATCTACACAGTTCAACAGTCAATCTCTCAAAATTAAAACTTGAATTTCTATTTACATAACCATCATCCCTTGATGGGGAGCCGAAACAAGTACAGAAGAATTTTCCTCATCGCGGAATTTCCCTACTTTTGTATTCTGTTCAGGAAATAGATACCTTCCAATTGACCCGGATATCACATTTTCTATGTCAAATGAATTGGCTACATTACTTATTAGTTCTTTTATAGAAACATTATTACACGTTTGAGCTGATGCCCATATTTGTACAGAATTCTTTGTGCCTATATTTTCTCCATTTCCTGCGTCTTCCTTAACCCCATTCGCTTCTTTCACTCCCTTCAAATAATCTGCTTGTTTTCCTTCCTTTGACTTCTTCACATCTGTCACATCTCCGACAACTTTTACAGTTCCCACATTACTCACACCTTTCACACCTTTTGCATCGTCTACTTGTTTCTCTTCCTTTTCTGCTTTCACCTCGGGAATAACTTTAGGTGGTGCTACATTGAGGAGATCCTGCTTAGCTTTACTTTGCATATTAGGAATTACACTAATATAAACAGATGGAACTAATCCAAATGGGAATTTCAAGAAGAGAACACATACTGTATATTCAAAGGTACCATTAAAAACCTTTTTAAAAACTGCAAAAACATTCAGTATAGTTTTAAAAACATAGAAGTAACATGTTTCATCTGATTCGTTATATAACCAATCTAGTAAATAAAATTTTTTTAAGAATTCTGCTACTCTTTTTCCAGATTGTTCGTCTAAATATGGACATGCCAGTAGGCATAATCCCTTGTCCATTAGATACTTGTTTATGTGTGTGTTGTAAATACGCATAAGGAAATTGGGAATATAGTGTATTGTGTTAGGCAATATATTTTCATAACCTTGAAGTTCCATTGTGTTATTTTCATCTGTTGGAATTTTGTGACTATTTTGATTTGCATTTTTATTAATGTCAGAATTTATTGTGCAACTATCTCCTTGGCTATCCTCATCCTTACACTGATTTCTACCTTCTCCCCTTTTCTGATCTCTATCAACATTACTTCTAACACCAAGACTAATTGATCTGTTCGTGTCACTCATAATTCCACCATTGAAATCGCCGATAAAATTCCCCTTCACTTTACTGACTCCTTCTGAACTTTCATCTGCCGTGGGGGATGCATTGACAAGAGCCACGTTAACAAAAATAAGATCCCAAAATTTTTTTTCTGGATATTTGGATTTGATATTATTAATTGCTCCAAATATAGTTGGACATTTTTTCTGTATATTGTTAAGTACCATATTGAGTTGAGAATAATTAATAGTTGCAAAGAGAGATTCAGGAACAATATAATACATAGATGCTTCAATATATATCTTCAATTCGTTAATGTCTGGTATTATCTTAATATATTTTTCATAAAGAGACGATGAAAAAGTATTAAAAGTAAGCCAAAATTTTCTTGCATAATTTTCATTTTTGAAATAAATTAATCCCATGGAACCTATAGGACATGAATTTCGTTTATAAAATTCGTTAAAGGTGCAATACAAGTGTGAGTAGTCTAACACATTTCTGCACGTAGTATATTCTGCTCCGAATAATAAAACAAATTTGAAAATGCCTAAATTATCAGCTAAGAATTCATATTTGTTTCGATGTTCCTCCACACATGAATATAAATTTAATGCATCAAACAAGAAATCAAATTCGTCTATATTCATTATATCTAATATTCCGTCTTTATCTTTGTTACGATAGTATATGTCTATTAAATTGTGTAGAATATGACGGGCCTTTTGTTGCATTGGTAGTCCTATTGCTACTAATATTCGGCAGTTTGGAATCCATTTGTTATAATCATGATTTTTATTTTTAAAAAGGAATTTGTCGATTATTTCTAGGGGATACTTCCAAAGGTCATGATACAGTTGATTATTTCGTTGGCACGTTTCATGAGCGTCATTTTTGGGGACACCCTTTTCGCTGCCCTTTTCGCCACCTTTTTCGCTGCCTTTTTCATCGCCTTTTTCTCCACCCTTTTTGGCACCCTTTGCAGGCACTTTTATTTTACCACTCCAAAAGGAACCAATACAAGGAGACACCAAAGTGTCATCTACATCTTCTGATACAGGTAACTTGATTATATCCAGATATTCGATGACCTTCAGATTTGTGTTTATTTTACTTGCAAGAGTGTAATAATCTACCTTGCCAACGTTGTTATTCACTTTTTTTATTTTTACATTACCATAAAATTTAGTAATATCAAGCATGTTTAACTTTTCATCTTGTTCGTCCTCTTTAATAATGAGGTTGCTCAATTTTAGTGATGTCCTCTTCCCTGTTATCGCTTCTGTTTCTATGTAATTGTCTATTTGTTTTGCATTTAATAAGCACCTTTTATGCGATTTCACATAATTGCTTAGTACTTCCTTATAGCTTATATTTATGTTCTGATTATCGGATTCTTTATTGCTTTTTCGTGGGTTATCTGATGATCTACTACGATTATGGTTACGCCTCACGTGCTTGACACATGCTTCTGTATCTCTACTATTAGAGCTATTTGGGTTATTGGAGCTATTTGGATTATTGGAGCTATTTGGATTATTAGACCTACTTGGATTATTAGACCTACTTGGATTATTAGAGCTATTTGGATTATTAGACCTACTTGGATTATTAGAGCTATTTGGATTATTAGAGCTATTTGGATTATTAGACCTACTTGGATTATTAGAGCTATTTGGATTATTAGAGCTATTTGGATTATTGGAACTTTTCTCCTCTTTCTCCTTCTTGATCTTTCGTTCCTTCTGTTCCTCCTTCTTTTGCTGCTTCTTTTCACTGTCACGTTGTTTGGGTTGCACATCCAGATTACCCAAGTGGCGTTCGTATCGACTCGAGCTTTTGGTTTTGCTTCTTCGATGATTGTTACTATTAGATGGATACTCACGTCCCCTACTATTTGATCCCATGCGAATATTTTCTACATCTTTTTTTTCTGATTTTAAACTTAAAGCACTTCTTTTTTTCTTTTTATTATACTCTTCCGTTGAGTGTATTTTATAATTTTCGTTATATTTATAGTATTCCTCATATCTGCTCCTCGAGTGATGTTCTCGACTGGGACTTTTTTTTCTTTTTAAATTTGTATGATCACTTCCTTTAGTTTCAATGGATTCTTTTCTTTGCTTAATTCGTTTCATGTTGCATTTGTGTTGTTTTCATAAAAAAATCTACGCACATGCGTGTGTGTACATATGTATGAATGCATGTATATATGCACTTATGTATGTATATTTTTTAACTTATTCCGACGGACCGCTCTGATATGTAGTATCTGCGTGCGTGTAATATAATGAAGATCTCAGAAAAATTAGATTTCTTTCTCTTCTTCCTTTTTTCCTCTTTTTCATGCCTTGTTGTTCGAAATGATTAAGTAATTGCGAATTTGTTCGTACGTCCGTGGTATTCGTGTGAATGTGATGCACAACATTAACAGTCTCTTTTAAGACAAGCCTTTGCTTCTATTCGTAATTACAAATTTCGAAATTATGAAAAACAAAAAAAAAAGAAAGAAAATTAAACAAACAAACAATATAACAGTAAAGCACAACGGTTTTTCACCTGGTTTTTTTGAACTGGTTTTCGTAGTACTTCGTTAAAGCGGGAAAAACTGCTCACATATGTCTCTGCAAGAATGTCCCTAGCATATATACTCATGTACAAATGCATACGCATGGAATATGCGAACAATGAGACACCGTCTTATATATATATATATATAATAAACCAGAGTAAATTTCACACTTGTGACATGCTTTTCATAATTCAACTACTACATATTTAATAGGCTGTGATATTATTAAAAGAAAATTCACGGTTAAGCATATTGTGTACATAAGGTCGTGCATATTATTTTGTTGTGTACCTCATTATATAAATCCGTTTTGAGCAGAATACAGGATAACTATTTGTTCAAAAATCATGTGTCTATATATGTGTACACACATGTATAAAAAAAAAAAAACAAACAAACATACACACTCCACATATATGCCTTTATCTTAATTATATTTGAATATATATACTTTGGTACTTGGGTATATATATATTTGGGACACTGTGCATTTGTATCCATGTACACTTGCTAGTGATAATCCATGTTTACGTATTCACAAAATAAGGGGAAAAAAAAAAAAAGAAAAAAAAAAAGATATCCTTGTGTGAAATTTTTTAAACTAACAGTTTACATATATTTCATCAAGTTTACACTAGGAAAATTAGCTAATTACATAAACTTCTACAATTAAAAATGATGAGGTAAAAGTTCATAACCCATTTTTTAGGAGTAAATTTGACACCCTCATAAACATTTTTTTTTTTTCTTTTTTACCTATTTATGCTTAATAAAAATATGCTACTTTGATTATTCCTTTTTATCTGTTAATAAAAGGTCGAAAAAATATTTACTTAGAGGCTTAAAAAAAAAAAAAAAAGAAAAAGAAAAAGAAAAAAAGAGTGAAGCGTACTTAGGTAATAAACCGTTTATTTGTAATAATTACCTACATGGTGAGTTTGTCAACTCGTTCCTTAAATCACTAATAAAGAAAGGGTCATGAAAAAAAATAGAAAAAAGATGCACAGAATCTATGCATTTTTGTTTTGGTCACCTTTTCCTATGCAAAAACATTATGTATGTTATAAAAAAAAAAAAAAAAAAAAAAAAAAAAAAATTACAAATTGGGAAAAATGACAAAGCAAAAATAAGATCATGTATTTAATTTGAAAAATATTCACTTGGTCAGGAAGAAAACAAAATGTTCATAATAAAGTGTTATCTAGCTAATGGTAGCCACGACAACCAGTGCTGGAATTTGAAAAATTAAAATAGCATATAATATAAATTAAGTTATATATGAATATAAAACAAAATAAAGCAAATATTTTAGCGCTTTATTATCGCTTGAATTTTTTTCTTTTTTTTTATGTTCTGACGTTTTTACGTTTTCACGCTTTTTCATTTTGACACGCATATATGTATTTTTTCCTTTTTTTTCCTTTTTTTTTTTTTGCTCCCACCAACTGTTCATTTTCAAATGAAGAGTCGGTAGAACTTTCGATCGTTAGGATCCTACTGAATAGTTCCTTTGTTGTTGCATCTATTTCTTATATGTGTTAAGTTATTACTATTGTGCCTCTTCACCTTGATAATCCGTCTGAACATCATTTCTTGACAATTACGAGAGCACTTGTTGAATATAATAGGTGATACATATATATATGCAAGTGATGTAGTATACTTGAATATGTGTACCCTAGCATATATATATATATACTGCTACCTGCACATCTGCATGTGAACAGTTGAAGAATCGAAATATGACACTATGGCTTAACCCACTCGTCATTTTAGGACAAGAGCGAAAAATTTTATGCAGAAAAAAAAAAAAAAATCCTGCCTAATGTATTAGAACATATAAATGGAAGAATTCTCCCATTACACTCTTTCCTCTATGAAACGCTGTTATGTATACATATCCCCAACATTTATTTTAATGTAAATAATTTGTTTTCGCGGCGTCGTAGGATATTTGCATTACGCTGATTTGGGAAAAGACTTAGGAAAAAAATATGTACACATATATACATATATGCATATATATATATGTATTCTGAGCACTGCGTATGTGTGTGTGTGTGTGTATATGGACAAATAAAGGGTTTTGTAATTTTTTCTTTTTTTTCCTTTTACACAAAATGAACGACCGCATAAGTAGAGATTTAACGAAAAGCTTTTTAGAAAAGAGAGAACTGGCAAAGGAGGAAATAGATCCCCGAAAAAATTGGCTAAAGAGGATTTTAGTAAATAAGAACTCATACGATTTGAAGATGTTTTTAAAAGCAGGAGAGTTAAAAAAGAAAGATGGGGATTATTGTAGCAGTTGTAAATGTAGCGTGAAACAAATTTATTATATAAACACAAGCAAAGTTTTCTGTGAAGTTTGTGAGGAGATATTTTGTATGTATTGTGTAAAAAGTATAGACATTATGAAAGACAATCAGTTAAAATATATAAAAGTAAGATTGTGTAAAAATTGCTTTATATATATAAATGAATTAAAATATATTATAGAGCCAAACTTATCTATAGATAAAAAAGCAATTGATTTAGTAAATGCCTTTAACGAAATATCAAATCGTTACACTACTATTTGTAGTAATGTATCGCAGTTAAATGGGTTAATATTACTTTGTGAAAATAATAAAGAATATTTAGAAAATTTTAAAAGTGAAATTAAGCAATTAATGGATGTTATTCAGCATGACATAGATTTCTTAAATGCCATGAAAAAACAAAATGATTTTGCTGCAGACAACACGTTAATTTTGAACAGAATGTGTAAAAATTTATTGTTGTACTTGAAAATAATTAGAAATAAAATAATTCCTAGTGCAGTAGATGTCTTGAATAAAACAAAGGAGTTGTTATATAAAAAAATATAATACACCTTGCCAAGGAAAAGTTAGTATATATTATCCCGAGACCGCATTAATAATGTATACATAAGGGAATATTCCCTTGTATGCAGATAAGATACCATATATCGGTTATCCACTATCTCATTTCGATTTTTTTTTTTTTTTTTTTTTTTCATTTATTTTAGTTTATGTTTTTAACTCTATTTCGATGCCATTTGGGAACATTGTACAACGATTGCGATTGTTATGATCTTTGCTGTTATCATTATTATTTCCTTTTTATTTTATTTTCCCCTACCTTATTCCCATGCATTCTCCCAATTCGCAGCATATTTTATAACATTTGTAACAGTTTTTGTTTAATATGCAAGTTTGTCTGATTTTTCGAAATTTTATGTCGATTTTTTTTTTTTTTCCTTTTTTAGTTTGTAACCCCTAATGATGTCGTATTATACGGGGTAGATAATTCGTAATTATACATTCCTTTTTTTTTGCGTCCTTATTTCATTTTTTTTTTTTTTTTTTTTAAACGAACGATCTGTTAAATAATATACTAATCCGTGTAGATAAAAACAGGAAAAAAATAAATAATAAATAATAATGATAAAATAATAATAAAAAAAAAAAAAAAAAAATATAATAATAATAATGGTAATAAATGTCGTCGTTTTTGTTCTATTATGAAAAAAAAAATTTAAATAGGAAAAGTGTGATCTGTATATTTTTTTACACCTTAATAAATTCCTACGTTTGAAAATAAAAAAAAGATAAATTTATTATCCCCGACCGTGACATGCCAAAAAGTGTAGTAAAAAAAAAAAAAAAAAAATTCCATTTATAACATAACAAAAAAAAAATTACTTAATAATTTCTTCTACTTTATCCATTTTTCATATGTATTTAAAAAAATTATCATAGCAAAATTATGTTTTTCACACTACATTTTGGCACACACAAAAAAAAAAAAAAAAAAAAGTGTGCCACTAGAGAACAAACTAAACGCTCTTTTTTATGTGTGCGCATATATATGTAGTGTCGAAGTTCAAATTGGTGTTGAATAAGGGACACAGTTCACATTAGCTTTTAAGTTATGTTTAATATACAGGTTTATTGTGTTGTCAATTTTTAAATATTTCAATTTCATGCGTAGCATTGTATATAGGACAACATGCCGTCATTAAGAGGTTCATATATTTATTTATTAAAAAGAAAGAATACTTTTTAAACTATTCTTGAGAGAAAAGGGTTTTCCAAAATTTATTAAATATGAAAATGATGACAAATTGGGGTCTTTTTTTTTTTTTTTTTTTTTTTTTTTTTTCTCTTCATTCTTCTTAATTCCCTTGCAGCGTCAATGGTTTTATTTACAAGGAACTCGTTCAGGGGTATGTACTACCCTAAGTAACTAAATTTGCTTTCTTTGAATAAAAACTAGTTTGTACTTAAAAACATGAACAAGTTCGCAAATAATGTGAAAACAGGTGAATAGATAATTTATATATCTCTACATGAACATATACTTTCATATAAATTTTCATATGCTTGCATAAATTGGAATACACACACAAACACATGTACGGAGGGGTACCTAAATACTGAAAATTGGGAAATATTAGCTAGCCATGTGTAAATTAAAATAAGGCTAGGGGTGAAAAAAAAAAAAAAATAATAAATAAATAAATAAAAAACTAATATAGGGAGCTATAAACAGTAACTAGCGAAACAAATAATCATATACTGTTCATAAATTTTATATGTTTTACGTGATGTCTGAAAATGAAATAAAAAATGAAAAATAAAACCGCAAAAATTAATATTCCGAAAAGAATGAAAACCAAGACGGCACCATTATTTTCATTATGATCATGGACATTGTGTATGTATCTGTAGATTGTGGGATCTGAAGTGTTTCCCCCTAAATTTTGCATTAGTCTCGTTGATGCTAATATGTTATGAAATGTTGATGAGTTAAGTTCAATGTTTGACAAACTACTTTTATCTTTCATAATTTCAAAGTTCATCAGGTTTTTCCTCTTCTGTGTATCTTCATTGTTTCGATTCCCTTAAAAAGCGTGAATTAAACAGCAACGTTCATATGTTTAATGAGTCAGGAGTGTTTTAATGCAAAAAAAGGTAGAAAAAAAAAAATAAAATAAAAAAAAAAAAATAATAAAATAAAAAAAAATAAAATAAAATAATAATAATAATAATAATAATAATAAGCAAAATAAAAAAAAACATAATAACAAAGTAAAAATGAAACAGAACAGAACAAGACAAAACAAAACAAAACCAAGCGCTTGCTATTATTTGATGTGTAAACATCAATCAGGCTTTAGCAGAACACACAACTGTAAAACATGTATAGATAGGGGTAGTTAGTACCTCCTTTTAAATTCCTCTTTAAGCCCTTCTTTTTTATCGCATTGACCGTTAAATTACCAAAGACAAAAATAAGGAAATACAGTAATAGCATATGTTTTTTCATTTGTACCTAACACTTTGTTCATTTTATATACTTTATAGTATATTTTAGAGTGTATACACACGTATGTACACTTATGCGTTTACTTCTTTTGTTTTCCCTTTATTTCAACTTGTTCGTATGTAACACATGCTCCGGTGAGAGTGATGGTGGCTACTGTGTTAATCTGTTCTACATGCACATTTGCATTCGTTATTTTTAAATGCACATGCGTAAAGATAAATTTTTGTGAAATTTCGTCTACCGTTAATTTGTGATTCAATTTTTTTTTTTTTTTTTTTTCTATCATTTATATCATTATTTTATCTTTGCTTTTACATTAATTTTTGTAGTTGTTTTAGTTTGCGTATTTGTGCACGACGTATTTATGTCATTTTGATTTATTTTTTTTATAGTTATTAAATTTGCACCGTTAAGCAGTGAAATCAGCGAAAACATTAATGTCCATAAACACAAATATTAAAAAAATAAAAGACTAATGTTTAACAAAATAAAAGATCGACGAGATTGTATTATGCACGAGTTGTTCACCTCTTCGCTCCTTGCACTTTTAAAGGACACAGAAAGAAAAAATTAAATTGGGGTTCTAAGAAGAGTGGGATGACTGAGTAATATGATACGCATAAAATTTATACTATAGGATTTAACAGTTATACATGTGTTAAATATGTATGAACAGTATATTTATTTTTATGTGCATATACATGAATATTGTGTGCATTTTTCAGGAATGGATACTTAAATTAGGTAGATATCTTCCCTGTGTATTTGGTTTTAACGAACACACTTGCGCGTTGTCATATGTTTACCTTTACTCAAATTTTTCATATGTGGGAAAACACGGAATTGGAGTTTTTTCCCTTCGTCAGAAATTATTCTATTGTTTCTGCTAAGATATTTAAAAACATGAGGGGAATGTGAGAGGATTTTTAGAAGGTAGCAAATATATGAAAGTCTTTCGAATGTTGCTTAAATTCCTGCGGATTATCTTCAAAAATACAAATTAATTGATAGTAGTGGCTAACTGAAGTTGTTTTGTATATACAACGTAGAATCAGTTTAATGTGCATCAATATTTGTGAGCTATCCTTGTCGACTTTTTTAATATGAAAATAAAATTTTTTTAAAAACTTTATCACATTGTGGGGGTTGTCATCTTGATCATTATTTCGTGAGGTGGAATTAAACTTAACAAATGAATTTTTCAGGGAATCTAAATCTGTTTTGTTGAACACATTGAATAGTAGGTGTAGTCTATACACAATATCGTAATGATAAATTTTGACATCTTCAGAATTTATTTGAAACAATAAAAAAAGACATCTCAATGAATCTACTACTATGTTGATATCATTTGCTTCCGTTAAATAAAAAATTATGTTCATATATTTATGTAATAAGAATGGAAATAATAATGGGTGATAATAAAATGCTGGAATGATATTTTTACAAATTATTATGCATATGTTTTTGTTGTAATTTTTAAGGGAACATATATTTATTAACTTTTCAAAGGATGTAATCATATTGATATTAATTTTTTTGTTTATTTTGCATATCAAATGAACATAACTTTGAACAACAAGGTTCGCTCGATAACTGCATGCATTATCTCTACCATCATAGTCTACATCCCACGAATCAATAAGGGAAATTAAATTCTCTGTTTTTCTGTTCATGTATTTCACATATGAATCGCTTGCCCTGTTTATGTTCTGGATAAGAAGAGATATGACTTCCAAGCAACTCATTTGTATTTCTTCGCAGGGATAACTTATCAATTTAAAACAAATAAAGAGAAAATCGTTAAATATAGCTTCAATCATTTCATTCGTTTGTGAAATTGAAAAGGGAAAATGGATGTTCATAATGTCCTGACTTAGTTGTTCCAGCAAATATTCACTTGTTTCCGGGATTATGTATCTATTACAATTATTCATGTGTTTACACTTTTTTGTATCTCCATTTTTGGAGTTTATTTTTGGTGACTTATTGGTTCTGTTTTCTTCCACTGGGTTTGCTTCTTCATATGGTGAATTCATAGTTTTTGCTTCACTTGACACATGTTTTTCTTGTTTCTTTTTCGTTTTGAGATTCTTCTGGGAGTTCATTTTATTTTCGTCTTTTTCAGATGATTCATCACTTAGAAGATAAAATTTGGTTAATGCAGAAATCATGTTAAGTATTAATAATGCAACAAAATCAGAGAAAAAATCCATATACTTGTAGCATAACGTTTTACACTCATATGTGCTTTTGAAAACTGTATAATTGTATGTAAAAAAATTATTTTTCTTAAAAATATATTCGTTTATATACTTTCCGCTTTTGTAATAATTACTCCAAATGTCATCAGTAAAAATAAAGCTATTGGCCGAATTTAGAAAACTCCATTCATCCACATCATCTGGTTGAATGTATCCCCAAATTATGAGACTTTTCATTTTGAGCAATATTTTATTTTTCTTTTTCCAAATAGAATCCCATGATATTTGGTATAATTTTTTGTGAATTTCTCGTAATTCCATAGGATTCCCTTCTATGGGTCCTACAGAATCTGAAGATGTTGCATCAAAATTTTGTAGGAAATTTTCAGGTAGTTTAGGATTACTCCTGGCTTCTTCCTTAGAAGGAAATTCATTCAAAATTGTCCTTTCTATGAGTTCATTTACTTTTCCCCTGTTCTTATCATCTTTACGTTCTGTATTTCTCTCAGAAATGTGACGAATCCTCGTGATGCTCTTTTTGTCTATATTATAATTATTGATTTTAAGGAGGACATTGAAATTCCTTTTTGCGATTTCCATTAGCTTACATATTTTATCACACCATTTATTTTTCCCCATATTACACAATGAACATATTAAGAAATAAAATAAAAATATAGATTCTGATGTTTCTTTTATGTAATTGTAATTTTGTGAAATTTCTATTATATACATGTGGAACAATTTATAGCATTGTTTTTTTTCATTGTCTGAAATGGTACTTTCCCCTTCGTTGTTTTCTTCAGATTTTTTAATCGCATCATTTGATACCCAAACTAGAAAGTTTGGAGACAAAATTTTAAGTAGAAGAAGAAAATTATTTATATTTACATTTTCAGGTGTATAATTCTGACGAAACTGAATTTCATTATGAGGATATTTGTTGGTGTCAAATGATATCTGTATATTCTTATAGACCAAATGGAATGTTTTATTTGTCTTGTGAATAATTTTTATATCGATTTTATTCATGGTATCTGATAGGAGGTATTCCCTAGACAAGCAATTTGTATCTGATGAGTGATCATTTATGGGGACACAAATAACCTCACGCTTGTGTGATTCACTAAAAATTTCCTCTGAATTGTATATATCTACAACTTCTTTCTGTTTTTCCCCATTGGAAGTGTAGAAGCATATTATTAGACTATCAAAAAGATGGTTAATTTTGTTGAGTGTTTGTAAAATTTGATGTTCTGTGTCTTTTTTGCACTCATTACTTAGGTCAGAGTTCATGTTCACACATAAATAAATTAGTATTGCATGTAAATAAATAAAATCGGATAAATTAATGAAGAAATATAAGTTTTGCAAATGCCTTGTAAGTTCATATGAATATGCATAATTACTTGAAATTTTCTTTTTTTGTGTAGATAAATCGTGAATGAGGTGAAGAACAGAATTTTGAATGAAGAAATTATTTTCATTTGAAAAAATTAAAACTCTTAAAGATGTGGTCAAATAAATTTCGTATATCATTTTATTTGTTTCTAAATTTATTTTATCAAAATGGAGTATAATTTTATGTAAGAGGGAAATAAAACTTTTTGTACATGAAATTAATTCTATGTTTTTTGTGTTGCCGAGTTCATCATTTACCTTGTCCATTATGTTAATATTCGGATTTTCTGATTGTCCTTTTTTGCATTTCTCTAACATTTTTACATTTATAACAAGTATGTTTGAGCAAATCCATTTTGCGATCATTTCAACTTGACACTCTTCTTGATCTATACATGTGCATATTTCTGAAAACTTCAAGTCTGTCAAAAGTGACTCTATTTTGTGTTCCATTTTGTGTTCAATTTAACTTCTCTTTTTTTTTTTTTTTTTTTGCCGTCAGATTTCATTCAACTGGGGTGTAAGAAAAGGGGGGGGGGGGGAAAAAAAAAAGTGCCATTTCGTGCGCACTTATGTGTAAACATATACTTTGATTAAATTGTCATACAATGGAGATGTTGCAAAATACCATTTGAAATTCATCTTTTTGTTGAAATTGTGGAAAATATGTTTAGTCATTCTCCCTAGTTTGCGAGGAGACTCTGCCTTTTTGTATTTCCTTTCGAATATTTGAGGTTCTTGTTGTTGTTTTGTGTAGAGGGTAAAATGTAACACACAAAAAAAATAAAATAAAATAACACTAAATAAAATTAAATTACATAAAATAAAACAAAGCAAAACGTGAAATGCAAGTAGGAATGTAAACGAAAATTCAAGTAGGCTTGTACACGAAAATCCAAGTAACCATGCAAATGTGGACGCACATGAAAACACAAGAATTTATTTTATTTTTTTTTTTTCTGCATACAAATTTGTGCTCTTATGTGTATCAAATAAATAGCAGATTTATGTGATCGGGTGGGAAAAAAAAAAAAAATCCACTTGAAACAGAACAGCGTTAATACCTTTTTAATGCTGCCACAAAAGGTGAAAAAAAAGTGGATAAGGCGTGCGGGTCGAAATAAAATAGCTGATGTTTTTTCAAAAAAAAAAAAAAAAAAAAAAGTTTATAAATTCATATATTATGCATATTTTATATATATATGCCAAAACTTGAATAAAAAAGGTGCAAATAAAAATTGTATAGTGTGAATATTTTTTACCAATTCACACAGGTAAACCTGTGCAAATATTACACATGCGAGGAAACTTTCGAGATTTAGCATGTTTCTTCAATATATGAATATTTAACAGAAAAAATCAAACATGCTGATAATTTATATAGGGCGTGCATAAAAATTTTACTGCCACGCAGTGGTATTCGCTCTTTGATATCTGAAATTGTTGTTCCCACAAGAACACGACAAAAATGAAGAGAATTATTATGGGCACGTTGTGTGTATGCTGTATGCATGTTCGCTTTTGCAATTATAATGAAAAAAAAAATAAAAACATAAAATAATAAAAATTTTATGCAACCTTGTTCACATGGCTCTCCATGTATGTACACTTGGATTCGTTAAGTATATATGATGGAACACAAACCATAGAAGGTAAAGTTGGCCATACCAGCATGCTGGGCTTCAAACAAGTAGCACATAAATGTGCACATGGATTTGTGTATATATATATATATATATATATATATATATATATACATATATATACCTGCGCATATATACATATACATGCGCATAATGGGGAAACTGGTTTGAGGATGAGGAATTGAGCCGCTAGGACAAGGTACTTTTAATTTTTTCAATTTTATATTTAGCGGAAAAATCAAAAATTTGGTTGCCTATTTGTAACACTAGACCCCCCAGAATATTTTTGTCGATTTTGTACTCAATAAGGGGTTTTAGTTCGTTCTTTAACTTAAAATTTATGGACTCTTGGATTTTTTGTTTCTGAGTATTATTAATTTCTTTGGATGTATATACAACACATTTAATTTCTTTTCTTTCCTTCATTAGAAGTAGTTCAAATTCTTCAATAATTTTTGATAAGTAATTTATTCTCTTTGAATCAAATAAGGATTCTAAAAAATTAGATGTTATAATACTAAAATTATTATTATATTTTTTACATTCTGTTTTTAAAAAATTTAATTTTTCTTTATTGTCAATATTTGGTGTGTGTAAAAAATTAAGAAAAGCTTTATCCTTGAGGTAATTATTTTTTATAAATAATATGTCATTTGATATTTCATTTATTTTATTCTTATTTTTTCCAACATTATATAATGCTAAGCTATATCTCTTTTCTATATTGTCTCCCATGGTCAGGTAATATTCATCTTCTGCTTTTTTTCCTGTACTGGTACTAGTACTGTAAGACTTCATCCGGTTGTTAATACTACTTCCTGTGATATTCTTATTTTTGCAGAATGGAAGGAAACAATAATTCTTCTTTTCCAAGTGGAACTTCCACCCGTTCGTAACAGTAAAACTGGATAAATGGCGTTTACATGTAAATGCTTTCATATTGTATAGCAAATGTGTTTAGTTTAGGTTCCTCAAAGTTGACACAAAAAAGGTGTATGTAGAAGAAAAATCGCTCAATAATTAACTCAAAAATGAAATAAATTAAAATGAGAAAAAAAAAAAAACTAGGTAATTGACGTAGAACGAAAAAACACACAAAAGTTTTCGTGTAAATTCGTCCCCAAATAAAATGCTATACTAGTGTTTTAATTCCTCGTGCAGCATTTTATATGAACTTCCATGCTGAGTAATTTTTTTTTTTTTTTTTTCTTTTGTGACTAAAATATTATACATATATTTAAGGCTTAAAAATGTAGTATAAATGAAAAAAAAAAAAAAAAGGCAAGCGAAGGAAGGTAAAGAAAAAAGGTGTAGGAAAAAGGGGACTATTCCATAATATACAATAATATTATAAACCTGTATTGCTAAATTCAAGAAAAAAAAGGGAAACAAGAATCAAGATTAAATTAAATGCGCATATTAGAGTATCCCAAGTTTTCACGTTCAAATGGGATCACAAATTCGAACACGAGTTTGCTTTTTTTTTTTTTTCTTTTTAACTATTAATTATATTTATTTATTATTATAGTATTCATTTTTACACTTTCGTGTGCATTTTCATAGACTGCGTTTTCAAAAAATAATTATCACTCAAAAGGCACACGCGTGTTCGTTGCCCTTTTGGGGGAGGAATAAAAAAAGCAATATAGGAATAAGAAGATATGAATAACAACATGGTAAAGCAACTCATTTTAAAAAACAGTTGCTGATAAATATTAATCAAATTCAGGTGCCTTATAAAGATGCTCATCATGCTGTTGCATTCCCATTTTTTTGCAATTTCGTCAAAAATTCCCTAAAATTGTGCATATGTTACCATATAATACAAGGGAATAAGTGTAATTTATGTTTATAACTTGGTGCGCCTAGCACACACATAAAACCTTTAATTTGTATTCGTCATCATGTTATGGGGACTGAAAAAATTCAGGAAAAATCAAAACAAAGTTGGGAAAATGGACAAGCGGAATGACGAAAAAGTGTACATTCGATGTGTTACCAAATACACTAGAATGCAAACCCTGTGATGGAAAAAAAAAAAAAAAAAAAAAAAATGCACACAAAATTGAGGAATAAAATACCAACTGTGTGATGGGGAGAGAGAAAAAAAAAAAAAAAAAAAAAAAAGTAATATTCCATTCAAATCGCAAAAGTATATAAATCTTTGAAGTCCCATTTTAACTAGACAAATGATAAGAGGCTTATTTTTTTTTTTTTTTATTTTAATACAAACGCATGAATACGTCAAATGTATACAAGACATACATACATGAACACAAACATACATATACACATACACACATGCGTTCATGGGCAATCCTGAGCTCAGTGAATCAAAAGATTGGGATGGTTTACATGAACAAATCTCAGTAAGCGTTTTATTATCGTTGCATCCAAGTGATGTTGTGGTATGAGTTCATCCGCACTTAAATAATCACAAATTTCCTTTTCTGATAAGTTTAAAAAGTTACTTAAGGCACAAATATCTTCATTTGTTAATGTATCTTTTTCATAATTCACAAAAGTTGATAAGATGTATTGTAACTCTAAGTAACCCAAGGTACTACATTTAAATAAAACATTTTCAAGGGTTGGTTTTTCTTCTTTTTTTACTTTTCCATAATCACGAACTCCATATTTATCATTCATATAAATACGTTTTTTTCTTATTGGGTAATCAATTATGGAATTGTAAAAGACCGTTCCTTTATCTTCTTCCCTTTTAATTTCGCTTCTTCCTTTTGTCGTTTCAGTATATTGCTTGCCTTTGAATAACTTAAATAATTTTTTCTTAAAATATAGATTTCTCTTTATGTGTTTAAATTTTGAAGGCTTATACAATTGGATTGTTGTAAAAAAACGGCAGGAAGTTAAACTCCTATGTGATAGGATAAGTTGACTTCTCATTAAATTGAAAATTGCCATGTGTTATTAATACAGTTTTCTCGTTTAATTTCTCAAAAATGTTCTATGTTCTGCATGAGCATTTGTATAAAAAATAACATATCGAACAATGTTCTCTTGTCAGTTCCTCGAAACATGTAACGATTTGCTGATTTGACGAGAGATGGTACAAAACTATCTTGTTTTGTTTGTTCTTCCCTTCTGTAACAAACACTGCACAGTTAGTAGAGCACTGGATTCTATATTTTTATTTCTCACACTGGAGTTCACTATTAGGCAGAAATGAATGGACGAATGGAGGGAAGTCACGTGGGTACTTATCGCCTCACTGATCCTAATCTCGTATAAATTTGTCATGCACACCTTTTTACGTCTCATCTTAATGAGGTCTAAAATGGAGTGTACCTATAACTCTGCGGAGGTTTTTGTGCGCCTCATTTTGTATTTTTTAATAGTGCTACATAATTGGTAAAGGGGAAGAAAAATAAAATAAAAAATATAATTAAAAAAATATAAAATGTAAAAAAAATAATAATATCTAGAAAAAAATAAATGTCCCCTTCAAGGGCATAGTATGTAGAAAAATGTGCACTCCCCCAAATTGTTCATGAGGGAGCTATTTCTTAACATTAAGCCTTGTTGCACGTAAAAAAAAAAAAAAAAAAAATAAGTATTTCGCAAATTTTTGCATGATTGCACTCTAAAAGTTGCTATTCTTTATCATAAAGAAAAAAAAAAAAAAAAGAAAAAAACCTATGAAAAAATATTTGTAGAAAAATTTTTTCTTTTTTCAGGTGTGGGGTAGAGATTTGAAATTCTTAAAAGTAAATTACTCGGGGGCTTATTGTCGTGTTGATTACCTTGTCATCTAAGAGTAATTTTTTTTTCGGCCTATTTTCGCCGTTCTTTGGTTCTTTTTTTTTTCGATAAACTTTTTCTCTTGCCTTTCCTTTTTAATGAATAAACTAGTATTTAAATATTTTAGAAAAGCGAGGAACATTCACACAACATCTCTCCGTAGAGATTCAGATGATACAGGTCGAATAAAAAAATACATAAATAACCTATATGAGAGAGGAACAGTGCAAAAAGGACATAGGCACTGCGTGGCGGTGTAAAAAAAAAAAAATATATATATATATTTATTTATTTTTTCCATCCTTTTTTGTCACACTTTTTTTTTTTTCATTTTTATCACGATTTCCTATTTCCCTCTACGCACACACAGGACCGCTAATAAAAAAAAATAGGAAATTTTTTGACCTAAAGCTGTTCAGGCAACATTTGAGAAGACAGAAAACAGAAGAAATCGAAAATGAAAAGAGAGAAATTTTAAAAAGTTGTGCAAAAGATGCACCGGAAAATTGGGATATCAAAAAGTTCTTAAGTAAAATAGAGATTGGTGAAAACATAGAAGAAATAGAAAAATCCTTTAAAAACTGGACACATTTCATCACAATAACGCCAAAGGAGTTATATGCAATGGAGTGTTTAACAAATGAACAAAGAAGGAAAATATGGAAATATATAAATAAATTTAATTATGGATTATATCCTGAAGATTCCTATGACGATTTCGTTCGCAATTTTCAAGCCCCTCCTCTTGAAAATGAAAACAAACCATGGTCAAAGGAAGATGAAGAGCAATTTGAATTTTACTTAAATTATTTCGATGTACATTTTGGGGATCCATGGTTATATATTTCTTGGAAAATGAAAAGAACATTTGATGATGTTCAAAATAAATATATCGAATTATATTTGAAAAAAAAAAATAAAAAAAGAAAATGTGAAATTTGTCTTACAAAATCCACTACCCCTTTACTAATGAATAGAAAATTTAAATTGGACCCACCTTTTATATTTTTTATTCCTTCTTCGCATAATTTCCCTCCAATGAGTATATATGATTATTATAATAAAAGGGAATTATTATCCTCTAAATATAATCATCCACAGGCTCACAATATCCAAACGAAAAAAAATGATTCTTTACCTCCACATCGAGTGGAACAAGATTCTTTATACCCATCCTATGGTTCTTTCATTTTTTCTTCCAGATTTTTGCCTTACGTGGATAAGTCTTGTTTTTAGGATCACCCAAGTTTCATTATTTCATTAACAGTTTTGTAGAAACCTATATTCGGCACCTTATCTAACTTTTCCGACAGCATGAATTACGTTTTCTCCTAATTGTGTATAATATATTTAGACGAACGGGGATATTTTATAAACCATGGCATGAATGTATATTATATTCTTCTGCTTTATGACATTGTTTATGTGTGAACAAATTTCGAGATGTTTTTTTTTTTTTTGCTCTCCTACGTGGAGAAACACTAGCAATGGGTAAACCCCTTGGTCGGTAAAACAACAAAAAAGGTTTAAAAAAAAATGCTTAAGAAAAATGCTAAAAAAAAAAATGCTTAAGCAAAATGCTAAAAAAAAAATGCTTAAAAAAAATGCTAAAAAAAAAATGCTTAAGAAAAATGCTTAAAAAAAAGGCTTAAAAAAAAATACCTAAAAAAAAAATGTGTGAACAGTTATCCAAAATAAAATCGTAACAGGGTGCATAAATATACCACTAAAATGGCAAGAATGTGTATATGCACATATTTCATATGTGAAACAAAATTATTCTTTTTGAGTGATCAGTTAATTTTCCGTTTAAAAATTTCAAGTGGCCCTTTCTCTCTCTTCTAACAACTTCTTAGCCTGATAATTGAGACACCTCTTTTCCCTTGTGTTGATCCCACTGTAGTGTTTACTCTTTCGATATATTCCAACTGTCCACTAATTCACACTCGCTGCTCGAAATAAAACTTTTCGATATTGAGTTGATAGAAATAAATCCACAGAGATAACACTCCTCTGTCAATATATCATCTATTTTTGTCTCATACATGAGTATATCTTTCTCATTTTTATTGATAAGTGCATTTTTGTAGTTATTTAGAATGCAGAAGAACTGAAAGAGTTCATCCTTTGGCTTCGAATTGAGGTAAATGTTCAAAGCACAAATACTGTGAAAATAATGGTTACAGGAAAAAACATAACATTTTTTGAAATATATTGTCTTTTTGCATATATAACAAATGTCATTTTTATCTAAAACTACATACTTTTTTCTAAGATTTTGAATATCAGTATTAAGTGATTCAATTGTTTGTAAATTTTCTTTAATTTCTTCTTTTTTGGCTTGTATTTTTAAATTATAAATTCCTAACAAGGAACAAATATCTTTTTTTAAATAATCGATAATTGTGTTTTCATTAATGTATGGCAGGATATCTTGTAGATTTAATATAGAATTTGAATCACGAACTAGATTTATTATTTCTTTTAAATTTTTTTCATTCAAATCTTTGGAAATATTTTTAACAATTTTAAGAAATAATTTTTTTTTTTCTTCTTCATCTTCACACAATATTACGGCATTTTTGGCTGTTTTATAATCGCCCAATTCTAGGGATTTATCAACGGCTTCTTCGAAATATTTCATTATTATATAAAAATGTGGAATAAACTTTTCTTTTTTTTTTTCCTTTAAGAATCGTATAATAAATAGATAATCAAAATGAATACCTGATGATTTTAATCTATTCAAAAACATTATTATTTTTTCATCTTGTTCTTTTTCTATGTATAAAATTAGTAAACAATTTATGATATGATTTTTTTTCCAAGTGCATTCGAATGTGTAAATATATTTTTCTTTTTCTTCTAATGTATTTTCTTCTATTATTTTATTTGAAATGTATTCTAAAAATCGAATGCATTCATCTGTATGTTTTTGATAAATAGATTTATCGCAAACATTTCCTTCCTCGTTTGACTTCTCTCTTTCTTCCATATTATTATTGTTATTCTTACACACTTTTTTACTGCTTTTAAAAAAATAAATAATTACAAACATGCATACTATTAAATCCGTGTAATCCTCAATCAAGTTGTCATAAAAAATTAAAAGGTCTACATATTTCTGTGGTTTGTGAAGGTACAAAATGAAAGCATGTTCTCTTAACACGTCTAGCAGTACATTCTGTGGGAAGAGTATAATGACATTAAATAATGCACTAAATTTATTCTTGTTAATGTAAAAATTTATTATATAATTATAATCGTTACACATGAATTTAAAAAGTAATAAAAAATTGGGCTTATGGAAGTTTTCTAATATCTGCACAATGACATCATTTAACTGAAAGAAGGTTTTGAAATGCTTCAGTAAGATAATCATGTATACACTCACTTCAAGACATTTGTATGTGTAGATATCTCGGTACAGTTTTCTCTTAACCTCATCATACTCTTTTTTTGGTGCGTATTTTCTTGTTAATAGACTTTGTGAAATTGTTGTAGATTTTTGTCCTTCCTTGGATTCCACAGGTTTCGAGTCTTCATTTACTTGGGCATCTTCACCACTCACGTAGATCCTTCTGTACCTCTTTAGATCTTCCATAATCAACCCCTTCTGAGATTTCAAAAAGTTGAAAATATCAGAATTCTTCATTTTGTATATTTTCAACAGGATGTAAAAATTGTCACTTTCTGTTAGCGTTTTTATATTAATTTTTTTTCCCTTCGAAAAGTCGAAATTGTATTTACGATCTTTTTGTTCATCCTTCTCTATTAATTTTTGGAAGAAACGAATGAAGGATTGTTTGTTGCTTTTCTGGATCTTTCTATTTTTAATATCTTCCTCTAAATTACTCTTAATCATTTTCTTTGTTCCTTTCTTTTGATTTTCATCATTATACGTATATGTACAATTATCACCATTGATATTTTCCCCTATAATTTTTTGTACGTTTTCATCTTTTCGGTTCAGGATACTGTTTTTCCTTTCCGTCTTGGGATTTTCTTCTTTTTTTTGACGTTCCATTGCTTCTTTTAAGTAATCCTTTTTTTTATTTTTCGATTTATTCATTATAGTCTTATCAAACAATTCTTTCGACACTGCATCTGGGGACTTCACAGATATTGGAGGACATTCAACATTCCCACTTAGATGTATATCTGTTTCGCTCGAAAGTTCATTTGGGTCATCAATTAACTCATCACTTAAATTTTCATTTGGGTCATCACATAAATCATCACTTAAATCTTCATTTGGGTCATCACTTAACTCATCACTTAAATTTTCATTTGGGTCATCACTGAGGGCCCTATTTGAGCCCTCCCTGGACAAGTCTGAAGATATTCCCACATTGGCATAACTTCCGAATTGTGCTTGTGGGAAATAATAAAATGTGATGCGATACAAATGCATGTATAAATCTAGAGAATATGCAGACAACTGGATTATCCAAATGTAGAACACAATTTTGACAACATTGCTGTAGAAGTGAATGTTATTGTACAAAATAGAAGACAAGAGAAAGTATTGTTTCTTATGTAGAAATGCAATTAATGTTTCTTCAGTACATATGTTTAAATTTTTGAATTGATAAATTTGGTATTTATTATTTTTTAAGATATATTTTTTTATTTTTATTCTTTCAGAATTTGTGCTGGATTCGATCATTTTTGTAAGATTTTTTTTTTTCAGATTTATCTTGTTGTTCATATAACTATTTATCTGCTGATTGAAGCATGGTACATCACTTTTATTCTTATTTATAACAATTTTAAAAATATACTTTGATGTACATAACCACACTTGATCATCAGATTTATCTTTCATAATTCTTATAGAATCTCCATATGTTTCAAACGCCAAAGTTTGTTCATAAACCTTCTTAAAATTGACATTGTTAATTATAATTAGTTTTTCTTCTAACAACAGAAATATGTAGAACTCATTTATACACATATCTACAACAGCACAAGTAGTGTTATCAAACGGTTTGGGTTGGATATTTGTTATGACAGTTTCTGTTCCCTGTTGTTGAGGAGTGGGATCTTGCATATGATTCTGCAATGTGTTCATGTTATTTTTTTGACTATGAATAGATTGATAAAACGATCTAATGAAAGTAAAACTGTTCATATTTTCATTGGTAAATATATTCAAATCTAAGAAATTCACAATAATATAGTTACAATCTAGATACCATTCATCGTTTAGTTTGTAATTAATTTTGACATTCTCTTTCGCTTTATTCTTTTCATCGTGTTCTGATAATTTTCTATAATGATGATTACTTTTGTACATTCTTTTCATCTGTGCTTTTTTTTCATTCGATAACAAATCACTCCTCCATTTGGATTTCACATTTTGATCACATTCTTCGTCCTCTTCTTCACTGAAAGATACAAGATTAATTCCACCAACAGAAGTTTCTGACTCAGATGAATACGAGAGAAAATTTGAATCCGTAAAATTGTTAAAGTGTTTATTGTGGTTCCATTTGGAACAATTTCTGAAATCATTTTTTATATTTTTTTTTTTTTTCTTACAATTATTAATTTTACTAATAAATATGCAACACCCATTAAGCCAAAAGAGATAATTTTTATTTCTGATATTTTCAATTTTTAAAATAGATGTCAAAGAATCTACGCAGCATTCATAGACTTTCGTTTCGTCACTTGATTTGTTTATATTAAAATTGTTCTTTTTCATTTTCATATCTTGTATATACGTTTCATTTTTTTCTGCAGGGTTGTTCATACTTGTGTTTTTGTATGTGTAGCTGATTTCGTGCAAGCTATTGCAAGTGGAGAAGTAGATAATTCTCAGGGTGTTGTCATTATTTTTGTCATTTTTGTCATTTTTGTTATTTTTGTCATTTTTGTCATTTTTGTCATTTTTGTCATTTTTTTCATCTTTGTTATTTTTGTTATTTTCACTATTTTCACTATTCACACAATTCGAACTGTTTGAAATATCAATATTAATCATAGTTATGTCCAAAATTGACAAATGGCTGTCTGAAAATATTACATCGTATTCTTCGTTATTCTTTGTTTTGTTGCTTATGCTCATTTCTAGAATTTCACCATCCTTTGTTGCAATTAAAAAAGGAGAATCTTTTTTAATATCACTATAGCCATCGAAACACACACTTGAGATGTTATACTTTTTTAATTTTACTAGATTTAGGACTATATTATATTCAAAGTGGACATATATATATTCTTTATTTGCCAGACATATAAATCCATGATAGCAATTATAGTCAAAGAATATTGATCTTATTTCTGCTTTGCTATTTATGGTTTTTTTGCTGTAAAAATCCACATAGGACAATTCATTTTCCTCTAGATAATATTTGATTAGGCTATTGTTGCTCAGAACAATATGCATACATTTCTTGCTAATGCAAAAGTGAGTTATTCTGTTTTTCAAGAGGTTGATATTTCCGTTCTTAATTTTAAATAGCTTTAGGATAAACTTTTTGTCAGATCTATTCATTTTTTGTGAAAAATAAGAAAAAAGATGTAAATACCAGTTTTTGTAATTTCCACTTTTTACTTTAGGATTTATGCTCTTTCTCCCTTATTCCTTGTTAAAAATATTCTTCTGATTGATTCCCAATTATGATATAATAAATTGCGAAGGGGAAAAATGGATAAAATTTTTGGTGGTAAAACGATTTCAGTTCCGTCGAACATAATTTTAAGCTCTTCATATGCGAACAGTTTTATGCAATTCTTTTATTTTGGATAATTTGTTGTAGATTATCCGAGGACTATGGTAATTTATAGCCTAGGTTTATATATGACAATTCATAACCTCCCTCCTCTTTTTTAATCACATAGATTGGCACAAAAAAAAAAAAAAAAAAAAAAAAAAACACTATAACAAGTAACATCAAATATGGGTGTTCTTTCTCTATTATGCGGTTAAGCGGTTAGAAAATTCTGAAAAGTTGTATATGTATAATTTATATGAGTTCAAGTGAAAATATACACTGGTATATATGCTCCTTGTTTACAAAAAAAAAAAAAAAGCGTGATACATTTTTATTCTTTCCTTTTTGAATTCATAATTTTAGAAAAAACCCATTTTTTGATCCCTTAGGCAATAAGGCCTGTTGTAGGAAATTGACGTCCGTACTGGTTTAAGGAACACTCTAAATTATGCAAAAGCAGTATATGAAAAGAAAATTCGGGCGAAATTAGAGCGGCGTTTAGGAAAAATGATAACATATCCAAAGCCTTTTAATCACGCAAACGTTTAAACTTTATAAACATGGCTTATTTTTGTAACATTTTGTAACTTAAGAAGAGCTGTAGCATTTTTCCCCACCCCTTGTAAATTTATGTATCCACATATATATGCACATGCGTATGGTGTGTAAATGAAAAATTGCCATGATTATTACATTTTTTTTTCCCACCCTCCTAGTTTAAAACTGTGGATAAAGAGTGAGTTTCGAAACTACATAAATGAAAAAAAAAATTAAATCAAATCTGACTAAATCAAACCTGACTAAATCAAATCTGACTAAATCAAACCTGACTAAATCAAATCTGACTAAATCAAACCTGACTAAATCAAATCTGACTAAATCAAACCTGACTAAATCAAACCTGACAAAATCAAACCTGACAAAATCAAACCTGACAAAATCAAACCTGACAAAATCAAACCTGACAAAATCAAACCTGACAAAATCAAACCTGACAAAATCAAACCTGACAAAATCAAACCTGACTAAATTAACTAAATGAAGTTAAATTAACACTATTACAATAAATGGAAGCAAAAAAAGAATCGTGCCAAGTGGTACAAAAATGAATTAAAAAGATGAAAGAAAAAAAAAAAAAAAAGAAAGATGGAAAGTATACTATACTAGCACTGTGCAATTATGTTTACTACGCGTGAGGAGAAGCGAACTAGTAATAACCCTCCTTCAATGAAAAAGCCCCCTTAATCTGTACATCTTCTCCAATTTTCTTTCGACCGAGAAAATTCCGACACACTAAGTATACTTCCCTAGATTCACTCCTAGATGCCTTTGGTTTAGTAGTATTGACAAATTGAAATATGGTTTTTAAATATGTCTTTAAATTCTCCGTTTGGCTGCCTAGGTACATTTTGACGACATAAGTACCACCCATGTTTATATACTGTTCCATAAAATTAGTTATAGATAATGTAAGTTCACATGAGTTCAAATGATCATCAATTTTGTTGCCTATACAAGGTACAGCTGCATCACTTAATATTATATCAATTTTTTTTCCTTGCAATATTTCTCTTAATTTATCATCAAGAAGGGTATTATTTTCATTTTTTTTTTCTCCTCCTATTTCTGCTTGTATAAAATGTATATTTGGTAATGGGTCCATTATTTTTTTATCAATTCCTATAATTTCATTTGAATAATTTTTCGTTCTTTCTAAAATTACTTGACACCAACTACCAGGGTAACAACCAATATCTAGTATTATTTTATTTTTCTTAAGGAACATATATTTATTGTCTAATTCAATTAACTTATATGCTGCTCTACTTCTATAGTTCTCATTTTTTGCTTTCAGTACATACCTGTCTGTTATTTGTCTTTGTATCCATTGGCTTGAATGGTTACTTTTCTTGTTGAATACTTTTGGTAGTGATTCTTTATAAAATCGTACATGCGTATTTACAAATAGAAATATTCTCGTCCCACATAGTGTTGTACTCCTTGATAGGGTCTTCATTTTTTTTTTTTTTTTTTTTTTTTTTTTTTGAGATACCCCTTAGGTGTATACACCTTGCATTGAGTTTTTGTGCATTTCGAAATTCTTGAATAAGACACACTTGGCAGTTAGTAACGGTTTAGAAAACTTAATATTTTCATTGTTGTGCTGTTCTTAACTACGTGCAGTCTCATTGCTTCTTGTTTATCGTTCTTCGTTTGGATTTTTTTTTTTTTTTTTTTTTTTAATCTTTATGGCATATTTTTTATCTTCAATTTGAAATAAGTTATGTTGTGTGTCTCTCTCTTCTCCTTTTTACATCTTTTTTTTTTTTTTTTTTTTTCCTAAGGAGTGCATATTTTTTTGGGTTTTTTTTTTTTTTTTTTTTTTTTTTTTTTTTTTTGTTTTTTTTTTTTTTTTTTTTTTTTTAATCTTTATGGCATATTTTTTATCTTCAATTTGAAATAAGTTATGTTGTGTGTCTCTCTCTTCTCCTTTTTACATCTTTTTTTTTTTTTTTTTTTTTTCCTAAGGGGTTTTTTTTTTGGGTTTTTTTTTTTTTTTTTTTTTTTTTTTTTTTTTTTTTTTTTTTTTTTTTTTTTTTTTTTTTTTTTTTTTTTTTTTTTTTTTTTTTTTTTTTTTTTTTTTTTTTTTTTTTTTTTTTTTTTTTTTTTTTTTTTTTTTTTTTTTTTTTTTTTTTTTTTTTTTTTTTTTTTTTTTTTTTTTTTTTTTTTTTTTTTTTTTTTTTTTTTTTATTTTGCGTACCCCTCTGCGTTTACCACCTTGTAGGTTTGATTCCCTTGGTGTCATGAATTGTACTAGCGGTATTACATAACGTGTGGCTGCATAAAAAATATATATATAAATATATACATGTGAATATATGCATGACCGTGAGCACAATTACTTGCATTTTCCTTTTTACATCTCAATGAGAAAAATGATGTGGCAACGTAAAAAAAAAAAAAAAAAAAATATTTTTTTAAAGAACACTAAATATATGTACATATGTTTGCTTGTAGTGAGGGAAATAGCAACTTATTTTCTTATACCAGGCAAAACGTAACCTCCTAACGATTGTGTTACACTTAAAAGTTCCTCATAACCTGAATCATCGTGATATTTTCAAAATGAGTATTTTTTTCCTGTGCCAGGAAGGGTTATTTACTATTATGCGTACTTTTTTCTGAAATTTGCAACAAAAAAGGGAGTAATTTGTAGAGGGCCAAAAGAGCAAAATATATATATGTATGTAAACATTTTGAAGGCCAGAAAGCCTTACTATATGAATTTTTCCTGTTTTCAGAAATTCTGATGCTAT